CTCCTACTCTTTTACGCAAATGGTGAAAAGGCAATCCATGATTTTTAACTACATCATCTAATAGACAACCATTACAATAGCAAATAGATTAAAAGAGATCTTCTTATCTAAGCCTTTTTTGGCAAAGAAAATACCCGACTAGGCAATTTGTCTCAAACTCGACTCACTGTCATTCAAAGAGACTCCGGTTGTAGTACTCTACCTCGCTCGATCGACCAAATCCTATCTGCACCAAAAAGATAAGTCGGCACCGAGTGATTCCGGCGCACCGGACATACCAACGGGTGAGGTCGGCCAACTTTAATGAAAGAATGAACAGTTTCCAAACGTGTCCACGCAGCAGGCACATGTTCTTTCCTTCCGCGCATGCATCAATTTCTTATTCCAGTGGTGGAGTCGATACATGCTGCTAGTCCAAGTCCAGAAATCACTACCAAAGAATTCTACACAAATTTGATCTTTTCCACCAACCTCCATGAAAATCAAGAATACCCGCACGGATTCCTCATCCTTCCAAACCTACCCACTCACAATCTAGCGCCCAACCGTAATAATAGAATATTCATACTCCTACGTCCCCATGGACATCAAATTTTTACTACACAAGCATTATGTGTTCGAAATCATTTAGTATACCTATACTCAGTGACGGATCCAAAAGATTTAACGTAGGGTGTCCTCTTCTAAAAAATGAATTAAAATAAATAATTCTTAAATAAGAAAATACTTGACTCGTTCAATTTTAAAAAATGTACACGATATGTTTTCATATTAGGAAAGAATTGTAGAATAAACTTGGTCTCGGCACTGCACAAAAAAAAATTCCTCTGTATATCTACTGGGTAATTATTCATGAATTGATCGCATATTCAATTTCTAAACTTGTTCTTGATGTAGCCCAAAACTGAAAAAACTCTTTCAACACTTGTCGTACAACCATAAAATCAATATAAATTAAGGGTAGTTTGAAATCAGTTTAATTGTTAGGTTTTGAAAAATGTTAGAGCTAGAAAATGACATTTTACTATTATACCGTGTTTAAAATCAAACAAAAAAATTAGTTGTAGCCTAGTGGAAATTATGTTTATTAGTAATAATTGTGTTCTAGGTTTGAGTTACCCAAACTACCACTTATATTCTCGTACACAATGTAAGAAAATGAGAGTAGGATAATCATTTTTTCATATTTCAGGGGTGTCCCCCACTATCAATTATATTTTTTCCTGTCCATACGTAAATTACCACCAGAGATTGAAAAATCATTTTCCTGAAATTTAGGGGTGTCCTGGGACACCCTCAAAGTGCCCGGGGTCCGCCCCTTCCTACACTTAACATTTTCACGCAAACACCACATTTTGTGAAGGCAGAGCAAGATCAAATTTGGGGGTCATCTGATGCAATATTATACACCAATGGAGCTTCACCTCCGGGAAGACGGGAACACCACTCCGGACTTCAAGGGGCATCGAATCTAGGCCCTTACACATTAAAGGATAGCCTACCTCATGACTAGTGGTGTTCAAACGGTGTGGTTACCGTGGTAACCATTTTAATCGGTAGTATTTTGCTAATTTGGTTTGGTTAATTTGGATATTTAGGTTGGTTAAAATTTTTAGCTTGTTTGGTACTTTGGTTTGGTTTCAGACACTCTTAACCAATCAAACCAAATCAACCAGTTAAATAATTAGCCATATATCCAATTATATTATATACACATACTTAATACTTTGCATAACCACTCAAGAGTCAAATGTAAGATAACTGTATTTGTTACATGTATTTACGTTAAGGATTAACTATAATTATGTGGACTATTATGTGTTATGCATTATATAAATTGCAAATTGATCCACTAACCGGAAATTTTTTTCACTTAATAAAAATGTGATGTTATATTGGTTATTTTGGTTAACTAATTAACCAAAGCGATTAAATTTTAGTTTGGTTAATTTGATTGTTGTATTAGTTTGAACGATTTGGTTATGATATTGTATTCCATGATTAATAGAATTTATACTTATTTGGTTTGGTAATTACCATTGTAACCATTTGAACGCTTCTACTTATGGCGACACCGCTAGACTATCTTAATACAAACATCATTTTGCTTTAAATGGTGATCGAACTCAAAACCTTGCCTGAGATGCTGCACCAACTAGGCTATAGCTTTGTTTCACCATATGTAGTAGCATACTAGCATTTTGAAAATGTGAAAAACCTACTCATAAAAAATAAATTACCATGGTGAGGTTCATATTTTTTTTATGGTATTACTTTTCTAGCATTCATGGTAGACAATAATGACTGATCATTATTTTATGAGATGATAAATATAAATAATTATAAAAAAAATTAAATACTATAACGTGGAAGTGGGCAGGGAGTGGAAAAAGATATCAGGCCACCTGTAATTTTCAAGCCCCCCCTAATAGTGGTCAACTGAAAAAGCCCGTTCGGATCGGTGCATTACTGATCTTTTGGCTCTTTGCTCTATTGAGTCAATGGTCAGCGCCTAGCAAGTAGGCCGAACCAGTTCCAGTATTGCCTGCCTACAAGCCCAAAAGCTCCCTTCGCTTTCCTTTATAATAATAAAAATTTATTGCTTGAAAATAGGAATTGAAAATGTTTTTCTTGCTATTTAATTTCCTGATTATTTTTTTTATCAATCAATTCAAAGGAATTTAATTTGAAATTAAAATAGATTGATGGAGGACATGTTTCTATGGCCAATAATGTTATCTGTAAGATTGTTGGAAGAGGCTCCGTCAGGATGAGGACACATGATGGTTCTGTTCGCACCTTGAACAATGTTAGGCATATTTCAGAAATGACTAAGAATCTTATATCTTTGAGTCTACTCGACAGCAAGGGTTTCAGCTTCAAAAGTGAAGGTGGAGTGTTGTCTGTCTACAAGGGGTTCTAAGGTGATTTTGAAAGGTGTCAAGCGGGGTGCCTTGTATAGTCTGCAAGGTTCTGTTTTGACATATTCTGTTGGTGATAAGTGCAGCAAGTTGGTTCTGAATGACAAGTCTCAATATGGATTGGACTTGCCGAATGGTTTGAGTTGTTGACCGCCCTTAGCAGCATTTGGAGGCAGGGGAGATTATGGTACAACTGATTTGGAGGAGTTTGGTACGTCTGGCAATTCTGATTGCATCTGAGTTTGGCGATTTGCATCGCGCTTGAGTTTGGTGAATTCGATCACATCTGGATATCTGGCGACTTGGATCTCATCTGGGTAAATTTGGCGATATGGATCGCGTCTGGGTACATTTGGCAACTTTGGTTGCGTCTGGTACATCTCGTATTTGAGAGAGAATTCAAGTCAAGGTGGAGATTGTTAGAATATGACTTGAATTTGATTTGGGTTTGTTTTGTGTTTTGGGCCTATTTTGTTTGGGTTTGTGTTTGGGTTTTGTTTGACCTTTTCCTTTTATGTTTTGGAAAAGGTGTTTGGTTTTCTATTTGGGATTAGGAGAAGAGTTCTATAAATACTCTTCATCACCCTAGTCTGTAGTAAGGTCAGTCGCGTTAGTTTGTTTGGTTTGTTCGTTTGAAATTTGGTTTGTAACTTGTACTCTCATCAAATTAGTGAAATTTGTCCCCCATGCCCGTGGATTAGCTAGCACACATTGTGTTAGTGAACCACGTTAAATTTGTGTTCGTTTGTGTTGCTTTGGATTATCGATTGCACGCTTCTCTTCTGACAGATTTAATTTGAAATTAAAATATTTGCATAGCATATTTTATTTTAAAGTCCAACTCTACAAACCAGTTAAGAAAATTTGTGGCGGCTTACTCGTTAATTGCTTGCTGAAGAGACTATGAAACTCGTGCGGTCCACGAGTTTGAAATATCTTTTTATTTCAACTGAAAATTCCACACAAATCGGTTAAATTTATACAAAAGATCAAATTCTCGATAATAATTTTTATAGGAATTTTTTTATCTTAGGGGTCGTTTGGAGAATGGGATTTAGGGCGTGGATTCATTGAATCAGTAGTTTTTGTAGAAAGTTATGTTTTTTTGTTGTTTTTTGTATTGTGGATTTGAGCTTTAGAGATTTCAAATCTCTAAAATCTACGGATATCAAATCTCTCATAATCAGAGAGATTCTATATCTTGATTCGTGAGATTTTTTCCTCCTACTTTTTCTCTTTTTATTTATTTATCATATTCAATATATTTATCAACAAAGTTTTTAATATTTCTCGAACCACTCTAATTTTTTACTAAGGATAAACACGTTATTTAATATAAAAATAATTTTTATTTTTATTTTTATTTTTATTGAATATTAACAATCACAGTTACCAAACAATAAACATTTTAAAATCTATTTTCAACAATCCGAAGAGTTAGAATCTTTAGATTGTCAGTTAGAATCTTTAGATTATTGACCATCTATAAATTTTAACTCATATTCTCCAACGACCCCTTAATTAATTCAATTGGCATTGTATATCCCCCACCCTACAAATTATGTCCTCCTTTTCCCTTCTCTCTTTCTATTTATTCCAACTTAATTTGCTAATAATCAGATAATTTAAAATATGAACCCGTAAATCAAATCAATCAAACGAAACAATCGAATAACATTTTTTGAAATCTACAATAACTGGAAAATTATCATCAGCTCTTTATTTGCAACCACCTCTTCGTCACTAAATGTTAATAGCAAGGATGTAGTCAGCAGCAGCACCCACAGACATGCAAACAAAACCAAAAACTACAACAACGCCGCACAGATAGTTATAATAAGAATCGCATTTGAGTTCTTCCACTCCCATCCAATTCCACTGAATGATCCGACCCACCAAACTAAAAAGTAACCAATTAGCCAACTCCATAATCAGACCAATTTTTCCACCCTTTTCCTTCTCCGATCGATTAATTGTTTCCAATAAAACATCGTTTCCTAATTTCCACAATTTCTCTAATCCGAGTGCTGACTTAACTAATCTTATATATACCCCTCCTTCTAGTAACAAATGCCACAAGCTTTCGCCACACTCTTCAAGTAACTTCGGAACAGTCTGAGCCCAAAAAAACAAAAAACAAAAAACAAAGAAAGAAATTTACTTTCGTTACCAAAAAAGACTTCGACCATGGCGGCGACGGCGGAAAGGTTCAATTACTACGCTGCCGCTTGCGCCATAGTCGCTTCCACCATATCCATCATCTTCGGCTACGGTAAGTTTTTCCATTCATTCATCTCTACGATGAACAAGTTGTGATGAAATAATATAAGTCGAAATATGTTTACTTAACCAGATACCGGAGTGATGAGCGGAGCAATGATCTTCATCAAAGAGGACTTGAGAATCAACGACACGAAAGTCGAGGTCCTCGCCGGAATCCTCAACCTCTGCGCCCTGGTCGGCTCCTTAATGGCGGGGAGAATCTCCGACTACATCGGTCGTAAGTACACCATCGCCATGGCCTCCACCATCTTCCTCGCCGGCTCCGTCCTCATGGGCTGGAGCCCCAATTACGCCGTCCTCATGACGGGACGCTGCGTGGCCGGACTCGGAGTCGGATTCGCACTCATGATCGCTCCCGTCTACTCCGCCGAGGTCTCGTCGGCGAAATCCCGCGGCTTCCTCACCTCCCTTCCTGAGTGGGGGATCGCTATCGGCATCCTCTTAGGATACATCTCCAACGTGGCCTGCGCCAGGCTGTCGCTCAGGCTCGGGTGGCGGCTGATGCTCGGGATCGGGGCGGTCCCGTCGCTGATCCTCGCGGTCGCGATCGTCTCGAAGATGCCGGAGTCCCCGCGCTGGCTGATCATGGAAGGGAAATTGGGGGAAGGGAAGAGGATACTTTTCGCGGTCTCGAATTCCAAAGAGGAAGCCGAGATTCGGTTCCGGGAGATCAAAATCGCGGCCGGAATCGATCTCGAGGAGGAAGGGGAGGAGACGGTTGATCATGTTCCGAAGAATTCGGGAGGGAAAGGGGTGTGGAAGGAGCTGATTCTGCGGCCCACGCGGGCCGTGCGGATGATTTTGATCGCCGCGGTGGGGATACATTTCTTCGAACACATGGTGGGCACGGAAGCGGTGGTTCTCTACAGCCCGAGGATTTTCAAATCGGCCGGGGTTACGGATAAGCACAAGCTTTTATTGGCGACGGTTGGGGTCGGATTGACGAAATTCGCCTTCATCGTGATCTCGACGTTTCTCCTGGACCGGGTCGGGCGGCGGAGGCTGCTGCTGGTCAGCACGGCGGGGGTGGTCGGGGCGTTGACCGTGCTGGGGACGTGTTTGACGATTGTGGAGAGGGAAAAGGGGGAGAAGGTGATGTGGGCGCTGGGGATGAGCATCGCGTCGGTTTATGCTTTCGTGGCGTTTGTGAACATCGGGCTGGCGCCGGTGACGTGGGTTTATAGCTCGGAGATTTTTCCGCTGCGGCTGAGGGCGCAGGGGTACAGTTTGGGGGTGGCGGTGAATCGGTTGATGAACGCGACGATCTCGATGACGTTTATATCGCTGTACAAGGCGATCACGATCGGCGGGGCGTTCTTTATGTTCGCCGGGGTGGCGGTGGTGGCGTGGTTTTTCTTCTACTTCTTGTTCCCGGAGACGAAGGGGAGGTCGTTGGAGGAGATGGAGGAGTTGTTCAGTCACGGGTTCCGGTCGGGTCGGAAGCAGCAGAGTAAAGGGCAAGTAGGACAGGGCAACGTCGTCTAAGTTGGTTGCTTCGTGCAGCATGGATGTTTTCACGGTAAGGTTATATTGAGCAGAAGGAGAGAGAGAGAGAGAGAGAGAGAGAGAGAGAGAGAGAGAGACCAAGATTGTTGTGTATGTTATATTAGAGTACGTACGCCTGTAAAATTCGCAATCAATCATACGAAGAAATTGCCTTCTAATAGCGGTGGGAGCTTGCACAACTCAATTTAATGACAGATTGAAATACCGTACCACAGTTTTTATCGAAATAGTTATTGATCGAGTATTTTATGCTAAAATTATGGTTCAACTATTTCTATCAGTAGCTATATATATTTCTCCTATTTCGACTTTTCTTTAATTAGTTAGAGTCGATCTTTCAACTTGTTAGACTAAATTATCCATTCTATTAACACTATTTTTCATTCACAAAGTGATTTTCCCTTTATTTTATCATAATAACACGTAAGAATGGATCGACCCGCCCCGTTCCGTACCCGCGTGGGTTTTACCCGCCCAACCAAGAATAACATGGGATGGGACATGAATATTAAGGTACTGGGCCATTGCTATAATATGTATGGGCAGCTTTTGCTTTTTGGCCTTGTATTTGTATTTAACTTTTCTTTCTTTCTAATAATAATATTGAGTCACCATTATCAAACAAAATTTAAGGTACCGACCATTGCTACTGTTTTTTAATCCTTCAATTTAACACATATTTTAGATGAATCCAAGTTGTTCTTTTAAGATTGGCCAACTCCCTATGCACATCGGAGAAACTTGGCCATATGCTCTAGGGGTGGGCGTTCGGTCGGTTCGGTTTGAACCGAACTAAACTGGTATATGTCAAATTTTTGAAGTTACCCGCGACCCAACCGAATTCGAACCGAGCTATAATTCGGTTCGATTTTCCCAGCCGTAATCGAATTTCATGTTGCTGACCTGCTGAGTGTTGGGCCAGTTTGGTGCTTCTGCTGCCTTTTGGACGATAGGGTTGCTCGACATTTATCAATAGGACTGTTGTATTTTGGCTTCTCATTTGAGTTGTTTACCACCTAACATTTCAATTTTATAAACCAAATACAATCAATTAAAACAAGCATTCAAAGTTGAAAGATAATCAATGTCTGCCTTTCAAATATTCAACACAAACACAAATCATCAAGTCCTTCCAAATATTCATTACAATACAAATGGTTTTAAATTCAAACTAACATGAGAAAGGTAACCAATGTCTAAATTCCAAGCATAACTTGTATAAACTCCAAAGGTCTTGCTTCTTAGCTCTTCACTCTTGGAAAATTGAGACATTTGAATTCAAAAATAGTACAATAAACATGAAACAAAACAATGATGGTTAGTGATTAATATGTATATAGCTAATTACAAATAACCAAGTAGAATAGAATCTCAACTTCTTACTTCTAAAGTCATCAATCATGCATAGAAACATCGGAATTATCACCACTAGCACTACTAGATGCACATGCACTACCATCGTTCCTCCTTCCACTTGAACTTGGTACATTGGAAGTCGAGGTAGATGAAACAAGATTATCTCTTATGGAGATTGCATTCATCAACTTGTCCAATTCTGCAAGATTAAAAAGACTCAAAATTAGTCATGACATATAAATTAATCATGTTATAAATATGTAATGCTAGATTTGAGACTTTTCCATCATCTATTTTCTCAACCTCTTCTGGATCCTCCTCGGCTGATGGTGGTGCAGAATCACCTCAAATCCAATCCGAGCTACAAATTAAGGCCTCCACTATCTTAGGGGATTTTTCCAGAAATAGCACTGTTTAAAAAAAAAATTCCAAAAATAGCACCCAACTCCGAAAAATTCCAAAAATAGCACCCTTTCTGAAAAACCGCTCCCTACCAGTACGGTTTAAGCGAAAACCGCCACCCAGGGCCGCGTTTTTCGATGAAAACCGCACCCCCAGGGTGCGATCTGCTTTTTTTTTTTTTTTTTTTTGAAAAATCCTAACCTAGGTGGAAACTTCAAACAGACGTATCTTTGTGTTCGGGTATCCGATCGTCGCGAATTTTTTTTTGATTCCGCATAACTTTTTGAGATCTTGCAAGCCGAAGGTGGTTTGATTATGCCTTCGTCCTAAAAAATGCCGTTTCCTACCCCGAACGAGCTTTTTTCCGATTTCGTCAAACTTTGGACAACCATAACTTTGTGCTCCAAAATCCAAACAACATGAATTTTTTTTTTATTTCGCATAACTTTTTAAGGACTACAATTTTTACTAGAATGAATTTTCAAAACAGGAATTATTTTTGGATATACAGGATTTTGGGAATAGCTTACCTTCCCTTCTCAGCAATCCACGTACATTTTGAAATTGTGTCTATGATAAAAGTTGTAGTCCTTAAAAAGTTATGCGAAATAAAAAAAAATTCATGTTGTTTGGATTTTGGAGCACAAAGTTATGGTTGTCCAAAGTTTGACGAAATCGGAAAAAAGCTCGTTCGGGGTAGCAAACGACATTTTTTGGGATGAAGGCGGGACCAAACCACCTTTGGCTTGCAAGATCTCAAAAAGTTATGCGGAATCAAAAAAAATTTTGCGACGATTGGATACCCGAACACAAAGATACGTCTGTTTGAAGTTTCCACCTAGGTTAGGATTTTTCAAAAAAAAAAAAAAAGCAGATCGCACCCTGGGGGTGCGATCTGCAAACAAATCGCATGGTGGGGGTGCGGTCTGCAAAACCGCCCCCTGGGGGTGTGGTTTTCATCGAAAAACGCACCCCTGGGTGGCGGTTTTCGCCTAAACCGCACTAGTAGGGAGCGGTTTTTGGAAAAGGGTGCTATTTTTGGAATTTTTCGGAGTTGGGTGCTATTTTTGGAATTTTTTTTTTAAACAGTGTTATTTCTGGAAAAATCCCCTATCTTAGGAGTCAATGAACTTCTGAAATCATCTAGAATCCTCCCACCAGCGCTAAAGGCATATTCGGATGCAACGATAGAGATTGGGACCGCTAAAACATTCTTAGCCATCATGGAAAGGGCTGGAAACCTCAAGATGTTAACCTTCCACCAACCAAGTACATCAAACTTGAGCACCATTAGTTCGTCTTCCTCATGAAGGTATTTCTCAAGTTCGGATTTGTTTACCACCCCTACCATTTGCTCTCTATGCTTTTTGTATTCAGCAAGTACATCAAGCTTATCCCCATCACCCTCCTCCACAATTGGGGCCAACGAAGTAGAGGCATTCTTGGATTGTTTCAACTTCCAATGCTGTTCATAGTGAGCAAATAGAGCAAATGTCGCCTTCCTCACATCCTCCGGCATACGTGCTCCCTTGCCACCCTCAGGATACACCCTTTTCAAAGCAAAATCAACAAAACCCATCTTGTACCTCGGATCCATTACAGTGGAGATGTAAAGTAGTTTGTTCATTTTATCCACATCTCCCCAATACTTCTCGTACTTCATCTTCATCTTGCTAGCCATGACACTCAAGTCGAGATCTTTCTCAACTTCCGTCTCCCACTTGGTTATCAAATAATATAGGGAATGCACTTCTTGTAAGAACAAGTTAGAAGTGGTATATTTTGAGCCCGAGATCTTCAAGGTGAAGTCTTAGAACTGACCAAGAAATCCCATCATTCTCCTTGCATTCTCCCAATCATCCTTCTCCGGGACACCAATTATGCCATGTCTATCCTTCTTGCTTTCCAAATCCTTTCGGAAATGGTCATCATACATGTCAAACATCATGAAGACCTTTTCAAACCTCTCAGTAGCCTGCAACATCAAGAATGTCGAGTTCCATCTATTAGGAACATCAAGACACAATCCACGTTTGCCTTCTACCTTTTGAACAGTAGCAAACTCATGAAATTTTTTCAACCTTTCTGGTGAATTTCTAATAAACCTCACTGCTTCTCTAATTCTCTTCACCGATAAGGAAATATCTCCAAGCCCATCAGACACATATGAGCTACACATCTCATGTGAAGGAATTTACTATCACATATACTTGTACCACTAGCATTAAAAACTTCCTTCAATTTGGCCACAACTGTATCATTAGAGCTAGCATTATCCACGGTAATTGTGAAAACCTTCTCAATCTCCCAATCATCCAAACAAGCAACAATGCCATCAACAATACCTACCCCTTTATGACCTTTAAGTTCCCCAAAATTGATGATCTTCTTTCTCAATTTCCAATCTTGATCAATGAAGTGGGCAGTTAGGCACATAAAGCTATCTTGCTTATTCGAAGTTCATGCACCAGTAGTCAAACAAATTCTTCCTTCACAACTTTGAAAATACTTTCTCAACTTGTCTTTCATTTCGCTATAGAAGGCAAAGCAATCCCTAGTGATTGTCCTCCTAGAAGGAATGTTGAACATAGAGCAGCATAGTGACATGAAGTACTTAAAACTCATCTCATCAACAAACTTAAATGGTTTTTCATCAACAATGAGCATGTAAGCTAACCCCTTTCTAGTAGCTTCTTGATCAAACTTCTAGTTTGTTAAAGTACCCTCACCTTCTACCCCCAGTTTTCCCTAAGTTCAAGAGTTGTTGAGTAGTACCTTTCTTATCACCACAACCCTTTCGCCATATGAACATTCATAGCATTGGTACCATTAAGAAATGGATCGGCCTCATACTCATTCCCACACTTCATACACCTTGACATCTTGTATCCGTCCGGAGCGTTGATCTTTGTGAATTGAGTCCAGCACACCGCTCTTGACTTCGTCTCCTTTCTTTTTGGTTTTAAAGTTTTTTCGGTAGTAGAGCCGGAGCGGACAACAGCTTCACCCACAGGAGGATCACTACCGGCCGATGAATCTTCTTCCTACACCATCGATAAACACAAGAGGCAGTAGCATTAGCCATTAGCCATTAAGCAACATACAAAATTACTAAGGACACAAGAGACAGTAGCATTAGCCATTAGCATTCTCCTAAATTAAACCAAAAAAGCAGTTAGCTATTATCATAAATTGCAAACCAACAAATTACTTGCTATTTAAACAAACTTGCTATCAACCATTCTGCCTTCTAGTTCTAGACACACTTGCTATTAAACAAATAGCAATCTCAAGTTTTTGAATATTAAGAACCTACCAACACATGCACATCCACATCCTCGTTTGGAATCTGCTGACCGTCGGCGTCAGTGGAGCTGCCGGTGGTTTTTTTTTTTTGGCCTTCGACTAGTGGTCATGTTTCAAGGCGACGAGTGGTGCTGTCGGCAAGAGCTGGGTGGCTGTCGGCGGGAGCCGGGAGAGTCTCTGGGTGTGGGTGCCGACTGCCGGGTGAGAGTGGGAGGGAGGCGGTGACCGGCGAGTGGCGTGACGGACTGGCGATGGGAGAGATGGACGGAGGCAGAGAGAGGTCGAGAGTTGAGATTGGAAGAGGTCGTTCGTACTCGAGGTCGGGGGATGACGAGATGGCCGACGGGCGACGCCGACGAGGACGCAGCAGAGCAGACGTGGGGTTTCGACTTCTGCTATTGGCAGTTGCTGCGTCGCCTCTCTGCTGGTTGGTGGCTGCTGCTGGCTGCTTCAGGTAGGGTTTCGACTTCAGCAATCGACACTAGCCTTAGTGTTTTTCATATAGGAGAAGGAAAGTGGGCTGATTGGATGCTGCTGGCAGGTTTGGGTTTGGCCGCTTGGGCTTTAGTTGGGTCAAGTACTCAAGTGGGAGTGGGCTGACTGCTGAGGTTTGAAAAGGATTGGGCCATTATTAATTCAAAAATTCGGTCGGTATTCCGGTTTCTCTGTTCTTTCAAAAGGCACCTGTCTCCCGAAATTTAGCCTATCTTCGTCTGAATTCTGAACCTAATAAGGATTATTTCGGTTTTGGTCGTTGTTCGGTTCGAACAACATATATGTATGATTCTGGAAGTGTTTTTCCACTGGTCAATTTGTGTGTACTTTATTCTTCTTGGTTGGTTAAAAAAAAGAAAAGTGGCATTCGTAAGTCAATTCCGGGATCAGGTAACATTCTATTGTGAACCATGTGCTCCTATGGAACTGTCCATATAAGTTCTCTGACTAATTAACAATGTCATATCTACTCTGCATTATAATTGCCATGGGAAACCATTTTGTGATCATTGAACCAATTTGGTTTGATTAATCTCAAATAATACTTTTAAAGTATTTGATATGAGAACGAACTCATAGTTCATATTATGAGAAGAGTTCATGAAATTCAACTTGGTTGAATTCAAAAGAATTCATGTTGGAATTCTTGGAAGGAAGTTGCAGGGGGTTTCAATTCTGGTGCTTGCAAGATGTTACATTTTGGTTTATGTAACCAAGTTGTTTGTAATGTGATCTTGGAATGAATTGAAACAAAATGTGGAAAGTGTTCACGAGACAAGGAGTTTGATCCATGATGATGGATTTATGTAAATTATATATTTACGTACTGATAAATAATGTGGCCATATTTTCTAAAACGTGATCAACCACCAAGTTTTTAATGCGTTCATTATACGCGTGTAAAACCCATGGCTTGAGACTAGTAGGGACTTGTGAGTCAAGTCTATCTAAGCCGGAATGGTTGCAAAGGTTATTTTCAAAGTAAATTGAACAAAGTATGAAAGAGTATACCTCCAATGTGTTGGAGATGGAATTTGGTTAATGCACGTATAAAGAATTGCATTAGGAGTAAGCCACAAGCGATAAAGAATTTAATTCCTACGATACTTGTGAAGACATGATAATTTGTTTGTCGTGTATGTGGTTTATGATATGATGTTTCCTATGCCATGAGAGAAAGAAAAATGAAGCTATGATTGATCCTTATAGGGATTGAATAAGCTTGCCAAAAAAAATGGTGGTCATCAAGATAAGCATAATGTCATTGGCAAACAATTTGGCATGAGACCTCAATTGAGATTATCATATTGAACTTAAAGTATGAATTACTTATGGTATATTTATGAAACTTATACCATTGGCAAGTAATTAGACTATCGATTTAGAAAATTCATCGGAATTACTTGTGGTATGCCAAGCTTCTTTGACTAATGTCATTGGTAAATAATTAGATGTGATTTCCAGTATTGGAATGCATCTCAATTATTTATGGCACTTTAAGTGTTCTTGACTGATACCATTGGAAAGTAATTTGATGTTATTTATGATAAGATCTAAATTATTTGTGGTATGCTAATCGAATGAGATCATATCATTGGTAAACAATTAGATACATATAGAGGTTATCAAGTTCTAAAGTAAAACCATGAAAAATAAATGGAATTATTCCATGATATTTTAGCAAGTGGTAGAATTGTGGGGGAGATTAGTTGTTGTATAAACTACTATCTCTCAAAATCCTACAATGAGACATAAACCTATCCATAAGGAAAATGTGGAAAGGTAAACGAAGTCATACTTGAAAGTATGAAGGTAGCCAGTTAGAAAGTGAAAGTCCTTAAACCTTGTGGAGTGAACCCTGTCCAAGGGTATAACATATGTGTAAAATCTAGCATATATTGACATTTATGTCAGAGAGCTAGTATGAGAAATCGAAAGAGGATTTCTTAGGGATGTTAGTATACTCTTCCCCAAAAAGAAAATGATTTTGATCATATACATGAAGATCTATGAACAACATTCCCCATACCGGAAACTTTGGTTTCAACAACTATGGCGAAATAAGTTGAAAAGTGGGGGATATATTGGGAAGAAGTGATATTAAATGTCGCTTTGGTGATTCCAATTGAAGTGATACTTAGAATTTTTACGTAAACGCTAAGCTAAGTCATAAATATCACTACATTGAAAGAGATACTTGTGAATTTCGAGTACTCTAAGGTGAATGAAGTGGAGAGACTTCAACACCATTGGCATGTGTTATGATTATTGCAAGGCAAGTCAGACATACATGATGTGTAGTGAATCAAAAAGAGACGAGTTTTTGGTGTATTATAGCTCAAGGAACTCACCGGATGAACCAAAATATATAATCCATTAAATGGAGACATTTATGGTTGATGAGGAGCATTATCTTGGAAAACGTCCAAGTTAAACTATACACTCACCCTAAAGACCGGTGAATTTCAGTAGTCTAGCCCCAAAGACTGGCGTTAATAAACGCACTTGTGCACAAAGTTGTTATTACAAGGGCTGGAAGAAGTGTTATGTAATAAAACTTGTCATAGATAATGGAAACATAACACTATAAATTGATTAATGTCTATCAAAGTTATCTAGATTGATCATTTTAGATCAAGTGATAACAAATGTGGGGCCCACCTGGAAATTAATTAAAACATCGAAGGGAATGGACTCGTGGCCTAGGACAAATCATCATGGTGGTAACTCTACCTAAGTAGAATTGGCAAACCCAACCTCTAGGTTCAATGAGCATACAAAGTTGTGAATGTTGGTCCGACATTGTCAAATTATTCAAAGTCTATTCTCATGATGAGACAATGTCTGAAATAAGGGTAAACCGAAATATGAAAGGTTTTTAATGGTTTCTAAGTTTGACACGTGGTGTGATCAAATAGTGTATTTTCGGAATACACGTTTAGAAATCACCTATGTGAGTGTGAAGTGGAGCCGCTTCAAGGTGAATAAAAAAAGGCCAATTCTCTAAGAACTCATGAGACCAGGCAGTGTTCATGGCAAAAACGAACACAACAATGAGAACTAGTGAACGGATAAGAGTTAGTTGTGTGACATATTTTGTCTTAGTATACAAGCAAAGCCGACGGTTCAAAGATATCACATCTACCGATTGGTGAGTATACTCGATATATGTTCACTAAGGAATGTTCAAAGGGAAACCTACCTATCCCGATGCAACTAATTCTTAGTCGAGAATCACACGATTTTTTGCATAGTTTTTGAAGTACAACATTCTCCATTCATGTGGGGGATTGTTGGGATTTTTAATGGTGTGAATGGAAATGAAAGGGGAAAGTTCCAAGAGAATCTCTTGAAGTACCATGTTGGTAAGGTGTGGGAAGGTGCGGCCTCAAAATCAATTGATTTGATGTAATATGTGGTTAATCAGTTAAATTGGTTTGTGTAACCAAACGGACTAAACCAAACCGAGTCGAACCAAATGGAACTGAACTGATATGGCGGTTGGAGTAAACCAACCGGTCCAACTATCATGGACCGAACCGATGCAATGGTTCATTATTTTAAAAACGAACCAATGTGTTGGTTGGGGTGTAACCATCCATACGAAGAGTTGCCTCCCTTCATATGCACCCCTTCATTCTCTATAAATAGCACATAACCCCTCTGGTTTTGATACGTGTTTTCAGGTACCAAAACTCTACTAAAATCCAAAATTAGTTTTCTGCATTCTTTTCAAAAAGAAAATCGAGTCAAGTGCGGTTCGTTGGTTCGCTGCGTTTGATGGTTTCCGGGGTTTGAGGTACCGCTACGCCGGAAAATGTACGTCCTTCCTATCCTGGGAGGAATCATTCCATAACCTTGGGTACTAGAGCGGAATAAGATTCCTTAAGGAGAGACAGTAAATTCTGTCTGCTAGGACGCTTGCATATGTATTTGCATGATTTCGTGATCTTATATGTTTCTTGTGTTGATTACATAATCTTAATTTGTTACTTGTTCTAAAAAAAACTATATACATGAACAATTTCCACAACACTTCCTTCTCCTCGTCGGATCTCCCCTTATCCCCCTTCAGGTCCAAGTCGGCCACGCCGTCCACAAGGCCGTCCCACAAAAAAGTTCAATTTCTTCTCATTCTTTTATTTTTTTCGCTCAGGCATTTCGTCGTCGTTTTCAATTTGTTGCTGTTGTTGTTGTGGGCTTTGTGAATGCACCAAGCGTCGACGGCAAAGTACATCTTGCATCAGTACATAGCGGCGACGGGAGGTCAGCCGGCGCTGAACACGGTGGGAGGTGAAGATCAGCGCGTCGGAGTTTCATCAAGGGGACCAGACCATCAACGTGTGAAGAACACAGAGGAAGCCGGCGGGTTCGTGCTGTGGCAAAAAGATCCGGACCTGTGGATCTTAAAGCTGGTGGTTTCCGGGTGTAAAGTCATCTGCGGAAGCAACGGGAAGCTCTCCTGGCGGCATTCTTCCAACCAGCAAACCCCAATTTCCAGATGATAAGAAAAACAAAGATACGAAACACCCAAGAAAAGCAGGGCAGCACTATTAGCCTACTCTTCAAATACAGCCGGGGGTTCTGCCAATGTCATGCAACAGATTAGAGTGAATCTTTATAACGACGACTACAGTGAAATCACCATTCCTAAACCATGTCTAATCAAGAGACTCAAACTCAAACATAGGACGGTTCTGTGTTTCAATACCCTGGAAAAGGGATCATCCTCGGAAGCTTGACGCGAGCACTTAGAAACTGATGAGATCATCCTTGGATGACGACGAAGGTTGCTTCTTTGGGTCTTCAGATGATGTGCCGGAGCCGCCTTTCTTCCCAAATATCATTTCGTCAAGATCGTCCATCATGTCATCGTTGCTCCCCTCACCCTGTGTCCCGGCCCGTGAACCTGCTGGCTTTCTGATCAATGCATCTGCTTCTTTTGCATGAGTTGGGGAGTCATCGGCCTCGACTGCAACTGGGATCATGGCAGGTTCTGGTGCGGAAGGGACCACTGATGGCCTCTCCATCTCTTCATACTTGGACAGAGCTTTCAGAATCTCATCGTTAACATTCAAAGCTTCAAAAAGCAAGGCCTCATCTTCCCCTGCCGTCTCAATGATTCGTTGGACGGTCGACTGACACTGCCGGCACTGCTGGACAAGCGTACTAGTCAAATCATCCTACAAAAGCATGAGACCAAATCCCAACTCAGATCGTCGAATTATACAACAGTTACAATTGAAAAACAAACGGCCTTGAGTGTTAGCTGTATGTATATTTCGGCCTGTTAAGCTTTTTCCGCAAAATAATCAAGCTACAAATTCAACCATCCATATCTTATTCACACACCACTGGAACCCCAAAAAGCATCATATCGTAACTTAGATATATTACTCCATGTTTAACTCGGTAAGTTGGTACTAATGTGGTATAAAGCTGAAAATTGCACAAAGTCAAAATATGAAGAACAACATAGAATTTAAACCACAAGCATGGCAATGACATCAGTGGATGTATTACTGAGCTGCACACATGTATCTCCAACTAATTCAAATTACTTCAATGTTGCGGCAAAACAACTTTGGTTAGCAGGTCTCTATCTCTATCTTGAATCATCCCAACATCCCAACACATAACAGCACCCAAAGCAATATTCATAGGCTTCAACATACATAATAGTATATTATTAGTACGGAAGGCCATTTTATGCATGCAACTTACACAGATAGTTTAGTCCTCAATGATCTCTAAGACCACTGGAGAGAACAATAATTTTTTCGTCAAAACCATATAGCGAGTATGATGGCAGTCAGTAAGATAGAAGTACCTTCAAAGCATCTTGTCCAGGAGACGAAGATAAAACTGTAGTGAGAAGTTCGATGCTATTCCTTGCCACATCAAAAGCTTCCTTAGTTTGCTCAGCAGTAAAGCCTTCTACAACAACCTCTTGATGAGTCTGCTCTGCCAGATTGTTATCCCCTTCTGGTGCTGAAATGGAACAAGGAGGGGTGAAGATAGGTACCAAACTCTCATCGTCACGACCAGGGAACCGGATGCCCCTTGATTTTAAGCTCTGCACAAAAGGAGGAATTCATGAAAACCAAAGCAGAATAGAGATCAGTGTATATGTAAGATGAGTGATAAAGCCATGGCTAACGAGCCAATGCCATACAAGATATAGGAGTTGCAAATGAGGAAAAGCAAAAACACAGCAGGCAACAAGTAAAAGAATTTTCAGGTAAGGGCCCATTGCCAGAAAAATAAGATTCATTCAAGAAGGGACACTTTCTACGCGCATTTTGAAGTTTCAAACATGATTTCACTATAATTGAACCCAGTTTATATAGCTCATCTTCTGCTGTTTGGATCCCCTAGCTACACGAAATCTAATTTTGAGATTTATAATTCACCAGAAAGCATGCAAGCTCTACCAAGACAGGACACTTTATACACGCACTTTGAAGTTTCAAAACATGATTTCACCATTATTGAAACCAGTTGATATAGCTGATATTCTGCTGTTTGGATCCTCTTGCTACACGAGTACTAACTAATGTTGAGATTTATAATTCACCAAAAAGAATGCAAGCTCTACCATGTACTGACAAAACACAATCTTCGGTTCCATACGAAATTAGACATCAGCCAAGGACAAGTAAGATCCAGGACTCACCATTACCCAAGTACTGATCTCAACAAAGAGATTAATATGTTCACAGTTAGAAAGCGCAGAGGAAAAATGAAAAGATTACTAGTAAATACGCCCAAATGAATACCTTGTATGTTTCTTCATAAACAGGCAAATATCGTAGCTCACTGCTTGATTCACCCCAAGCTTCAATCAGGATCAAAGCCTTATTGCGGTTGTTAACAACAGTCTGAGGATCATCAATCAGCCTCACCATCTCGTCAAGAACCCTCTCAGATGCCACTTCGGAGAACGCCTTCTCACAATTCTTGACGCATGTTTCGAGTAACACCAAGGCCAAGTACTGAACCCTAGCATTCTTCACCACAATCCTCTTCTTTATCCCACGAACCAATTCGACGCTACTGATCTTTTCATGATTTATCATGTCGCATATTTCAAGGTTCATAGCCCAATCGGGTTCCTCAAGCGTCTCTGCAGTAGCTTCCTCAACAATTTTATCCGCCTGATTCGGACCTTGAAACAGTTCTTTCATCTTGAAGCTCATAGAAGTCATCCCAGCACTCATTTTTCGACCCATCTCCGCACCTCCAATCTTGAGGCGTTCACCAAAAGCACTCACCTTCTCGATTAAATCGTCACTCATCTTAGAAGCCTGAGTGAAAACAAAAAGAGATAATTCATCCACTCATCATACAAGACCCTAGCTGTCGGTCAATTTTAAGTCAATTGATGACCAGCCCAGAAGAACGGTCAATGCAAAGAGCACCAGGAAAGAGCAAAAAGAAGACCCCCAAAGCGAGGACATCAATAAATCAGAGCTGTAAAAGCAGAACCCATGTTCTTATTTCACTCATAAACAAAAGAAGGGGCAAACTTTACGGCGATCGGACGCGATATATGATCGGCCGGCCGATCATGGTAAAGCGAATCAAACCATCAAGTCATAAAAGGAAAGCAGAGATCTCTACCTTACAAAGAAACCGAGGAGGAAATTTGAGGTTGTAGATGGAGTTGGCGGTAGTTGGTGTGTAAGACGAACAAGAACAAGAAGTCTTCCTGGGAGTTGCACTCTGCGAGCTCTCAACGGCGAGAAACGGGAAGATTTTTTTTTTTTTAAAGAAAACGCGAGAAACGGGAAGATGAGCAGGGCAGAAGATAATTCTTCGTAACAGACTGAAAAATATTTGGGCCCCTTCGAAAGAAAAAAAAAACAGATTCTTTTATGGTACAAACCCGAGTCCAGCTGGGCAGAAAGCAAATGGATCCAAAAATTGTGGACTTTGTTCAAAGGCCCAAACCCGTAAGAAGGGGGAAAAAATGCTCCTGGATTTTGCAGCAATAGTGGCAAAATGTTCTAGGGTATGCAATGAAGTTGTGTTATGACTTCGTTTGCCGCCTGGTTAACCAGAATATTCGTATTCTCGTCTAGTGAACTGCTGAATAAATCTCCAAGCTGCTTTGGTACTTATGGAATATTTTCCAGGTTCATAATGACGTTGTTGAAAGTGGGAAATATGTGCGCTCGACAGTGGCGTAACCAGATCTTATTAAAAGAGGTGCCATAAAAAACTTTACTTATCCGGTCTCATGTTTCATATTGTGAGATTATTCTTAAATTGTATGAATATGTCAAATTATCAAAATTTCACACTTAGAGGTCGTTTGGAGAATGAGATTTAGAGTGCGAATTCATTGAATCCGTAAATCTTGTGAAAAGTTATGTTTTTTTGTTGTTTTTTGTATTGTGGATTTTAGATTTAGAGATTTCAAATCTCTAAAATCTTTTTTTTTTCAAGTAATATCAAAATACAATAGTTAAATCCTCTACCCAAAACCCCAAAAAGACAGTTAGTGGAGCCACCCTACAAAATCGAAGGACGCTATCGCTACAGGGGACAGCAACAGGGCTTGTCTTGCCACTCTATGGGCAGCCCAGTTGACAGTCCTCGGGACCGAACTAAAGAGAATACAAGAAGAACAGGATCTCAACAACTGAAAACAATCGCGAAGTAAGGGCCCTCCCACCGAGTCTTCACAGCATCTACCATCAAGTTGCCGGACAACCACTTCTGAATCACCTTCGATGATGGCGCGGGGAATACTGCGAGAAAGCACCAAAGAGATGGCATCTCTGGCGGCTAGCAGCTCTGCAAGATAAGGATTCGAAATCCCTGGATGGTGGAATCTCAAGGACAAAAAGACTTGCCCATCTGATCCTCGAACGACGAGGCCTGACGAGCTACCATGGTCACGAACAGCGGCATCGAAGTTGATCTTGATAAAACCTTCAGGAGGACCAACCCAACTGGAGAGACGAGAGGACTGGAGGCGGGGAGAGAGGATCTGAGGATGGGGAGAGACTGAGAAATATTCTTGGACTTGGAAGAAAAACTGACGGGCAAGCGAACTGGCTAGTGGTTGAGTGAATTCATAAACCACTTTGTTTCTAGATTTCCAAATTCTCCAAAGAAGGCAAATGTCGGGGAGATAGTGGATTTGGAAGCTTTCCAAGTTCATAACATGTCGCCACCAGATTCCAAAATTTTCAGTTGGGGCGGAAAGAAGTAGACTGCTTAGTCCTAGGGATGGCAACAAAATCCAAACCCACGGGTACCCACCCGACCCAATCCGGTCAAAGCGGGTAAAACCCGTGTTGACGGGTTTTGGCTCGGGTTTGGGTTTAAACCCGCTACACTATTCACTGAGTCGGGTTGGGTTTGGGTTTAGGTACACCCGCCCCATGGGTACCCGCCCACACACATATAATTACTTTCCCGGTATATTTAATATTCTAATTAATATATCTTCCTTAAACAACTAATATTCTTTATGTTTGTGGAGACATGTATAATTTGTTCTTTCTAATTGTTTAGAATGAAGTTGATATTATGAAGTGAAGAATGAGGAAACTTAGTTGACGAGGAAGAAGCTTTTAATTAATCTTATTGTTTATAGATGTTTATCTTTAATTTTGAACAATTTGTATTGAACATTTGCTGTTTGCTTGTATGCTCTAGATTGGTGTTTTTTTATGATTAATTTGTATGAGAAAATTGATGTTAAACTTTTATTTTGAAAGAAACTTGTTATTGTAAATTTTTTACTAGAAAACCCCACGGGTACCCATGAACTCGCGGATACCCAGCGGGTTGGGTTCGGTTTAAGTTTTTCAAACCCAACGGGTTTTACCCTGGGTTTTTTTGGCGGATAAACCCATAGGTTTGGGTTTGGGTTTGACAAAACCCGCCACAACCCGACCCATTGCCATCCCTACGTAGTCCCACCATATTCCAGAGGTGTAAAGCAAGAGGAGAATGGAAAAAGAGGTGTTCAATACTCTCTTGACTGTCCCAACAAACTGGACAACGAACTTGACAGATAATTCCTCGGGACCTAAGAGTCGTCATAGTTGGTAATATAACTTTCAAACATTGCCAAATAAAGAACTTGAGCTTTGGTGGGACGTCAAGTACCCACGTTCCTTTCCAAATAGGAGGATCAATGATGGAAGCCATCGATTTTTGACTAAGCGTTAAGATATTATCCAAAGCTAGATGATATCCTGTTTTTACCTAATAAGATCCATTTTTGGTAAAGTGCCAAATTAACTTGTCTTGCTGTGGTAGTATGGGAACTACCATATTTCGAATGAGATCAACTGAATTTTCTTTGAACCAGTGCTTTAATCTAGGGATATGCCATTCCCTTTGGCCTTCTCTGATGAAAAAGGAAACCCTCGGACTGTTATTGTCCTCTTGCCGCCTAAGCTCAGGAGGCAATGGTTTATCAGCTAATAACCAATTGTCTTTGAAGGCTTCTATGTCGTTTCCATCGCCTACTTGCCATCGTAAGCCTTGCAAGAGGAGCTCTCGCCCATAGAGAATACTTCTCCAACCCCAAGATGGATTAGAGCCAATGGAGGCTTTCAAAATTGTATTTCCATTGAAATATCTTCCTTTATACAATTGGCTAATGAGCAAGTCGGGGTTTGTCCAAATACGCCAACATAACTTGGCTAAAAGAGCTTGGTTGAAAGCTCTAAAATCCCTGAAGCCTAGCCCTCCATGAAATTTACTTTGGGCGAGACCTTTCCATGATACCCAGTGTATTGGATGGTCAAAATTAGTAAAAGAACCCCACCAAAACCTTGCCAAAAGGCCATTTAAACGTCTACAAGTATCAACTGGGAATTTAAAGCACGACATACTATGAACTGGTATATTAGTTGCAGAGGTCCCGATTAGAGTGTCCTTAGCTGCTTTGGACAGGGTACGTTGTTTCCAACCTTGCAATTTCTTGCCCATCTTTTCCTCAATATAGAGGAACGTATCCTTCTTGGTTATTGGTATTAGAGAGAGAAGGCCTAGATAGGAATCCTGTTCTCCTATAGCCCCTACTCCCAACTGCGATCTGATGAGCCCATAAATTGTTCAGTTCGAGTGTCGTAGCCCAACACCGCTATCATAATGATGAGGAGTAGCCCAGTTCACAGAGGCACTAGGCCTTAAGCCGTGTAGCAAGCTTTTCGTTGTATGGATTTGCACTTGATTGATAATTCTAGTTAGTGGTGTTAATGGGTAAGTAGGGTTGTTAGAGTCCTCTGTTTGTTAGAGTCTTTAGGAGTGTTTGCATAATAGGGGGAATGGGTTTAGCATCTTATGGTTAGTTGGTTAGCTTAGGTAGACGTGGGATTAGTTCCACTTAGATAGGACTTTTCATTTTAAGTTTTTGTGTATTTAAGTTGAGAACGTAATGAATAACGGTAAGCAATTTCAGAAAACAAGAAACCCCTGGCCATTCTCGCCAAGAAAGGAGAAACCTGGTCTACTCCCGCCAAGAAAAGGGAGCTATCAAATCTAACACGTATCATTTGGTATCAGAGCCGTCGATCCGTATTTCGATCATGACGAACTCAGAGAAACCATCAAGAGATGAACTCATCAATCGGATGATGACATCTTTGGATATTGCGATGGCAGCTTGCCGTAGAGCCATCATGGCTTACGATAGAGTCAGAACACCACCGCCGCCACAAGTCGACATCATGACCGCCATGGAAGAGGCGGAGATCGCCATCCCACCTGTAGCAACCGCACTGCCACTGCCGCAAGCTGCAGTTCTAGCAGAGTCAAAGTACGAGGAAGAAAAAGCGGATGTCGGTGATGTCGCACCGCCTGCACCGCTGATGTCGCTCGTCCCTCTTGCAGCGCCGCCAACAAGTGTCTCCAAAATACCACCGCCGTCACAGGAAGAATCCTTAGTTTCCATGAAGATGGATCCATTCCTCATCGCTCCCACCTTAGCACCACCGACGTCCATCGCGTCACCGACCAACCCCCTTGTGTGCACACAAGAACCGCCATCGTTGGACATTGAGCTAGAGCCACCGCTTGCATCAGCAGCCAAGGCTGCCCCTGCTTTGGCACGCCTCGCCGTAAAGTATCAACGGGAAGGGAAGCCGCAATCTTTGTGGGTTAACAGCCGTCCGCTACAAATACAGAGGACTCAAATCCCCCAAAATTCTTTGGTGACATATTTCCGTTGTGCATATACAAACAGCCGACTAGCTTCATCCACTTCAGAGCAATATGGCGTTGATAGGGATTTTCTTTATTGGTGGAAGAGAAGGAAAAAGGGTCGAGACATAGCTAATACCCCAAAGATGGGGGACAATAATATACTTCGGCAAGGGAGGCTGGAGCCATCGGTGAGGAAAGAAGCCATGGCCTGTGCTTTTGATCTTTGCTACCTTGACAAAGACTTTGACAACAAGACATACAAGCGAAAGCGCCGGTTGGGGACAAACGTTGTGATTAGGCGAATGGTACAATTTAGGGAGCGGATGAACGAGCAACAAAGGGTTGAACGAGCTGAAGGAGGTGATGGGTGGGCAGGATCAGCCATCTGGGTTGACTTATGGGCCAGACCAATTGACTGTTACGGTTCAAGGATGAACACGTATCAAGAGCAGCCCCCTCCTGAGCTTATCGACTTACGTATCTACTTACTGAACAACGATCCATTGCTTGATGCGTTCGTATTCTTATGCTACACGGAAGTTAGCGTCGATCAAGAATGGAATCGGTTGTTGAAAGGCCGCATTTCATCAATGACACTACTTGCAGGTTGGCCTCCGTTGTCGATGATCGCTTCATTAAGCTCGACCTTGAGGACAAGGCCGTTTTTCAGGGGGTTGGTAATGATGAGCCCATAAATTGTTCAGTTCGAGTGTCGTAGCCCAACACCGCTATCATAATGATGAGGAGTAGCCCAGTTCACAGAGGCACTAGGCCTTAAGCCGTGTAGCAAGCTTTCGTTGTATGGATTTGCACTTGATTGATAATTCTAGTTAGTGGTTTTAATGGGTAAGTAGGGTTGTTAGAGTCCTCTGTTTGTTAGAGTCTTTAGGAGTGTTTGCATAATAGGGGGAATGGTTTTAGCATCTTATGGTTAGTTGGTTAGCTTAGGTAGACGTGGGATTAGTTCCACTTAGATAGGACTTTTCATTTTAAGTTTTTGTGTATTTAAGTTGAGAACGTAATGAATAACGGTAAGCAATTTCAGAAAACAAGAAACCCCTGGCCATTCTCGCCAAGAAAGGAGAAACTTGGTCTACTCCCGCCAAGAAAAGGGAGCTATCAAATCTAACACGTATCACGATCCCATGAGGCTTGCATCTCCACTCTTAGTATTTCTACTGAATTATACTGCCGATTTGGAAAGATTAACTTTCTGACCACTGAGTCGTTCATATTCCTAGAACAAGGATAATAGATTCGAGCAAGAGGTGCGGGAAGCTTGCACGAAAAGGTAAGAGTCATCAGCGAAGAAGAGGTGAGAAATCATTGGACAATTTTGACGGATTCTGACTCCTTCCAAGAAGCCCATGGTTACTGCCGGATTTATCATAGCAGAAAAACCCTCTGTGCATATAGCGAACAACAACGAAGATAGAGGGTCGCCCTGGCGTAGTCCTCTCAAGGGTCTGAAGTTAGGTCACCAAATTCGTGGGTGTGTGGCCGCCGCTCCCGCTTTGGCGCGGCAAAATGCGGTTTCTCCGCAAGTCGTGCATAATTCGCGCTTCTTATTTGTACAGAGCGCGAACTATATTCTTAAATCCCTCGTCCGATCAACAATTCTCCATCATGTGTCGCCAACAGGATCCTCGAGTGCTCCGAATCTCAGTTAGCGAGAAGATGGTCTTCTGCGCAATCTTGTGAAACATGGGCATTTCTTCTGGTGCTCTTGAAGCAATTGATCCAGACGTGAACAGACATGGAGGAGCTCGATGATGGTTCAGAAAAGCGGAGAGCCACCACCGCTTTGACGCGCCGGGGAACGTCTTCCTCTCTTCACGTTGCCCTACCCTCTCCTGCTACTCTGCACTTCACCTTCCTTATGAAGAAGACGATTTAATTTTATCTAAGGATGAATATCAATTTTAATCGTACCCATCAATCCAAATTAACTTGAATCGGGACTTTATTTAGGAACTAATTAGGGCTCTATTGAGGAGCTCTAGAGTAACAGAAGGAGACGAATAGAGCTTTTGACGGTCAGTGGCGGTAGAGGAATCGGTACTCTAGTGGTTTGGGTGGAGTGGGGTGGGTTGAGCCGGTTGGTTAGGTAAAAATTTTAATTAATGTTTTTATTTAAACAAGAGAAGTAGATAGAAAGAGAGAAGAAACCAGGATTTATATATGATAGAAAATTACGTAGCAGAGAACTACATTTGTGATGCTTTCTTATTATTTTTTATATTTTATCATAAGAATTATTATTATTTTTAATAAATACATTTAGAAAATATTTAATAATAATATAATATTGACGCTCTGTTCACGCTCTCAACATTGAATTCTTTGAAGATCAACGCTCTAACGCTCTCGCTTACGCTCCACGCTCGGGTTACCTAAGTCTGAAGTACTCTGAAGAGGAACCATTAACGAGGATGGAATAAGAGACGGTGGTCACACATTCCTGGATCCAGGATACGAACTGACTATTGAACCCTAATTCCTTCATCATTTTAAAGAGAAATGGCCACTCAATACGATCATAAGCTTTCTCCATATCAACGCTTTGACCCTGAGTAAAGGGTTTTAATATGGTGAGTGATCTCATGGCTGATCATAATATTATCTGTGATCTGGCGATCCTTGATGAACCCATTTTGAGATTGAGAGATGATTGAGGGCAAAACCTTGCTAAGTCTGTCGGCAAGTACCTTGGATATAATCTTATATACCACTTGGCAAAGGCTAATGGGTCTGAGGTTTTTCATAGTACGAACTTCCGACCCTTTTGGCACTAAGGAAATCCAAGTTCGATTAAAGATTCTCAACAGTCTTCCGGTATGGAAAAATGTTAGAAATGCCTGAGTAACGTCCTGTCCAACTAGGGGCCAATAATGTTGAAAGAAGCCGGCTGTGAACCCATCTGGACCTGGAGCTTGAGTTTTGCCCAGGCTGAAGACCACTTTTTTTATTTCTTCTGCGGTGATAGGAGCTATTAACCCCATATTTTGTTCTTCCGTAAGGTAGTTTGTGGAAACTAGATTGGAAAGATTTATCCCGCTCGGGTTTTGACTTTGGAAAATTCCTTGATAGTATCTCTTGGCTATGCCACATTTTTCTATTTCTGAAGTACACCAGATTCCTCTTTCATCCCCGAGCCCCCAAATTATGTTATTTAGACGCCTTGAAGAGGTAACTAAGTGAAAATATGGAGTATTTTTATCCCCCACATTTAACCAATATAGTACGAGACTTCTGTTTCCAATAGATCTCTTCTCTTTTATATTGGATGGACAAGTTCTCTTCCAAGGAGCGAATTAAATTCCAATCCATCATATGTTCGTTCCTGGATTTTTCTAAAGCGGAGTTCAGGTCATTAATCAATCTAGCTAAGTTTGATTGACCTCCTTTACACCAATCCACTAGGGAGTGCCTTACGCGCAATAGTCTAGAGAATAGACAATATTGGACAGAGCCTAAAACTTGTAACTTCCAAATGTAGCTAATAATTAGCTCAGCCTCCGGCATTGAAGTCCAGCGAATATCAAGTCTGAATAACCTTTTAAAATGAGGAGCCAAGACACTAGTAGTCAGTCGAAGAAGTCGATGATCTGACCCTCTATCAGAGAGGTGGTATAGGGAAGAGTTTGGCCAAAAGTTCATCCAAGAAGGTGAGATAAATACTCTATCAATTCTTTGCTCAATTGTGATCCCATTCCTGCCCCGATTCGTCCAAGTATACTTAGGCCCATGGAGAGGAGGTTCAAAGAGGCCAGTTTGGTGAAGGAAATCCCACAAAGAACGAGCTTTGTCCGTACGCCAAGTTGCACCTCCTAATTTTCTGATGGAAACAGTGAGCAGTTGACATCCCCTATGATTAGGAATGGATCAGATATGCTGGACGAAAATCGTTTTATTTCCTCTAATTGTTCTTGTCTTTTCGAAATGATGTAAGAAAGATAAACTCCAATTAAAACAAAGCGAGGGCACACACCGTAGATAAAGGAGTAATTATTGATGATGAAAATTGCAATAAAAAAGGGGGTGGACCCAATAACAGAGACCGAGGCCGAACGTGGCCAAGCAAACACTAAACCTCCCGACATACCGGAAGGATCAACAATGTGACAATCAGAAAATCCTAACGAGGAAATAAAAGATGACACCGTACTCCTTGAAGACATTGTCTCACTTAGGAAAAGAAATGATTTAGCTAAGCAACGATGAGTTTTGAGTGTTTGGAATGTCAAGGGACTCCTCACACCCTGACAATTCCACGCGAAGACATTCATTTATCGGATTGGGGCCACTTGGGGTTGGCTTCCTCCACCCTTATTTCTTGTGTGTTTTTTGGAATTGAGTCCACCACGCCTTCTTCTGGTTCCTGGATACATATTCCATGTATATCTTGATTCGTGAGATTTTTATCTCCTACATTTTTTCTTTCTTTTATTTATTTATCATATTAAATATATTTATCAATAAAACTTTAAATATTTCTCGAACCACTCTAATATTTTATTAAGGATAAATATGTTATTTAATATAAAATTAAAATTATTATTTTCATTGAATGTTAACAATCACAGTTACCAAACAATAAATATTTTAAAATCTATTTTCAACAATCCGAATAGTTATAATCTTTAGATTGTTGACAATCTATAGATTGAAACTCATATTCTCCAAACGACCCCTTAATGTATCTCACTGAACAATCATTCATAATTTCATTTCACTTAATGCGAAAGCTGATCAATCATTTCATTGCATAAAGTGTTATCAACTTGTGCATTGACAACTGACAGTGGCAAATCAAATATATTTTCACATGCAAATATATTGACGGAAACTAATTTTCTATTCCAACTATCGTTATCATAAAAAATGAATGATTTTCTCTAACGATTGCACCTATTTTCCATTTTGATAAACTAGAGTGTAGAAATTAGTAGAGAAATTAATTTCTATAGTTTGTTGTGGTTTGACCATATAAAATTTCACTATTGAAAATTGAGAATTTAAATATCATTATTAAAATAATAATATTATTGATATTTTGTGCTTTTGTCTAAATCTAAGGGGATGCCATGAAACCCCCTAATTAACCTTTGCCACCGCCCTTGGCTATGGAGGTTATGTGATAGGTCCGGTCGGACGTGATTCGTGAAGAATTCTCGTCTCTGACCTTTTTCCAGAGGTCTCATCTCGATCTCCATAGTCTCATCTTACATAGTCACGCCATCAATGGCCAGATAAAGATTGACAAACATTAAGTCAATCGTTAAATCTAACAGTCAACAGAAAATTTTATAACAAAAATCACACAAACACCCAATAAGTTGTAATATTAATGTATTTGTTGAAGTTACCTAATATAAATGGAACTTCCACTAAAAATTAGTATTTTCAGCGATATTAGACCTTAATTTATTTGATTCCCCTTGCACCAAATCAACTAACGAACCATGAAACCAAAAACGCAAGCGAGTGGTGTCGTTCCTTGTCGGTTTGGAGGTTGGTTGGACTACTGGAGGCTGGAGGAAGTTGGGAACGTATCCAGAACCAGATCCAGAGCTTGTTGACTGGCCCATCAAATCAAAGGCCATCAGCTTCCCTCCCTTCCCTCTCTCTGGGATACGCACCGCCACAACACCACAAATAATAAATAATAAAATAAAATATAGTACGGTGGCCCACGGAACATATAATTAAATAATTAATAATTAATTAACGACTCCCTTTTCCTCATGCTCTTCTTCCTTCCACACTCCCGTCCCTCCCCGCAGCAAGCAATCTAACCCCAAAAGGAAACGAAGAACAAAGGAGCAAGAGGGAGATAGATAGCTTATCGATCTGACAAACTCCGATACTGACACTTTCCATTTGCGATCGATTCGGTTGGAAGCCAGAGAAAAATTTCTAGCATCCGGATCGGAGCAGAATCGAGATGAAGGATGACGATTCTCTTCCAACATCGACGGCGACGGGCAGCTTGTTGAAGAAGGACACCTCCGATTCCTCTCTCTTCGGGAAAGGCAGGTACAAGTTCTGGGCCTTAGCTGCCATTCTTCTCTTGGCATTGTGGTCCATGTTCACCGGAACAGTCACCCTCCGCTGGTCCGCCGGCAACCTCAACCGTCTCTCCGACGACATCGACACGCCTATCCACGACGATCTCGACGTCCTTGTAAAAATTCTCTCCATCCTCTGTTCTCTGTCCTTTCGGTTTGTAGGTCGGATCTCGGCTGATTAGGTGGCGCGGGGTAATTTTTTGTAGGAAATGGAGGAGAGGGAGAAGGTGGTGACGCATATGTGGGATGTCTACACTAACAGCCGTAGGATCAGATTACCGAGGTTCTGGCAGGAGGCTTTCGAAGCTGCCTACGAGGACTTGACCAGCGACGTCCCTGGAGTCAGAGACGCTGCCATTACCGAGATTGCTAAGATGTCTGTGAGATCGATTGATCTTGATCCGCCTCCTGCTCAATCCACGGTGAGTGAGACGCCATTAACCCCTCCCACTCCTGCTCGAATTTGCTTTCTGATTTCTGTTTCGGAAATGTCCATTTCAATTAAACTATCAACTAGTTCTTTAGATTGGTGGAATTGCTGTTTGTGGGTGTAGTATTCTTTTGAGAAGATCTATAAATTGAATAGGGCAAGATCAAGAATGATTATTGTGAGAATAATATGATATGGTTGTTCAATGGGTAGGATTTGTGGTTTGATTGACGGTGCCGTTTGGATCATAGTCTTACACATATGATTCTATGGCAGTATCTGATGTAGAATTTAGCTGAAGGCTGTCTCGCTTTTCAGTGTAGCATTTTTCCAGTAACCTACACTCGCTGTATGGTAACTCTCTGTTCTATGTCAAAACAATGGTTCATTCACTGAGTTCAGATGGGTTTTTGCCATGTCCTGCATGTTTTAGGCGCTGCATTAAGTGTAGGCAAGCAAGTGAGAGCTGGTTGCTTGATTGAAGGTGAATTTGTGCTAGGATAGATGTGAGAGCTGGTTTGTCCCTTGATAAGAACTGCTTCATAAATGGTACCCACTGTGGATAACTTGAAACCCAACTTGTGGAATCGGTTAGATGGCACGTCAGAGTTCATGGTTTATATAAGCCCATAGCAATACTCTTAACTGTTCGTTCTCTTGGGGTTTACTCCATATGGTGTTGGATTGAATTGCCAAAAAAGAAAAGAGCAGTGATGTTAGCTGGTTTGTTTGCAATGAAGGGCATACTCATCTTTTGCCACTCATGGATTCACAGTTTGTCCTTCACCAATGTAGTTCATTTCTCGAATAACTACTGCGTTCCTCATTTGTGTGCCATGAAAGCTTGCACCCTTTGTATGTTATGGTACCCAAGACAAATCTGTCAACTTTTTTTACCATTACCATGGTGTTTCCCGACTAAACTGAACTCATACCTGTTTCTTTTCCTATCAAAGAGCCGTCAACTTCATTTTCTTTTCTTCCTTCTGGTTGTATATTTTGTATTGATTATTGAAACATGTTGGTGTTTGCTCACTTAGGTCTAAATTTCTTTTTCACTGAAATGCTTTCATCGTGAATTGAGCTCTCTAGATTCAAATTTGACCATTTTAGATGTTCTGTTAATGTACCACCACCCTCTAGTTTGGCCCGTATCAGAAGCAAAGAGCATCAAGTTTGAGGAGCTCTTTGCCTCATAAAACGTTGTTAAGTTGAAATGATTCTTCAGACCCTCACTAAAAACTGTGTTGGATTCATATTTTGCCCTATATTTTCCTGCCTTGATATTTAATGCTCCCCATTCAACTTATTTTCCTGATGAATGATACTGCCTATTCACTGGTTAAGGTATTGTGTATATCGCTACTTTCTAGTGATGTGTGCTTTACCTTTATTGAGTCTCGAATGTTTCGTCATTGATTTTGCCTGTGCTTTGCCCTTGACCTTGGCAACAAAGCTTCACACGTTTCTGTAGACAATGCATTTAACATGAAACGATTATTCTCTACAGAATGCACGGGAAATAAGCAAGAGTCTGAAGCTGATGGGGAAAGGTGGAGGTGCTGCAATGAGTTACCAAGGAATCCACCGATGAACAGAAAAGAAACGACAGTTCTTTCTCAGAGGAACTGAAGCTTCCTGCCCTTCTATTTCTCTACCAACGCTCGAGTTCTTCAACGAACTGAAGAAGGAGAAGTTTGTCGGAGTTGGTGAAGAAGCATCACACTAGCAGTTCTTCCTCCTGTTTACAGCGGATGAAAAGATCATGTACGTACTTAGGTTTTCATTCTACAGGAAGCTTATGGATATAGAGATATTTTCGATATCAAACGCGATATATGTTACTGTTGCTCGATTAGTAGATCAATCACTTTACTACGAAATTTTGATTATTTTTGTTATTTTACCATATTAGATTTGTTCCTATGTGAATCCCCAGAGAGAATGGATCGCTGCTCTGTTTCAAGTCTTTGATAGTGCTTGTAGAATGGTTAGCAGAATTCATTACCCTTCATTTGCCCCTGTTGCCCTAAGCATTTTATGCAGCAAGTGCGCTACTGTTTATATTGGGCCCAACCCGCAACGCTCTCCAGCCCATTTCCACTATGAGTGAACTGAATTGGTTTGAACTTTAGAGGCGCTGCTGCATAGACTTCACCCTTTCACTTATCAAATCCCAACTCCACCGTGGGAACCAAAAACAAAAGCAAAATGTTCTCATTATCTTCACCACCGGCGGCAGCCACAATATCGACCTTCTTCCATTCCAGGTTCCGCGTCTCTAATGCCGCTGCCGCCAGGGTGTCAAACCAGCACAGACGGCGTCTCAGCGTGGTGGCGAAAGCGGAGGAGAGCGGCGGAGTAGGCGCGGTAGAGAAAGCTGCAATAGCAGGGGGATTGATCGCGAACCCAGTGATCGCTTGGTCGCTGTACACCCTCAAGACCACCGGCTGCGGGCTCCCGCCGGGGCCGGGCGGCTCCATCGGGGCGATTGAGGGAATTAGTTACTTGGCGGTGGTGGGAATCATTGGGTGGTCGGTCTATACCAAGTCCAAAACCGGGTCGGGTCTTCCCCAAGGCCCGTTCGGGTTGCTTGGAGCCGTGGAAGGGCTGTCTTACCTGTCGTTGGTCGCGATCTTGGTGGTTTTCGGGCTGCAGTTTCTGGGTACAGGCTACATTCCGGGTCCTGTTCCGGTTCCCGGCGATCAGTGCTTTGGGTGAATAGAGCTGAGGGAAGTAAATGTGTTCTTATCTTGAATGTGTGGTGGCCTTTAATTTATGAAAAACCCTTTTGTATACCCAAAAATGAAAAATGGAATCTTTCTTGGTTGCAACTGGTCCATTTTCTTGCTACCCTTTCTGTGTTCAATTCAGGAACTTACTGCATCCGCCTCGAAGGGGATATCGAACAGCTCCATAAAAAAATCTCGATAATTACCGATAATTGAAATATGGTATTGGAGGTTGTATAAGAAAAGTCATAAAAAAATCTCGATAATTACCAAGAATTGAAATATCGTATTGGAGGTTGTATCGGAAAAATCAGCGATAAGGTATTTTATTCTAAAATTGTGGTTTAATCATAGTTCAACCCACCAGCGGATCCAGGATAGAGTAGAGCACTACGCCACATTTGAAAAGTGACGGAGAGCACTAGGCTGTAACCCGACCTGAAACGAATACCTAAACTCGAACATTTACAAGGGTTATACTAACTCGAAATCCGGAGGAGGGCTGGCCCATGACCTGGGGACGGCCCTACTAGATTCGTCGCTGGTTCAACCGCTTTATACTACTAAAATCGATTTAGCCTCCTGTATGAGGTTTTTTTTTTTTAACCACCGAAACGGTACGGTATTTCAATACTTGATAATTACTGACAGTGTTAGGCAAAGTGTGTTGGCCTTTGAATTTGAGTTTCACGTTCGAGGATAGGAATGACAATGAGGCAGGTTCGGGGCGAGTATCACGATACTCATATCCGCCCCATATTTATATGGAAAACATTAGAAATATTTGTTAATTTCATTATAAGATGAATAAAATAAACCATATTATGATAAATGTAGTTAAATTATTAGAGAAATTGATATTTTCACTAATTTACAAATTTATTATAGCTAAAATATGGTGAAATAAAAGGAAAATCCCAAGTAATTTGACTAAGATTACATGTAATTTAGGCAAGAACAGGTCGAGAATGGGGCGAGTCAGGGCAAGTCGGGTCGATGAGAGTACCCATGCCCGCCCCAAAACAGGTCAAACAGGTCGAGTAAAACGGTTTAGGTCGAAATTGTCATCCCTATTCGAGGATGCTATAGAAAAATAAAAAATAAAAACTTCAGGGAGTTCAATAGAAAATCTGTAAAAGTTCAAGAGCCAAAACTTATATACATAGCTACACCCTACAGCCCAGTCTAGGGGTGGCTATATGGTCTGGTCCGGTTAAATTGGTTCAAATTGATCCGGTCCAGTCCGGTCTTTTTGAAAATATAAGGACCAAAGATTGGATTGGATACAGTCTGGTCTTGATCCGGTCCGGTCCCAATTCGATATTGATTTTATATTGAGCTTGTGGGGATTTGAGTGGCCTAAGGCCTGAAAGGGTGAGGAGTTGGTTAAGTTTTTTACTAAGTGCAAAGGTTTGTGACCGTTTATGCAAATTACCCTTAAGTTTTGGGTGTTGAACTTAGGGATGGCAATTTCGACCTGACCCGATTTACCCGACCTGTTTGGTCTGTTTTGGGGCGAGTCAGACCCGCCTCGTAGGCGGGGCGGGCATGGATATCTCTTATCGACCCGACCTGCCCTGACCCGCCCCATTCTCGACCCGTTCTTGCCTAAATTACATATAATCTTAGTCAAATTACTTAGTATTCTCCTCTTATTACATTATATTTTAGCTATAATAAAGTTATAATTAACAGAAAACCTCAATTTCTTCAATAATTTAACTAGTTTCTATCATATTATGGTTTCTTTCTTGCTTTTTTAATGAAAATAACTAATATTTCTAATGTTTTTGACATAAATTACGTACCCATTGGGTTGACCTGCCCCGACCCGCGCCCAGTAATAAATTACCCGACCTGCCATGGGGCGGGTATGGGTATCGAGATACCCGCCCCGGACCTGCCCCATTGCCATTCCTAGTTGAACTCTCTTATCCCGTCTTTATCCAGTTTTCGTTCCGGTTCTGAACGGTGTTTTTCTCAAATTTAAGTACAAAGATTGAATTGGATTGAATTGTTTACTATCCGGTCCCGGCCAATCTCGATCCGAGTTATACGGTCCGATTTCAAATAAAACAAAAAAATTCGAACCAAATAGCGAGCCCAAGTCTAGCCCAAACTAAACTAATCTTCAGTACCTAATCTAGATTGATTCCAATCCCCGTTTTAATTAGGTTTTACAACGAAAATAAATAATGATTTTCCCCGAACCCCACAAATCTTCTGTTCACTGTTTAGTTCTTCCATCCTCCTCTGACGTCTGACGTCCACCGCCGCCGCCAGGAGCCCCGTTAGATCAGCCAGGCGCTCCGCTCGATTCTTCAGTCGTTTTCGCTTGACGGCTCTACTGTCTCGATCGTCTCCTCCAATTCGTGTTTAGGGCTTCCGGCTCTCCGCCCAGGGAGACTCCCCCGTCGGCGATCTGCTCTCTGTTGGCCGCCCGCCTGCCCCACTCTCTTTGGAGGTCTTGATCACTGAATCAGTACAGCTTCCGTTTGAATAATCTCTCTACAGGTTTCATCTCTCTCTCACACTCTCTGCATTACTATCGTCGTCGGAATTCGTAGATTCTCTTTCTCTAGTTTACTATGGATTGGATTTCACCTTTCGGTACAATTTGCTTCCTTGGTTCTTTCTCGCGCCTTCAGACTGTTTGGTTGCTCGGGAAGTTTTCTGGGAGGTAGAAATTAATAAGTCAAAAGAGAACCCTTGCTGGGAATTAGTGTTAGCATAGCAATTCATTGCAATTTGTTTTAGGGTTTTTCAGTGTTTGCAGTTTCTGAATCCATTCATTGATGTTCGTTTCCTTATAATTGATGAAAAGTAGCTGACATTGCAGACTGTTGATGGATTGCTCTACTCTTGTGTTTGTTTTATCGAATACCAATCTCAGAAACCGCATTCAGGATGCTTCTTATTGAATCTAATTTTCTTACAATCGATTTTCTTTCTTTATGGATCAGTAGTATGAGTGAGTTGGTAGATTCATTCCCTTAATTTTGTCTATTTGATGCAGTAACTTTGATCCGAATTCTGCAATGGATCGAGGAAAGAAGCAGGGCAAGTTCATTGCCAACAAGAACAACAAGATCTACATGGATCTCAAGGACATCATAAGAGAAGTAGCCCTTCCATTCCTTCCCGCCAAATCCCTCCGGCGGTGCACAACCGTCTGCCGTGAGTGGAAGCTGCAGATCTCCACCCCTTTCTTCGCCCACAGCCAGTCCAACTCATTCCACGACTTGTCCGGATTCTTCTGTCGCTCCACCTCGGGCGAACCCACATTCATACCCTTGGACCCAATGGCGTATGGCGTCGCTGACCCGTCCTTCAGCTTCCTGCCTGAACCGGTCCATGTCCGATGCTCCTCCAATGGCCTAGTCTGCTGCCAGGGCCGAAGCGGCCAGAAACCATACTACGTCTGCAACCCTGTCACCAAGCAGTGGACCAAGCTCCCTAAGCCCAATGCTGATCACGGGTCTGACCCTTCAATCGTGATCGCCTTTGAGCCCTCGCTGCTCAACTTTGTTGCCGACTACAAGCTGATCTGTGCATTCCCTTCTGACCTCGATGGCTGCGAGTTCGAGATATACTCTTCGGCCACAAAAGGTTGGAGAATCTCTAATGAGATCTGCTTCGGGGACAGTAAGCTCATGTCAAGTCCAGGTGTGTATGCTGGTGGGAGTGTCTATTGGCGGTCGAAAACCAGAGGGATCCTGGCGTTCAATCTCACGAGCGAGCGGTCGACTATCCAGTCCTCATGCGGGTACAGTGACTCATCCTCTGGTGAGATCTGTGCTCTCGGGTTTACGAACGGGAAGCTCGCTGTTGCTTCCATCACTGGTCCCCGGCTGAAAGTTTTTCAACTGTCCAACACCTTCACCAACACCATGCAGATGAATAGTAGAGCCTCGGCTTGGAATATGAACCACGAGGCGGTGATCGAGTCTTTCCTCTTCGAAGGGAATCGGCTGGATCAAGCTAGCGCGATGTTTGTGGGCGGGGATACCGTGGTGATTAAAGCAGCCAAGGCGCTTGTTTGCTATAACATGAGGACCAGGAGATTCTCGACGGTAGCAGCTGATGTTGATTTCAGCTCCAAGATGGTTCCCTATGTCAATAGCCTCGTCGAGATGTGAGTCAGACTTTCTAAGATCTCCTCTCCTCTCTCTCGGCTCTGACTTTGTGAGTGGAACTCTGAGTCTTAAGCTTGAGAACTAGGAATAAAGCTCTCTAGATGGAAGTTCCCTGACTGTCCTCTCAAAAGAGTGCAGAATTTAGAATGGTTAACTGTGGTTGCTGATGTGTAAATGTGTTTTGGGGTACTTTTCCTGTTTTTGTTAGGGTTGTTGCTGGGTCAGAATCTTACAGCCAGTTTTTCTGGATGTGAATTTATCTCGTTTCGATTTTGGTGTAGGATCCGGAACGTTTCGCATTTGCTTCATTTCACGCTTCTCCCTCCTTCCCCCCAATTATCCCTCTGTTTTGTGTTTTCCCTCTACAGCCTTTCCGGTCAGGTGGAAAAATTACCCACCATGGCCGAGGCAACTCGCCCTCGAACAAACCAAAACCCGTTTTCCAATCAGCTTCCGGTAAGGAAGGCTGGTCGCGCAGCTCAACTCGTCGAGCTCCCATGTTCGAGGCTGTTTTCAAATCCTTGGATTGTTCTTCGAATTTCATCAGGGTGACTGTAGCTGAACTCAAATTTGCGGCCAGAAATTCCCCAATGTGATTTTCTCACAAAAGGTTCAGATGAAAGAAACCCAAACAGTAGTGCACCGGTGGTGAAAGGCATCATCGTCAAGCTGAAAGACGAGATGTCAAAGAGCACTACTAGGCAGTAAGCATACAATTACACACCATTTTGGGTAACGGTTTGGAGGTGGGGACAACCGGAAATCCTCTCTGGCGTTCCTTTCGATTCAAGCAACGTGGTGGAGAACTTCAAATTAATTTGGCAATAGCAATAGCAATTCCGCGAAACGGCCGAGAAGCCCGCGGCGGAAGTAGAAGGAGATTAAGTCAGTGACGTACGTCACGCGAGTCTCGCCGATGTGAGTTCCACCTGCGGTAAACTTGACCTTCACGCAACCTTAGACTTGAAACGGTGGGGCGCCAATAAGATCTCGCCACGTCACCCGACGGAAGTCTTCCTCCATTCTACGCCCCTTCGTGCCAATATAAGCAAACTCTGTAGGCAGGCAGGCCACTTCGTTCAGTAAAGAAAAATAAAGCAAGAAATCTGTTGGCTTTGGGTTCGAAACAGAGAAAAGACTAGTAAACTCGCGCTCAACTCCCTCGCTCCGGAACTGCTCTAAGATTCTTCCGCCGCCGATCAGCAACTTTGCCCCCTACTCCGGCGGCGATCGAGTTTCTGTAAGAAGCTTTTCCGAGAAAAAAAAAATTCTCTTTCTCGTCTGCTCTCTGTTTTTCCCGGAATTCAATTGCTCTCTCTCTCTCTCTCTCTCTCTCGCTTCGATGCTTGTGCGTTTCTCTCCATTCCCCCCTCCCCTCTTCGTTTAATCTCTTTGTTGTTCTATCCATAATGTACCTTTTTGATTCTCCTGGTAGTTGTTTGATTGCGAAAATTACGTTTACCTTACCGGGAGAAAGAAAATTCTGTTGTTCTCAAGGGTTTTGTGGGCTTCACTTTTAGGGGTCCTCTGTTTTCTGGGTGGTTATCGTTTCTATCTGTCGATTCTAGATGTGAAAGTGAATATTCGTTAGTTGCTTTCTATGATTCCATCGCTTTTCCCTCTTTTTCCTGTTCCTTTCTTACTGATTGGACTCCGGGAAAGTTGAGTTAGTAATTTTCTCCGGTTATAGCTTTTCTTGAATTCCAAGTCTTATCTTTTAGCTTCTTGGGTTTCTGGGTTTTTTTTTTCTTTTCTTTCCCTCAGGGTTTTGTTGTTGACTTGGCGTACTGGTCTAGTTCTCTGCGTAAGTTGAACGAAACAGGGTAGGGTAGGGGGCGGGGTTATTTTCTATCCCTCTGGAGGAAATTTCTGTGATGACTGATCACAAATTTCCGTCGTCTTTTAATGGTCTTTAATTCTTGTTGCGGTTCACTTTATTTCTGGTTGACTGTAAATGGAAAGAACGATCCGGTTTCCTGAACTGTGAGATTGATTCTTGTTGAATAGTTGAGGGGAAAAGTAAATCTAATTCCCATCTCTCTTTCTTTCCCCTGTACTATTCTGCCATACCTTCACTCCCAAAGCACCCTTTTTCATATCGATCACACTGACTGACTCCCCAGGAGAAAAGAAACCGAGGGAACATGGAAACCTCCGAGACTGAAAGGATCGTGATGGAGGATTTGGATGGTGGCTTCGTCCTTGTTGATTTCGAAGAAACTCTTGCGGCAAACGACGGAAATCATGAGGAATTGCTGTCTGATGACGACGAAGACGAATTGAGCTACACCAACTCTGTTGTAAGTTCTTCCCAGATCCTCTTCTAAACTCTGTTAATCAATTCCCTTAGTTTCAAAATCTGAATTTCCCGTCCCCTGCTTTGCAGACTCTGACGCTCACCCCTGAATTTCCAAGGAAGAGATGGGCAGTGAACATCCCACCAAGGGAACAACGAATCAAGGACGTAATCAAACTCCTTGTCCTCACATATCTGCCTGCCAAGTCAGTCTGCAGATTCAGAGCCGTGTCCAAAGACTGGAACAGCTGGATATCCGCGCCATTCTTCGCCCACGAGCAATCGCTTCGCTTCACCAAAATCTCCGGCCTCTTCTCCCAGTTCCCCGGAGAAAACCCATCCTTCACCGCCCTCGATTGGCGCTCCTCTGGGGTTCCAATTCCCTCCCTCAGCTTCCTGCCCGAAAGAGTCGAGGTTCGAGCCACCAATGGCGGCTTGCTCTGCTGCAGAAGCCATCTAGGATCCTACTACATCTGCAACCCAGCCACCAAGCAATGGACCAAGCTTCCGGAGCCGAATATGTACCACGGACCCGAGACAGCTCTGGGGCTCACCTTCGAGCCTTCCCCATCCAGCTACTCTGCAAACTACCAGCTCGTTTGTGCTGTTGTGGCCGCCAATTCCTCAACAATTGATGATGACGATGAGGATCGTCTCGTGGTGGTCTCGTTCGAGGTCTACTCCTCGAGGTCCGGTGAATGGAGGGTGTGCGATGCAATGTACTGCGATGGCGATTTGGGGACCCCTGAGTTCGTCGGAGACGGGTTGTACTTGAATGGGTTTGTGCATTGGGAGACTGGAGGTGGTAAAGTTCTCACCTTTGATGTGAAGAACGAAGACTGTGGCGTAATCAATCTGCCACTCGGCCATGGCCCTCAGGGTTCGTTGGGGGTTATGAACGGAGAGCTGTGCTACCTTTTGCCGAGTATTCGCGGCGGGGAGGTGGACGTTGAAGAAGAAGGAGATGGGGCCCTGCAGGCGATCTGGTCGCCGGTGATTGAAGTGTATGGAGATATGGACATGAAGCTGAAGCGTGTGATCAATGTGAATTATGGTGCAGGGGAGTTCTGTGGCAGAGCTTTGGCTCTCGTTGGCGACAAGGTAGTGATTGCAGTTTTTGGGAACAAGGTTGTGGCTTATGATGTGGAAGCTGAGAAGGGGGAATGGATTGGGAATGCGAGGGAAGATGGGTTTGAGAAGTTTCTGCCGTATGTGAACAGCCTGGTGGATGTAAAGGTTGCTGGATCTGGAGATATGGTTTGTGCTTGGTAAGAGGATTAGTCTGTTGACTCGATAGTATGGAGTATGAGCCATTTTGGACATAAGTTGATTGAATCCAGGGTTGAATGTGATGGGTGCATAGTTTGATTTGGTTTAACTTTTCAATTTCTAAGGTTTTGGTACTTGGATTTTGATTCCATTCCTTGTAAATAAATAAGTCAATTGGCTGATTGGGATGAAATGAGGTTCATATAAATTTCGTTTATGATATTGTTTTATTTGATAGTATATCCACTTGGTCGGAATTGAAACACAATTCTTTGTATTCTTTATCAAATTTGTGCTATAGTTATTGAAGAGTAAAAACACATCCTTGATGGAGGCAAAAGAACATTTTTGTTTTTGTTTTTGTAGATATTCCAAAATGAACAATCATATATAGACAATTGCACACACAAAAGAAGTCATTTGATTTCACACAATACTTCCAACGACTTGAAGAAGATAAGAGCAATAGTCAAATAAGTATTCCAAAATGTATATATATTTTATTTTGCACTTTTCACAATTAATTTAACGTGGGGATAAGGACTTAATTTTTTTTAATAAAAAAATCAAGTCCTTATCCCCCACGTTATTTAATTTTTTTGAAAATGAGAATTTGTTAATGGTTATGGAGATTCGGCAAGCGAGGTTAGAGGGAAGAAATGACAGAAAAAACAGGACAACCTACAAAAAAGAAACAAGAACCATATAGCCATGAATAGTAAACAACGAGAAAGACCAAACAAGACAGACCTAAGCAAAAAAGTAAGAAAGAAGGAGGTTTGCTTTGTTTTGTGTTTTTTTGGATAGATCTCTAAACAAAGCAACTAATAGAGCTTAGAGATTGAGAGGGGAGGGGAAGCCCCAACTTTGTAGGAAAAACAAAGCATCGGAGCTACCGGAAGGGCTTCCCTTTCTTCCTATCACTGTCTCTCTATGTTCTTTTGCTAACACCACCTTGCCCCCTTTTCTTTTCTTCCCACTCTTTTTCGATCCTTTCAGAAGGATTTTCATCGCAACCTTTTTCTGCTCCCCTCTCCAGGTAATTTACATGAAAATGTTGATTTAATCTTGTGAAAGATGTATGATTTTTATTCTACATGCTTTCTTAATAACTCAAATTATCAAGGAAAATATTTCGATGGGTGGAACATTGAAAAATTCACAAATTGAAGAAGGTCAAGGAGATTCATTTTTACATAAGAAAAATGGAATCCACGAGTTAAGAAGTGGAGGAATCAACGTGTTCGAGGTGTTGTATAGGGTACAAAAGCTTGATTGTAATCAATTGGTTTTTTCTTCTCTTGAATATGGATGTGAAAACTTGAATGAAACTTGGGAATTTGCCAACAAAAAACGAAAATGGGAGAAAAAAATTAGAGGAAAAAAATGAAATGAATAACATATATACCATTGAGTTATTGAAGGAGAAACAAGAATTGATCTTATACTTGTAAAGATAATGGAATGAATATGTTTTTCCCCTTAATTTTCTGAATTTCTTGTGTTTGTAACAGGGGCTTGGGATCGAGAGAGTGGCAATTACAGGGGAGGGGTGAATATTTTTTCGGCTTTGTTACTTCAAATGCCAAAAATTCTTTTGTCGAAGATTCACGAGGCAGAAAGATAAAAAAAATATCTTCTTTTCACAAGAGGGAAAAAAATTAAAAAGAAATGTCAAGCTCGAATGATGATGGATCCCCTTCAGCAACTCCGTCGACCACAAACTCACCCCCGAACCAATCAGATAATGGTTCAACAAACAACAACAACAACAACAAATCACCTCCATCAAATAACTCTCCACCGCAACCGAAGAACTCCAACTCACAAAATGAAAATCCAAACTTTGGTTCCCCACCAGCACCGCCTCAACGTCGTGAAGAAGGCGGCGGCGGAGGCAACATTCAAAACAACAACAACAACCAAAACAACAACAATAGAAATGGCGAGACAAATGTTCACGAGATTGTAGCACCACCAGGAGCAGGTCAGCCATCGCACGAGAACAAGGCAATAGCGCCACCGGGAGTGGAGCAGTGGAAAAGCGCAACCAAAGGGTTAACCCAAGACCAAATTAAGCTAATTGCCGGAATATCTGCCGGGGTTGGGTTGTTCTTCATCTTATTGATAATCATTTGTTGCATTTGTTGTTGTCGGAAGAAGAAGAAGAAGAATAAGCAAGAACACATACACCATTATTACGGCGAGTACCCAATGGGTCCCCCACCAGAGCAGTACTATATGAATAGCGGCCAACACCCTCCACCTCCTCAAAAATGGCAACAATCGCAACCACCGATGGGGATGAATTACAGCGGCGGACAGCCTGGGAGCGGGTGGCAAGGTGGGCCTCCTCCGATGATGTCCAGTGGGGACATGACTAGCGCCAATTACTCCAACCTCCAGCCGCCGCCCCCGCCGCCAACGATCTCGGTTGGTTTTAATCAAAGCACTTTTACATTTGAGGAGTTGCAGGCTGCAACGGGCGGGTTTGCACAGTCAAATCTGTTGGGGCAAGGTGGGTTCGGGTATGTTCATAAAGGGGTTTTGCCTAATGGAAAAGAAGTGGCGGTAAAGAGCTTGAAATCTGGTAGTGGGCAAGGTGAGAGGGAATTCATGGCAGAGGTTGAGATTATCAGTCGGGTTCATCATCGACATCTTGTGTCGCTCGTTGGGTATTCGATTACTAATCAACAGAGGTTGTTGGTTTATGAGTTCCTTCCTAATGACACTCTTGAAAATCATCTCCATGGTAATTAATTTCCCTATCTTTCTCTGGTTTGGTTTTTTCTTCTTCTTCCAATGGATAAATTTGGGCTAGATTAATAGCATGTTTTGGTAGTTGGGATGAAATATGACGAGGGTCATTAATTTATTGAATTTGGATAGTCTTATCATAATTTAGGTTTTTTGGATGCATACCGTAGTAATTATGAACAATATCATCACAAGGTGCATCTAATATTCTTATATCTCATAAGAATGTTATGGCCATACGCCCACTAGAATTACGACATATTAAAGCTATAAATTATTATTGAATGCATCATGAATGCATTAGGCCGTCGTATAATTGATAGGTGTATGTTGGATGTGGTGCATCATGAAAGTCTGTCATTACATGAAATGGAAATTATATGGTTTAATAGGAATTATCTATGGAAGATTTCATTGTTATACATTCATTTTTAAGGCATTAAGAAAGATTTGAAATATAAACCAATATGATAAAATTAAGAATGATATATGGAATATATAATTTTACCCAATTCTTTTTACTTTCCGAATGAATGAAGAATTAATTACATTTCATTGGAAGAAGTATTTAAAACCCTCATACTTGATGTATTAAAAATGAAATAAGATATAAAATATCATCCTAATATTTTGGATAGCTTAGAGATATAATTGAAGTTTTTTTTTATAAGAGAGATACAATTGAAGTTGATTGATCATATATTTGGGATGTAGGGAGGGGCCGTCCAGTTATGGATTTTCCTACTAGGCTCAAGATAGCATTAGGCTCCGCCAAGGGACTCGCCTATCTCCACGAAGATTGTAAGTTACAAAAAGTTCTCTTGTAAGTTCTACCCTACTAATAAATTTTAACGTGTAAATCACTTACTTACCCTTTTTACTAGGTCACCCGAAGATCATTCATCGGGACATCAAATCTTCCAACATACTCTTGGACTTGAACTTTGAAGCTAAGGTATATATAGTTTGACTTATGATTCCTTGCCAACCTTTAAGCTTGAACTAAGGGTAAGTAACTAATATTGGCTCCTCCTTCCTATATGTTTCAGGTGGCTGATTTTGGGTTGGCCAAGCTCTCTACGGACAATCATACTCATATATCCACACGAGTGATGGGCACGTTTGGGTATCTGGCTCCAGAGTATGCATCAAGTGGGAAGCTGACAGAGAAATCTGATGTGTTCTCGTTTGGGGTCATGCTCTTAGAACTCATCACAGGGAAGAGGCCCGTGGATCCAACCAATGTCATGGAAGATTGCTTGGTGGATTGGGTTTGTTCACTGAACTTAACTACTGACTAGATTGCTTCTAAATGTAAATTTGTTAATGTCTTCTTTCCCTTTTCCTCAACTATTTCATTTGATTGGCATAGGCACGCCCTCTCATGACCCGAGCGTTGGATGAAGGCAACTTAAATGAGTTGGTTGACCTTAAAATGGAGGGCAACTTCAACACTGGAAAGATGCTAAGAATGATCGCATGTGCCGCTGCCAGCATTCGCCACTCTGCCAAAAAGCGTCCTAAGATGAGCCAGGTAACAACTTTTGATAATTTCTTTTTGTCAAACAAGGTGACCATATTCTGAACCATTTGATGTGCATGTTTTGTATTTACGTAATTACACTATCAAAATGAAACCAAACAGATAGTGCACACATTGGAAGGAGACGCATCTTTGGACGACTTGAACGACGGGATCAAGCCCGGCCAAAGTTCTATCTTTGGCGCAGCCGGGGGTAGTGGCGGCGAGTACGACATCAGTGCTTACAACGCTGACATGGAAAGATTCCGACAAGTGGCATTGGCAAGCCAGGAATTCTCAAGCAGTGAACATGAGACCACTTCATCAAGCAGCGATTCTCGAGACATGGCACCGGCCGGCCTTCGCAGGTACAATTTGTAAACGGAACTCACAACTGGTTGTAACCAACAAACAAAGCTCGACAAACATTGGAGGGGGAAGTTAGAAGAGGAAAATGAGAGACTTTACTGAATAGAGTGCAAAAGAAAGAAAAAAATTAATGTTAGGCATTCAATTGAAGTCTTTTTACTCTCAGTTGTTTTTGTTGTGCAAATGTATGTTTTTTTAATGGTAGGACAAACCAAGAGGAGAAAGTATTGGAAAAGAAAAAAAAAAGCGGAAAGAGGAAGACCAAAAAAAAAAAAGAAAAAAACAATTGTTAAGCATTTGATGTTGGATCTTTATTTATAGTACTGACTGGAAATTTCTCTTTCTTTCTTTCATTTTATTATTTCGTAAGTGGACAATTAATTTCTCATTCATCCTTTTTGTGGTTTGTAACATTTGAGTAATGAAAAGTGGAGACACATATCCAGTTCTATATACTTTCTTACATTAGATTGTGTGATTTTTGCATTATTTAAGTTTTTAAAGTTAGCTACTTTGTGCCTTGTGGGGCTTTTAATTATGATTTTTTAAAATAAATTAATATACATGCATACTAGCGCCTTATTAGATATTTTTTATATGATGTTACATTGTCCATTTGTTTCTCCTATTTAGACTGCACTCATTATCACAACTTCTTGATAAAATAAAAAATTCATTGTTTTTGTAAAGTTACAAATATGTCATTATCTTATTTTTATTAATGTATATAAGTTTACAAGTGAATCTAACGAGACATGAGTGACTAGCTTTAGGAACAAAAAGTTCCTAAATATCATTTTAATTTTGTGTTTTACGAAAGAGAATGAGTCAGAAAACAAGACATGTTGCTATTTAATGCCATGGATACCGGTTCATAAATGGATTTTTTTTTTCTGAATACTAGTTCTGTGCAATATGGATACTCTTTTGTGTTATCTAGATATTAGTTCGTGAATGTAAAATACGTATTGTTTTCATGTTGGATATAATTTAGCTAACATTGAAAACTAGTTGTTTTGAATGTGGATATTAGTTCGTAATTTGTTGGCTTTATATTAATTATGTGATATATGTATACTCGTATGTTTGTCTGAATATTAGTTCGTGAATGTGGAGCTCTCTGGATACTAGTCTGTGCTCTCATTCATGTATACTAAAATACTGCTTTATCATAGTGTGGTTACTAGTTCATGTATACTGATCGATATCAAAATGCTACTAAGTTTACTGATTTATATCAGCTAGCAAACCTTGAATACTAATTGGTTTGATTGTGGATATTAGTTGGTAATTGATTGGTTGAATATAGTTATGTGAATCTGGATGCTATATTGTGCTCTATGGATACAATTTTGTGCTCTATTGAATTTAGTTCATTAAAACAAAATCATACCAAGTGTTCAACAAAACATGGATACTACTTCAACTCAGGCGGATACTAGAAGTGCAATATGAATATTAGTCCGGGATGTTTTCTCTCTCCCATGTGAGAATAGTTGGTGGGTGACATTAAATACTAGTTATTGCATTTAAGATACTAGTTTTTAAATTTTGGATACTAGTTCTCTCAGCTGGATTGGCTCTCAGTCGAGAAGCCACCAAAATCCACTTAAATGAGCTATTCCTTGAGCCCAACCCTTGGATCTTATTTCTGTCTACGTGGCCTTCATCCTCATTGTGTGAGCATGTACTCACAAAAAAGGCTATGAGCACCATAGCTAGATTGACTACTATAGCACTTGCCCCCCAATTTGTTACTTGAGTTTTTTTTTTTCAGAATTGATCTCTTTCTATAAGATACAAATAACTTCATATAAAATACAAATGAGAAAACATCACTATCAAATATGCATTAAATACAGTGTATAGTGCTCTTTCTCATTTGAGTGACGTGAATTTAAATTAAAATAATTACATTTTTAATATATAAAAATAAATTGGACGTAATTACGAAAATTACATCCTAAAATAATTCACGGGCAAGAAAATTTGAATTGCGGAAAAATATTTTTCATTCTACTTTAAATATATTTGTCTATCTTGAGCATGATTGCCATGCTGGTGGAATGTCGGTTGGTTGAACCTGGCTCAACTTGTGCTGGTCATGAAACCGGGGTGAACACAGCTAGCAGAGTGATCGATTTACGACATCTAACCTAAATGATGTCATTTTAGTGAATTTTATTTAAAAAATTAATTTATTATTGATTTTATAAATTAAAAATTAAATTTAATGTTATTTGTTGGATTCAAGTATAAACTTTTAGCTAGTGACATTAAATATTGTATTTAAATATGAGTATTTTTATTTTATTTGGAACGTTATATTTTATTTACATATGGATATGAATTGTAAGCAAATTGTTTTCAAATATGATTCAGATTTATATATATGATTATATTCATTCGATGCTAATGATTTTTCATATTTCTACATTTTTTATTATAAACGGACATGAACCGACATAAAATCAACTAGTTTTTTACCCGCCCGTTGGGCGGTGCAGTATGTTGGGTAATTTTTATTCTCAATTAAATATTTTTTTCATATATGTTATGAAAATATAATGATTTGTTTTTATAATGTATTATAATGAAATTGTTAATATCACTTACCTAACTTTAGCTATCGTTTCACACTTTTGTTTCTTCCATTTATTTATGAAAATTTTAATTTTATTAGATTAGCTCTATGTATATTTTTTTTTCTATTGATTTAGAATTTGGTATGAGAATCACCATTTAAGATATGATTATTAATATTTTAGTACATAAAAGTGACAAAGAAGTTAAAACATTTAAGGGCAACAAATGAAGAAGTTAAAATAAGCAAGTAAATTTGAAATAACTAAAAAATAAGTGAAGAGTTTTTCCCTTTCTCTCCCTTCTCGTATATTGGTATATGATAACAGAGACTATCGTGATATAGATCCCACGAATATCATGTTGTATTAGTTATCCATGCAATTTTGAATGAGTTAGGTACCACATTGGCATCTACATCGTCAATCATTCGCTTACTCGTTTAATTTACCTTGAAAATGCTCTAGAGGAACGGACCAAAAATAGAATTATAAGTTGTCACTAATTTATTGAAACGATATTTTTATCAAACTAAACCGTATATAGTAGAGAACTACATATATCACTTGCAAAAAGTGAATGGTGCTCTTTTTAGCTAATAAAAACTTTATTGAATAGTGAAAGTTGCAGACTTCCCTACAACTCGGTTCATTCTATCTTGTAGAGTCCTCATTTGTGAACTGGATTGATGCATCTATCAAAATAGTAGTTGGTAAGAAAATAATTATGTCAGAATCAAAGCCTTAATTAGGGATTCAATTAGACCAAAATCCAAGCTAAGGAAACTAACAAATATCATTGCAAACATATAAAAAGTGAAAGAACATCGATACAGACAACACAGAGACCACCATCACCACTTTCTTTCGTCTTCATGACATTTATAAAACCCCACATATATTTCCTTCTACTTATAACCCTCTACTACATAATACTTTCTAACCCGATTATCATTGTATAGCTTGCTAGTAATATTTCACTCATGAACATAATAAACATAAAGGAACATGGCAAGGTGACAACCCACTCAACTCTGCTTTCCATTTTAGCATCCAAGGAATCAGATGCCATAGGCCTCCAAGAAAAACGATTAACTACTCAACCAAGTAGAGATGCTCTAAGTCCAAGCAATAAACCCTTTCAATTATCTACTACCTATTTACATAAAAAGTAAAATAGAGAACCATAAAACAACTACATGAAAAACGAAGAAGAAATACATACGCGGCATCAAGTGGAGAAATCTACAAACTAAAACGTTGTAATTAATATGAAATTTTTTTAAAAAGATTGGGAAGAAGATTAGAACTTGGTTGGTCAATCACAGATCGCCGAGGAAGGGGGATCAGTTGCCAGCTGCCGCTCAAGGAGAAAGAGGGAGTTGTCGACAACTCTCAGCTTTGTTCGTTTCATCTTTGCAATGATAAGATAAATTTTTTTCTCGTCAATGGAAAAAATATTTTACAATTGCTTAATTATTTTCCATCTAATCATTGTCTCCTATTCTTTCGGAAAGAAAAAAACCTTCATATACCTTAACATTTCCTTCCTTGTATCTATGTGTATTAAAGTAGGAAGAGAAATGTTAAAAATCTCAAAGTTTGAGCAAATAAGAGAGCTTTATTAGTTATTACAAAGTTTAACCCAATTCCTTTTTCCTCTTAGTTTCAATGTTAGATTTAGAGAGAAAATTATACAGGAAAATGGAAAGAACAAACCAAAATGTTGCATTCATTGTTATTAACTTTGCTTTTTATTGATATGATGGCGATTTAAAGTGGAAGAAAAAAAAAATACATTAGCTAGAATTAGAACTTGTCACCCATGTGCAAATGTGCCACTAATTTAGTAGTGAATTTCATAATATTAAGGATTATTTATATATTATTTTCTGACTTTTTGCATACCCAATACATGAATTATTTATGTGATATGACATAAATTATCAATCGGAATGAATGATTGTTATATCTCAACTTTGAAATGATATTGTTGAAATAGTTGAGGTGAGATTGTTATGTCTCAACATTTAGCTTATATGACATATACATTATAGTACCAAATAATATATTTTAAAATGTATCAAATTCATCAATACATATATAATATTATACATATATTCACCCCATTATATCTATTTAACATTCACAACTTCCAAACAACCCCTAAATCACCAATTTAAGAAATTCATTTTGCAAATTAAGGGCGTTTGTGATAAGTTGCTAGGGAGGGAGGAGGTAGGTTCTTAATTTTTTTTTCTCAAAAGATATCATATATTGATCGAAACAGAAGATAGTTACACCCTGGAAACCAGCCAGGTCTGGAAATCAAAGAAGCGACTCATAGTCGGATACAAAGAGAGGGCTTTCCTATCTACCAAGTGAGCTACCCTATTGTTACTGAGTCTTAATGGCAACGGAGAAATGAAACATTTTACTGGATCAAATCTTCATAAGGCTAGGGGCTGTGGGAGTTTGATAATAGTTTAGGTATAATTGCATTTATTACCAACAGTTACGCTTTCACCTTATTTTAAGTTTGCATGAGCACAATTTGGTACATCGGCAATACTACTATACAATAGACAATGCCCAATTTGGGCTCTATTTTTGCACGGCCCAAATCAGAGATGATTAAATGTGAGAAAATGTCGTGGAATGCGAATAGTGTGAAGCAATGAGAGATGAGCTCCAGCTGATGTGGCAGATTGTTTATATAAAACAACCATAATCTATCTATCTATCTATCTATACATAATATTATGGCAATTCAAAATTAAATTTTTGCCACATAAGCACTTGGAGAGATCTCAAGTTGCCAAGGTGGACAATTTTTTTACCCAAAAAATAGTTTTTGACCTATTTATGGAGTTGTCCCTCTCTCTTCATTTAATATTTAATTCTCTTTTATCCAATAATTATTTTGCTTTTGTTTTTCCATTATATCTATAAATAATATATGGAGAGAAAGGTTATCAAACCGGTTTAGCAAGTGTAATGGTTTTACCAGTGGTACAACCGGTTTGTGTCGTTTCATGTCGGTTAATAAAATATGTAGAAATATAAAAAATCATTAATATCAAATGAAATTAATCATATATAAACCATATTTGAAGATAATTTACGTACAATTCATATTGATATTTCAAATAAAATTACATGTACTGATACTTAAATTCACTAAAACTATGTATTTTACTTAGAAATTCGTAAAACGATCATACCGGTTGTCATGTCGATTTCATGACCGGTACCGGTTGAATGGTTCAACCGGTGGCATGCCGACCGACGTGACAATCATGATGGAGAGTGACATATATCACATTTTGGTTTTGCATTATATCGATGTACGCAACAATATACTAATGTTCGTAGAGTGACATATATATCACACTTTTTAAACCAAAAAATATATTATTAAAGAATACTATGTAAATTTATGCTCATTTTTACTAAACTTAATAATAATTTTACATTTTAATAATAATTTAAACAAACACACAAAAATAATAATATTTTGTCGATAATGTCTGAAAGAAACTTGACCAAGAAATAATAGTTATTTATTAAAAAGCTTCTTATTCATTCTGATCAAGTGAAAACATATGAATCTCATGTGCAATATTTATAATGTATCCTAAGTTCACATTACTAATATTTTCTCTAAGTCATGTTGATTGAGCAAGCTCTATTGAGGTCTTACATCATATTCTAAGAAATTTTCTTTTCAGACTTGGAGTTATTTATTGTTAAAGATTATAAATTGAAGTTTCCCAAATGACTTAGAGTATAATAGTTGATGAACTTTGACTGAGAAACAAGATCACTTGAAAAATGAAATGTGTGGAATTTAGAGAAATCTTTGTTAAGGATGTGCGTTAAACATCACATTTAATGTTAAGAAAAATCTAAATTCGAAGATTGAGGTAATAAATAAACATTAATGTTTTACTTCACATATATAATAAAAAACTAAATGTGTGGAATTTAGAGAAATCTTTGTTAAGGATATACGTTAAACATCACATTTCATGCTAAGAAAAATCTAAATTCGAAGATTGAGGTAATAAATAAACATTAATATTTTACTTCGCATATATAACAAAAACATTTATAGTTACAATAGTGTAAACCGAGCTATTGGGTCAAAAGAAGAATATTTAATAATTATGAGTTCAGTAAGAAAATTGTAATAGTTGTGAGTTTGTGATTTCATACCAAATTTTGGCAATAACAAAAAAAAAAAAAATTTGATATCATATTCCACTCAAGGAGCTGAGTTCAAAGGTATTAATCAGTGTTGAAAGTAAAATAAACTCTTTGTATATATATATATGTTTAGATATTAACAAAAATATTTATAGTTACAATAGTGTAAACCGAGCTATTGGGTCAAAAGAAGAATATTTAATGATTATGAGTTCAGTAAGAAAATTGTAACAAGTCTATATAGTTGTGAGTTTGTGATTTGATACCAAATTTTGGCAATAACAAAAAAAAATTGATATCATATTCCACCCAAGGAGCTGAGTTCAAAGGTATTAATCAGTGTTGAAAGTAAAATAAACTCTTTGTATATATATGTTTAGATATTAACAATAGATGTGTCTACAATACATCCAATAATTTAAATACATGTGAAAAGCCACAATGTTTGTATGAACTTTTAATTTTTGTTACAAAATATTATGTTAAAAAGTTAATTATTCAAGGAATACATAATTTTGAATGCACCTGAAATATTTGTCTGTCGTATACACACTTTACCAATTATTAATATAAGTAATGAAATTTTTGTTCTAGAACAAACACCAAATATAAAAAAAATTTAGCGAATGGACATTCAAATAGTTAAAAATTTATACATTGAAGGAACATGTTAAGATGAGAACTTTCGATAGTGTATATGAATTCTTGGATTCAGATTCTAAACGAACATCTAGACAAAAGGCATGGTTGAGGGATAGTACAAACTTAAAATATTAGCAATTATAATAAGTTGCTATACAAAGACTTCATGAACATCAACAATAAAATGTATGAGTGAGGTTTAGAGAATTTAATCATTATAAGGGATACGATGTGTGTCAAATTTCAATTGGATAAACATAATTTATCCAGTAATCAAGTATCTTTTTCCAATAATTTGAACTCTGATTAATTGGCTGAGAGTTCGTACAAACTCGAGAATCATGAATTGATATATGTTGTATAAGATAATAAATTTGAGCGTCTTGATGGGGGGAAAAAATTATATACGATCCTAAATGGGACGTGATAAACCTTTACGACATGATTTATGATCAGAGAATAAAAACATCACAAGAGAGTGTGCTAACTATTAAATATTAGTCGATATAGGCATACTACATATTCACTTATGAAACGAGAGCAGAAAATGTATACAAGATCAAAAAATTCAAACATGTAGATAAGTTAACTAATATAAATCATAAAATGAACTTCTCCGGCCAACTGGCCGGATAAAAACTAGTATATGTTATAGATAGATAGATAGATAGATGGATTATATTATTGGTCGAACAATTTCACTTGCTAACCGAAACAACGGTGTAACCCAATTTTAAAAACTTGATCACGACCTACCGAGCTAAAGCCAGGTTCGACCCACTTAAAAACTTATTAGACTCGCCATAAGCAGCGTCTCGTTGGCCGTGGCCCATTACATAGTTAAGGCCTCGTATAAATTCAACTCACCTCTGATTCGCTGTTCACTTAGGATCCGGACTGTGGCCTCAAAGAGCCCTCCACCCGACGCCGACCCCAGATTCCGTTCGGCCGAATCTCGTCTGCTCCTTCTCTGCGATTCCCGGGAGATAAAAGTTGAAGCGCGGCAAATTCGCTCCCGACGAAGACGAATAGGAGCTTAGCTTTTTCATCCCGTCGCCATGGGGGACTACACCGATGCGTTCATGCGCAACCAGAACACTGCCGTTCGCGGCGCCACCAAGGCGCAGAACCGAGCTAACGTTCTCCAGCTCAAACTGGTTCGTTCCCTTTAGAGCTAGGGTTTTCTCATTCTCCGAGACTCATACAGAACACTAATCACCGATTTGTGATCTATTGGCGTTCTATCTTATCAGGGTGTTTTTTCTTCATCTGATTGTTTCTTGATGATAGGATGTTTATTATCACATGCTGCATCATTTCTCCGTCATAGATACGGAATTTATCGATGGAATCCATCCGCAATAGTTATGTTATATCGCATTCTTGCGATTATGAAGCTGTTCTATGAGTTTCATCTTTATCCTGTCGTCAAATGCAATAAGTTATCTCTAACCGAGGGACAGGCGGGTTTCACAAATATTTCTAGTAGTTAGCTGTATATGGTGCTGCACACTGATAATTGTTGGTTAGAGAGGTTTGTGCAGTTAAGCTGTTTGGGTCTGGGTAAGTCGATGTTGAATGTTGTGGTTACTTTTTGCAGATCGGGCAAAGCCACCCAACTGGGTTGACAAACACCCTTTTGAAGCTTTTTGAGCCTCGTCCTCCATTGGACTTCAAACCCCCTCCCGAGAAGAGAAAATGCCCACCCTACTCTGGTATCACTTTTTTTATATATCTTGATGGTATTGCTTAATTTCTTCCCTTATGTTCATAGCTCTGTATTGGGTTCTAATCCCTCTGGTGATCTGGGGTTTTGTCTCTTTTCGTTGTTTTCAAAGGTATGGCACAATTTGTGAGCAATTTTGCGGAGCCTGGTGACCCTGAATATGCTCCACCTGTTGAAAAAGGCGAAACTCCTGTATGTCTCCATCTTTCTGAAGTTCTTTCTGGAACTGTGTCTTGTTTTGAAGTTGCTCATTCTCTGTTTTTTATACATTCCATAGATTTGAAATCATGGTTTTGTTGTCTGTTTTATCCAGGCACAAAGAAGAGCCAGAATCCACAAGCTACGATTGGAAAAAGGTGCAGAGATTGCTGCTGAGGAGCTTAAAAACTGTGAGACTTTCTTTCTCTTGGCTGAATCTTATCTATATGCACAGAATAAATCTTGTAGTTCTAACATGTTGGTACTCATCTTGTAGTTCTAACATGTTTGTACTCCTTTTCTCTCATCCAGATGATTCCACTAATGACTCGAATGTCTCAGGAGATCCGTACAAAACATTGTTTGTGGCTAGGCTTGTGAGTCTTACCTTTAGTTCTCTTTTTTTTTTCTTTTCAGTTTTTTATTTATTTTTATTTTTTTATTTTTTATGGTGACTCTATCTAAGTTGCTTAATCTTTTCTTGCAGAACTACGAGACATCTGAGAGTAGAGTTAAAAGGGAGTTTGAGTCTTATGGACCAATAAAAAGGGTAGGTACTTTTGAATATAAGCAAGGAGGTTTGGTAAGCAGATATTTAACAATATTATTATTCACCTTTGCTGAACAGTTAAAGGATCCTAAATTCTTAACTAAACCTGAGGCTATTTGTTCCTATGTCTTTATTTCGCATGTCTGCCTCTGTGGTCACTTAAAAAAATTAATGTCATGCCAATTTTTCAAGTTCTAAAGCTTGTTCGAGAAACAATTATTAGTAAAACCACAGGTATGATTTGCCAAAGAAAAAGGTTTCTTCCGTTTAACATGTGGTATGTGCGCTGTGGTTAGTGCATTCTGTACTCAATAATATGGAAGACTGTTGATCTTCTCTCTAATTTCTAGCATCTGTGACTCGGGTGAAGTATGCAGGTCAGGTAATAGGACAGGTATCACTGCTTATTCACTGGTATTAACATGGATTTCATGAGCTGATCCTTTGATAACTCTGTTTGTTGTAGTTGGTTTTAGAAATTATCTTGGAATTGGGAAATGTTTCAGTTTCTAAGTAGTATGATCTGCTAAGATTCATGACAGTGGGAGATCTGTGGTAAGGGGTTTGTTTATTTTGTTCCTCAAATGGAAATCTAGGCTCTTTATTTATCTTGCCATTCCAAATGCAAAGATGTTGCCTCCTGCTGGTCAAGCTGAAAATCGTAATTGATCCGAGCTTAGAGCACTTGCCCTTTGTCCTTTGCAACAAAAGAAGGCTGGCATCTGTTTTTTCTCCTACTCTTGGTAACAAAGTTGGGAGTATTAGCACCTCTTATCTCTTTATCTGGACTTATCATAGTACAATTTCTGCTACTAAAACTCTTACTTTTGACATTTAAGGCTACCAAAACACTTCAGCAATTGTGAAGATGTTCTTCTGGTATTTCCTTCATTTTCTTACTGTCTCCCAATTAGAACATTGCTCCCTGGTAAGGGGATGGTTAGTCTTTTCTGTCCAAGAAATGGTAAATATGGCACGATATATCAGTTTTACTGCAACTCTAGCGCTGGCGGTGATGCATCTCACAATTGGCAGCCCTTTTATTGAAGGTGAGCACGGCTCATTAGGCTTAGTGCCTGTCTGCCGTGCCATTTTAGGAATTTGTAGTTCAAAACTTTCCATAAAAGTGCACTCTATATGGAAAATAGGTGACAGAGCTTCATTTTATTTTCTTTGTGCATTAGATCATTCTCTTGCTTTGAGCATTGCAGGTCCGCCTCGTGACAGACAAGGATACAAACAAACCTAGAGGCTATGCTTTCATAGAATATGTGCATACACGGGACATGAAAGGTTTGAGCTCATTTTTCCTTGTACATTATCTTCTACTCTTCTTCTGTATGGCTTTCTGATTTGTGCTTATATGTTTGGCAGCTGCATATAAGCAAGCTGATGGGAGAAAGATTGATGGTAGAAGGGTACTTGTTGATGTCGAACGTGGTAGAACCGTGCCAAATTGGAGGCCTCGCAGGCTTGGTGGTGGACTTGGAACTAGCAGAGTAGGTAGCGAAGAGGTTGCTACGAGGTACTTTGGGAGGCATTGTTTGTTGTGGTTAATACTTAATAGCGCTGTAAACTGTAGCTGCATGTTGTCTCATCATATGTCCCTGATAGAGACCTAATTGGTTGTCTTGGGCTGCTCATTTTGCCAAATTAAGGATAAATTAACTTGCATCCGTAATTATTTTGATTGTTATATGTTTCTGAAAATGATATACTCGTTGTGTGTCATTGGAAACCATTTTGACACCGCCTGCATCATTAATTATCGTGGACATTGATCTGCTTCTGTTGGAGAAATTTATGTCTACTAAAATGTGCTTTGGTTTGTTTTTTTACAGAGAAGCTCAGCAACCTGGAGGTACATCACGATCTGAGGAACCAAAGGCTCGTGATGATCACCATGTTGAACGGTAAGTTGCCTCGTCTTGTTTGATGTATATAGAAGACAGAATGAAGGTTGTGTATATCTTGTTTAATTTACTATTTTTCTTTGTATGTTCTGTTCTGAATTTTTGTTTATATCCGACGGTGATCTATTATAGGGAGAAGTCGCGGGAGAGAGGGAGGGAGAAGGAGAGAGAAAGAGAGAAGTCCCGAGAGAGATCCCATGATCGCCCAAGGGATCGTGACAACAACAGGGAGGATAGGCATCACAGAGACCGTGATAGGGGTGAGAGGGAGAGAGAGCGAGGAGGCCGAGACCGAGAAAGAGATAGTAGGGATGGCCGTCGCGATCGTGGTGGTAGAGACCACCGCGACCGGACAAGAGAGAGGGAGAGGGATGGCGGTGATGATGACCTTCGTGGACGCTCCCGTGATCGAGAATATGATTACCAACGTGGCGACTCAAAGCATAGTAGGGACCGTCGTGATTATGATGGTGGTGATGCAGAGGACGATCCTGGGTGGTACGATCAATCTGATCAAGGGGGACATAAGCGATCTGTCGATGATCAACAACGATATAAGCAGTATGACCGTCATCGTGGTAGGGAGCAGCAATATGACGACATGGATGTTCAAGAAGGCGATCAAGACCGTTATGGCGATCAATACACTGCTGGCCGTGATCGATCATATCAGGTGGGTGATGATGATGATGATTACCGCTAATATTGAGGAAGAGCTTCTGCAAGGACATCGGGCTGGTTTTCAAGGGAATCCCACAAGACTTTCCTTGAAGCCTGTAGCGGTGAGATTGAGATGAAATTTGTTTTGAAGGTTTTTTTGGTTTCGTGTTTTTTGTACTGAAGAAAGGTCTGTTGAATTAGTTGCTTGGTGGATCACATTTGGTTGGTGTTTTGTCTCGTAAGTCTCAAGGTACTGGCTGCAGCCTGGAGGATTTACTTGGTTATCTGTATTGTTTAATGTGTGGATTAATGTGTTTCTCTGCCAGTTTGGTTGAAAGCTCCCATCTCTCTCTGTCTCTAATCTGTTTTATATTAGGGATATATTGGTGGGTTGCATATTTGTATATTGGTGCTTAGTCTGTGTCCTATTTCATAGAGTGAAAAGAAACTAACTACGGGACGGAATGCCCAGAATCGCAAGTGATGAAATCAAGCAGGACTAAACAATACCAATCTCTGAGGTTTAAAATCAAGAGCATGCTCGTGAGCGGCTCGGCGTTCGATTTGAGAAAAATTTGTTCGAAACTCGACTTGTTTACTAACGAGCCGAGTTTTAGTTAAGCCTGCAGTAGCTCACGAGCTAGCTCGACTTGGTGGCTTGTTGAGTTCAATCGTGAGCTGACTCATTTACAGTTCATGAGATGTCTTAACTCTCAACATTGTACCTAGAAAGCTAACTCGATTACCGACTTATGGGCGAATCGACCTATATGAGTTTGATTTTGATTATTCATAGGATTGTTAAATTATATTCTCACCCTATGAAATTTAACACGTAGATTATGTGAGCAAATATGTCTTATTTAATTTTAAAAAGAAATTATGTATCATAAATTACTTCGATTAGTTAAAATTTATCAACTAAATAATATGAACACACAAATATTATTATTATAATTTTCATTTTGACATTAATCACATTTATCATGCATGACATACAAACTGAATATATCAAATAAGAGACAAGATTTTAGTAACCAAACTAGCTCAACTTCGAGTTGGAGTAAAACTCGGCTCAACTCAGCTTATTTGCATCGCTACTTGCAGCCCTACTTGCCAGGTGCAAGTGCAATCAACCTTCACGAGTGAGTGAGTTTTATTAAAAAAAAAAAAAAAAGAGTGAGTGAGTTATTCAAAGACGCCACTCGCTCTCACTGTTAAGAGTCCATGAAGTGACATAGGAAATGGTGATTAAATTAGACACGAGGAAAGTACATGACTTGGTAGATTGGAAAAGGCTTGATAATATCTAACAAGCAATGGGATTTGGAGATCGTTGGAGAGGATGGTTATGGCGTATGGGAAAGAAGTCAAAATTGTTCAAAATTTGCTAAGGAACAAAATTAAGATGGTAAATTGCAAGTTTGGTTGGATTACTAAAAAAAATTCACGTTCTGTCACTAAAAATATTTTATTCTAGTCATGATCACTAAAATTATCACCTTTACTTTTTAGTGTTTTCATATCCGTTCAATACGAAAGATTTCCGGGTTGAATATGTGAGATATAATTAACCTCCCAGCTGAATGATTCTCGTTGTTCTTTGAGGAACTCCTCCTTGCACTACTACAGGAAATTTCGCCACTTTGGATTTTTTTACCACTTTGCTAAGGCACCGGCATCCATCCCATCTTTCTTTTCCTCCTTCGGTTGCTTGCATTTCAAGACAGCCGTACTCAGAGGCTGTTTCTTTTCTGTGCACGGAGTAACGTCATTTTTACAGGAAACCCAACAGCTTAACCTTTAGCTAAAAACAGCAGTACGCATTTCCTGTTTAAGTTCCAACTGCAACTTCACAGGAAGTACACACCTCAAAATAAATTTGGTAACATCGATAAATTCGATAATCGATACAATGTCGATGCATCTCAAATACCGGTACCAAAGTTGCTTTGGTCACACCCATGCCACCTTCCTCTGAAAGGAATCACAAAAGGACGCCTCAGAATTTCATATCCGGGTCGAATTAGGAAACCACCCCACACATGCAGAAGCAACTTTAAGACTGAGCAGCCAAAGGAGTGAACATTTAAACAACTCATATATTATCATCTTTCCCTCTTGCACACAGTTCTTTCTGCAGCATTCTCATCAGTTAACTTGAAGGAAAAGAAAACAATGGATCAGAACAACAAGCTCAGCCAAAGATCAGTAGCAGCCTGGATGACAATTCTATGGCTGCTTACCATCAGAATCACAGCCACTGCAGCACATAGAATGTTAGGAGATGAAACTGAAGAAGTGCAGAAAGAAATTAGACAAGATCAGTTCCTGACAAGAATGGTTCATTTCCTGTGGCAGAGTGGCAAGTCCTCTTATGAGCCTGTCTGGCCTGTGAGTAATACCAATTCTGTCCCCTTTTCGCACCCTTTTCCCCCTCCGATTGTTCTTCGATTCTAATCCCTAAACGTTTCAGGAAATGGAGTTTGGATGGAAGATTGTGGTAGGAACAGTAGTAGGCTTCTTTGGAGCTGCATTTGGCAGCGTTGGGGGAGTTGGAGGTGGTGGCATCTTTGTTCCCATGCTTACATTGATCGTCGGCTTCGATCCCAAGTCTTCAACTGCCATTTCCAAGTGTAAAAATCAACGCGAGTTTTTCAACTTCATAGTTTAGTCATGTGGCGTAACGTTTTTTTTATTAATGATGGATGGTGGTGGTGAATTCTGCAGGCATGATAACGGGCGCTGCTGGATCAACAGTTTACTACAACCTGAGACTGAGGCATCCGACGCTGGACATGCCACTCATTGACTACGACCTTGCCCTCCTGTTTCAGCCGATGCTGATGCTTGGGATCAGCATCGGTGTCGCGTTCAATGTCATGTTTGCTGACTGGATGGTCACTGTTCTCCTCATCATTCTCTTCATAGGCAAGTTGGTGATAACTAGTTACTGGAAAGATAAAAATAACAGTAGTAGTTGGAATTGAATTAATGGGGCAAACTCTGCAATTGACTACTCTGCAGGTACATCAACAAAGGCTTTATCCAAAGGCATAGAGACATGGAAGAAGGAAACAATGATGAAGGAAGCTGCCAGGCAGATGGAATCACAACCCAAAACAGATCATGATGGTACTGACCATTTTGTTAATGCCTAACCATATAAAGAAAAATAGGTAGTATACTGTGAAGTGTATAATTTACTGAGGTAAAATTCTGCAGATCATGGCAATGGTGGTGAACAAGACTATAAGAGGCTGCCAAGTGGGCCAGCAGCTCTCCATGATAACGATGATGAGGTGAGTTTATTCATATTTAATGTTTTCAGCAGAAACTAATCCCATCTAGTTACTTATGTGCTCTCTGTTGTTCCTTTTTGTTGCCATTGTTATCAGGTTTCCTTATCACAGAACATACACTGGAAAGAGATGGCAATGCTGGTTTATGTCTGGGTGGGATTCCTTTTAGTTCAACTAGTTAAGGTACAGGCACACAACTTCCCTTCACCTTTTTCCAGTGTCGCGCGAAATTCTTCGATAGACTGAATCCATCGATTCGTGTGACTTCGTAACGCAGACATATGTTCCAACTTGCTCTGTCACATACTGGATCTTGAATGCCTTGCAGGTAATACCCATTCATGACTTTCTTAATTAACAGTAGTGTTTATTTTTTGCTGTAGCAACTCAACAGAAGAAATGTTGCTGCAATGGTTTGTACTGTAGGTACCAATTGCAGTGTCTGTGTCAGTGTATGAAGCGGTGTGGCTGTGGAAAGGGAAAAGGGTGATAGCTTCCAGAGGGAAGCAAATCACCAACTGGAAGCTGCATCAGCTGTTGCTGTACTGTTGCTGTGGGATAGTGGCTGGGATGGTTGGTGGCCTCCTTGGCCTTGGTGGTGGCTTCATCTTGGGGCCTCTTTTCCTTGAACTTGGTATCCCTCCTCAGGTGGGGAAAACTGGCCATTTAGGGAAATCAAACATTTATTGAAAATCAAACACTATAATCTGAGATTTACATAAACTCTCACAATCTCACCTGTAATGCAGGTGGCAAGTGCAACATCAACCTTTGCAATGGTGTTCTCATCTTCAATGTCTGTAGTCCAGTACTACCTCCTCAAACGCTTCCCTATCCCCTATGGTCAGTCTCGCATCCAACGTGACCCTAACCCGTCGAAACATTTGTACTTGAATTGTTTGTTAACATGACGAACAAGAGCTTGGTCTAGTGCTTACACTTGTCTGATAATTAGTCTTAACTATGGTTGCTTGAAAATCTATATATGGTTGCAGCTGCTTATTTCGTGGTGGTATCGACCATTGCTGCTCTGGCTGGGCAACATGTGGTGAGAAAGATCATTGCAGTTCTTGGGAGGGCTTCAATCATCATCTTCATCCTTGCTTTGACCATTTTCCTCAGTGCAATCACCCTAGGTATACTGCTCTCTTGTCTTCCATTTTTTTCTCCACCATCATCATCTCCTTTATAAAGTCACCATTTCTGGTTTTCTGGAGAAAGTTACACTTTGGTTGTTACTGCAGGAGGGGTAGGGATAGTCAACATGGTTGAGAAGCTGGAGAAGAGAGAATACATGGGGTTTGAGAACTTCTGCCGCCATTGATCTCAAGATTCGAGGATGTTGCAAAACTGTTGTCTTGTGCGAGTCAAGCTGCTAAATAGTGTATTTGAGTTTGGTTATTGTTCTTCTTCGCCATAATATTATGTACGAATAATTATGAAGCTTCTAAATCTTTATTTTGAACTTGTTTCTTCAAAATTAAATGTTGTGTCATGAAAAATTAAGAAGGAATTTTGAGTCTTTGACTCATCAACCACATTTTTTTATTAAAAGTGAGGACACTATACATTAGTTAGAGTGGTCACATAAGCTATTCTTGAAGGGCTTTCACAATATAAAGACAATCTGTATGCATAAGTGAGTCTAAGCCAGACGCATTTGCAAATTCCAAAGCAACTAAGATAGCTTGTGCTTCTACCACAATTGTTGATGAGCAGATTAGGGTAGCAGCCCTGCCGTCAACAATCTGTCCATGGTAGTTGGTGACCACATCCCCATATGCCGCCATATGAGAAGGATCTCAGAATGATCCATCACTTCCGCTAAAAATTGCTTGGCGGTGCCACAAATGTTGAGCGGGATACCTTAGGCTGGCTAGGTGATTAATTTGATTTATCGTAATATAACGTTTGATATTTCTGATTGTGTTTTCAATATTAAAAATAAAATTTGTTTTTACAAAATATGACACTTGCAATATCCATTTAATGCGACATGTACTGTTAAATAATTAAATTGGGGGAAAAGAAACAACAATCCCTATTGAACAAACACAACTCTAAGTTAAAAGTTGATATTTTACAATAATTTATTTTGAATGATTGTTCCTGCAAATAACACATGCATTATGTTTGCATAAACAAAGATGGATTCCAAAGAAAGAAAACATTATAACAAGGGGATGTAGCTCAAATGGTAGAACGCCCGCTTTGCATGCGGGAGGCACAGGATTCGATCCTCTGCATCTCCAAACAAAAAATTTTGAAAAAAATGTAAACATTAGAACAATATCGATGGAACACTCGACCTCATAGTATCCCCTGCATCTCCAAACAAAAGCTTTTAGAAAAAAATGTAAATATTAGAACAATATCGATGGAACACCCGACCTCATAGTATCTTTTAATTGAACAAATCTATTTGACTACTCTAGAAAAGAATTTGGGTAAATTGCAAGTTTGGTAATTGGAATTACTTAAAAAGTTTTTGTTTGTCACTAAAATTAGTTTATTCCATCCATAGTCATTTAAAATAGGTTAAGAGTCCAAGTTTGATCACTGCCGTTAGTCTCAGTTAAATTTTGTTGATGTGGCGATCAACTATAATAGTTGACCGTTAAATGAGTGACGTGATAATTTAAAAAAATAAAATTTAATTATTTTTATTTTCCACCGAATTATTATAAAATTCAAAACAAGAAAATCCAAGGATGTTCAAGCCACTCCCGTACGACTCGCTTGATTCTTCGGTAGGGGATTGTTTAGAGGCAGAACCGGCTTTGGCCGGGGGAGGCGGGGCGTTTGGTTTCCTTGGAGGAGCTGGCAGAGGCGGCGCTAGAGTCTTGTTCTAGAGAGGTGGCGGAGGAGCCGGCGACTCCTTGGGTATTGTTGGTGGCAGTCGAGGCGACATCAAGGGCGCGGCCGGTGGCGGGGGAGGAGAAGGAGGAGGAGGGCTGAATTATGTTTTCAATATTAAAAATGAAATTTGTTTTTGAAAAAATATGACACTTGTAGTATCCATTTAATGCAATATGTACTGTTAAATAATCAAATTGGGGAAAAGAAACAACAATCCCTACTGAACAAACACAACTCTCAGTTAAAAGTTGATATTTTACAATCATTTATTTTGAATGATTGTTCCTGCAAATAATACATGCATTATGTTTGCATAAACAAAGATACATTGCAAAGAAAGAAAATATTATAACAAGGGGATGTAGCTCAAATGGTGGAGCACCCGCTTTGCATGTGGGAGGTACAGGGTTTGATCCTCTGCATCTCCAAACTTAAAAAATCTTTTGGAAAAAATGTAAAATTAGAACAATATTGATGGAACACTCGACCTCATAGTATCTTTTAATTGAACAAATCTATTTGACTACTCTAGAAAAGAATGAGCATTGCTATTCGTCGCCCTAACTTTTATTAAAATGACTTAAATATTCTTGCCTTCTTCTACCTCCTCCTTGCCTTCCACCGAGTCTTTTCTCTCTTTCTTATCATCGGGACAGGTCAGGAATTCGTCCCATGCTCGCCGGAGACAGAGTTTCAACACGTCTGGCATCTAGGAAAAAAACTAAACCTAAGCATTCTTCCTCATTCGTGTCCTTCCTTTTGTTCGGTACAGAAGAATCCGACAGTAGCAGTAGGGAAGCGGCGGTGGGCATTGGGCCGGAGAGAAGATTTCTCAGCATTAGAAGTGTAGGACAGAGGAGTTAGGCGGCGGCCTCCTTGCGCGATCCGTTTACCCTTTTTCCCTTGCTTTCAATTATTCCAACAATTCTTAATTACTTTTGAATGGGAATTATTCCAACCGTTGCCTGATTTCAGCTTCCATGAAAACTGCACCAAGCCAAAAAAAAAGAAAAACGAAACTAGAGAAGAAGAATCATCACCATCAAAGCTCGTGCAAGGAACTTGAGAAATAGGCTTACTTTTATTTTGTCATTTTTGGAATTTAGTCATATATACTCTTCTTCCTCCTCCTGCTTGGGATCGACTCCGACAGTAGAAGCAAAGCACCTGCGAAGATCGGGTTGAGGTGGGCGGCTCCGATAGAAAATTCGGACAGTGACAGCAGAGACCGCAAGACAGAGGATTAGCAGGGATCGGAGGGTAAGAGTGTCAATTTGGTACATTTTAGGACGATAAAATTTGAATTTTAGGGCGACGAATAACGATTCAGAAAAGAAGAGAATTTGGGTAAATTGCAAGTTTGGTCACTGGAATCCCTCTATAATCGTTCTTCATGAGATTTTGAGCATTTCAAATTTTTTGCACTCTCCTTAATTGTAGATAGGGGTAAATTTGTAAGTTCAACTTAGAACTTAAATATCTTCTTACGAGAAAAAAAAAAAGCCATTACCAAGACTTGAACTCGAGTCCTTCAGATTGATAGTCAATATCCCTAACCAACTAGACTACAACAATGTATATGTCTTTTTTGAATTAAAAAGAGAAAATACTGAAATATCTCAAAATCATAGGACTATCCACCGCAACAATCAATCATCAAATTAATTAATAATTGTAATTATTTACAAAGTGAATCATCATGATATACCTAGCTTTGTGAATCAACTAAGTGAGTTTCTCTAATCACACAATTCTTCACCAAGAATCAAATAGTACATTTTGAGTTTATGTATGTCTTACAACTTTTACATTTATTAGGTTACATGACTTTGTAGTTTGTAGGAATACAAGGATTGTTTACAAAAGTGTTATACAAAATTTTATTTCAAAACATAAAATTTGACATTTGTGATCTATGGTTTTGTAACGACACATTTTCAATGCTATAAGTGAATGACCAAAAATCATTGGCTAACAATTTCCCTAATGGTTGAGAATTATGAGCATATAATTGAAAGACTAAATACCATTGACAAATGAGCCACTAGACCATAGATTAATCACGTAACTAAATTCTATATCATAATTCTCTAAATCCTAATATAGTGCATATGGTATGTTGTATACATCTTGGCGAATCAGAATCATTGCTTATGTTCTTAGTATATGTGATATTAGGGTTTAAGTTCTATAGGTTTAGGGTATATGATTTAATTATTGGAAACTTAATCTCCCTTTTCGAATTTCCTGCAATGAGAGAAAAATTAGGAAGGACATTTTTGTCTTCACAATTATCTGTATTTTTTTATTTATTTACAGAAAAAGATAGACATATTGAGATTTGAACCATGGTCACTTCAAACAAAGTAAAATTTTAAAATCAATCAGACTATGTAGATTTGTTGTATTTTTTTTAAATTAAAAATATATACGAAGCTAAAATATGAAATCACATAACTTTTCAACAGTTAGCTAGCCCAATAAATATTTCGTAAGTACTTATTGGTGTTTTGATACTTCAATTTTGATATTTTTATTTTTATTATAATTTAATACTTAATTTAAAATTTTATCTATATTATAGATAGACGATAACCATAAATTTGCAACCAAAATATTGTTGGTTCGAATATTTCATATCGAATTATAGTATTGAATATGTAGAAGTGATATAGAATTCTTAAATTATCATTAATTTTCAGAACTATAGTAAAACAATCATATCTTTGTGCAAACTATAGGGGACTGGTTCTCTGAATATTTTTGTCCAGTTAAATACTAAGTTTGAAACTCTTCCTAGGGATGTGCGTGGGTCGGTTCGTTTGGGTTTAGATATTTTAATCACCTAAATCATATACCACGATTTTGAAAACACTAAATACAAACTCACCCAAATAATTTAGAATTTTAACGGTTTGTGTCCTCCATACCAAATGACCAATTTACATGTCGCTTAACTAAGGACGATCTCATTGTCCAATCCCATCATTCTAATGTCAATCCATAAAAGTAACCCATATTTGCGTTTGTTAACACGTGTTTCACATTGTCATTACTGTGACCGGTAACTTCGCTGCAACTGATTCAGTATTGCTCATCATATGGCCTCCAAACTGATAAACATATGGGGCCAGCAGTTTTATTACAAAACTCAAAGTGAAGACAACTCATCGTCTGGTGGAATTTTGGCGCTTGCTGGTGTCCATTAATCTAATTGCAAGCATAATTATTGCTAAAATTAAGCTTTCACGCAACACACTAGGAGTTGGGGGTGTGTACTGGGAGTAAAAGTTAATATTGGGTTTGGGAAGGGATTAAGGTAAGTGGTGAGGGGAAGAAATTGTGTTTGGATTTGGTAGTAGGTAAAGTTCATGGTTCGGTTTCTTTTCGTAAAATGCTTTGATTTATTTTAGTTAGAGGTATAATATCATGGTTATGTGGGATCAAATGAACCAAAAATGAGCTTGGGGAATGGGAATTCCAACTTATAAGGAGTGGATTAGATTTTGATAAACTCAAGTTCATGATTAACTGAAAGAATATTTAGATTTAGACTTTGTGGTATTGAGATGTTCATAGAGAGTCTAAAACTGATCCAAGGCCATGGATTGATATTGGTTAGTTGATTGTGATTTTGAGGAAGGTGTATAAAAAGTCATGGAAGTGGTTTGGAGCAAGTGAAGGCAGTAAAGAGGCAGTTGGTCAAGGTAGTGATTTAACCAATGAGGGTATTGAAAGACATAGAAGCATAATCGGAGCAGTTAAAGAGAGAGAAGTGGTAGATGATCAGGATATTAATGAAAATGGAGAGGGTATTGAAAGGGCATGGAAGTGAACTGGATCAGGTGAAGGCAGAGAAGGAGGAGAAGAGCATATTGATGGAATTGAAGATGAGTGTTGGTTTTACGAGCTTATTAAAACTGCCCCGAGGAGGATGAGTTGGCCAAATACAAGAAAGAGGATTGAGGAGTTGGAGATCAAACTGACAAGAAACTCAATTGAAAGAGAAATTCAGGTTCATGGAGAGAAGGTCCATCAAAGTAGCATAAATGGTGTTGCAAAAGGAGGATTAGAAATTGAATTTTGGTTTAAAACATATACGTCGAGAGATTGAAGATGGAGGGGATAAAAAGTTGTTTGTACAACGGAGAGTGGAAACAATTGGATCTTTAGGTGTTATGGTTGTTGCGACTACCACAACCTATGTTTATGTTAAAACGAAGAATCATTGATTGATTTACTAAAGTTAATGTCGATTCACTATTGAAACTACTGGAACCTGTAGATAAGGAGTATCTAATTTTGTGCCTCATTACTTTGATCGAGTCTATTAGTATATTGGATGTAATTCTAATTTTGTCATTTGCTTTCAAGTTTTGATGGTTTCCTTTTAGTTGAGTTGTTAGCATATGATTTACTTGAATCAACAACTCTTCATTTTTTTTTATAAATCCATTTCCTTTTTATTAGTGGCATGTTATTCATAGAGGAGAGCTTTGAACCATTTATGTGGGATTGTGAGGTTTCATTTCAGTTTCAAACTATCTATGGATCATGTGAGAATTCCAATGAGCTTTTATATTATATATTTCTGGAAAATCTATTAACCAATATCATTTCAATGGGGGCTCAATTATCATTATGAAAATGGAATGAATGATACATTTTTATATTCTTAAATGAGGAGGGTGTTTTCCTGAATATTCGACCTATATATTCATTCTTTATGTAGAATATCGATTGAATGATTTTCAATAAACTTAAACAAATTAATAGACTTAAACATAACATAAAAATATAAATATTAAAATATGAACATTCCGGCCAACGGGCCGGATTATAAGCTAGTTACTTAAAAAGTTTTTGTTTGTCACTAAAATCAGTTTATTCCATCCATAGTCATTTAAAATAGGTTAACGGTCCAAGTTTGATCACTGGCCGTTAGTCTCCGTTAAATTTTGTTAATGTGGCGGTCAACTCTAATAGTTGACCGTTAAATGAGTGACGTGGCAATTTAAAAAAATAAAATTTAATTATTTTTATTTTCCACCTAATTATTATAAAATTCAAAACAAGAAAATCCAAGGATGTTCAAGCCGCTCCCAAACGACTCGCCTAATTCTTCGATAGGGGGTTGTTTAGAGGCAAAACCGGCTTTGGTCGAGGGAGGCGGGGCGTTTGGTTTCCTCGGAGGAGCTGGCAGAGGCGGCGCTAAAGTCTTGTTCTGGAGAGGTGGCGGAGGAGGTGACGGCTGCTTGGGTATTGTTGGACTGTTGGTGGTAGTCAAGGCGACATCAAGAGCGCGGTCGGTGGTGGGGGAGGAGGGCTGAATTGTGAACTGGGCTTAGCTTTCTCTACGGCGGCCGACATCAACGCAATCTCACTGCCACCAGAAACAACAGACGCGTAACCATACGATGAGGACGTTAGCGGAGATCTCACCTAGGGGTGGGCAACCGGTTCGATAAACCCAAACCGAAACCAAATTATACCATAACCAAACCGAATTAATGCTATTCGGTTCGAAATTTGGAAAGGAAATATGGATATTTTGGAAACCACGGGTCTTTCAACCGAACGAAATTCCGACCAAAAAACCGAATTACTATAATTGCAAGCTCTAAATGGTGGATATTTATGTTTGTACTTGTTTTGAGACTTAAATATTTGAATAATGTTAGTGTTTTATGACTTATGTGTTGAAATGTTTGATTTTATCATTGATAATTGCATATTTATTGTTTACATTCGGGGTGAAGATTCATTTAAAATGGAGAAGATACAAGTATTATCACAAATTCGATTTGAGGTTTGGTGGAATTCGGGGACTCGATATTTATGATTTTTGTTCGGTTCCTGTATGTATGATTTTGGTTCGATCGAAACCGAACCGATCGAATGCCCACCCCTGATCTCACCACCCACCACTGCATTTTAATAATCTCTGCAAAAATCCCCTCGAGGATAGGACGATCAGATTGGGTATAGAACTCAAACACATACCAGATCCTTCAATACATATCTTCTAGGAGCTTTCCTTTCCATGGGCGATGCAATCTCCAATTACGATGAGCCAATTAGCGTCGTCTCTAAGGGGTTCAAAGTAGGGCTGGCATTTCGGTTAGTTCGGTTATAACCGATAACCGAAATGCCGGTTAACCGATACAGGGAATGAGGCTACCGCCAACCGACCGAAGGAAAGCTTCGGTTAGCCGGCAATCGACCGGTCGGTTACCGGTTAGTTGCTCGGTTAACCGAAGTAATCGCGGCATGCAACGAAACCAGCGGAGACTGGCGTCGGGGAGGCGGGAGGGAGATGGTGGCGTCGGCGGCAGGGAGAGAGTGAGGGAGAGGGCCGACGACTAGGGATGACAATGTGTCGGGTTGGGTCGGGTTTTGCTATACCCAAACCCAAACCCATGGGTTTATCTGTGAAAAAAATCCGGGGTAAAACCCATTGGGTTTGAAAAACTCAAACCCAACCCAACCCGCTAGGTATCCGCGGGTTCATGGGTACCCACGGGTTTTTGTCGTAAAAAATTACAATAACAATTTCCTATCAAAATTAAAACCAAATATAAATCTCTCGATACAAATTATTCATATATAAAACACCATTCTAGAAATTCAAGCAAATCACAAATTAACTATACAAATTGTTCAACACCAATCTAAAAAACTCAAGAAAATTGAAGCAAATCATAAATTATCCATAAATAACATGATTAATTGAATACTTCTTCCTTTCAATTAAGTTTCTTTACTCTCCACTCGATAACATCAACTTCGTTCTACACAATTAGAAGGAAAAATTAGACATGTCTCCACAAACATAAATAAGATTAGTTGTTTAGAATATTAAATATACCGAGAAAATTAATTATATGGGTGTGAGCGGGTACCCATGGGTCGGGTTCACCTAAACCCAAACCCAGCCCAAGCCGATGAATAGTGAACGGGTTTAAACCCAAACCCGGCCCAAAACCCGTCAACACGGATTTTACCCGCGTTGACCGGGTTGGGTCGGGTGGGTACCCGTGGGTTCGGGTTTTGTTGCCATCCCTACTGACGACGGCAGGGCAAGCGGCGGCGCGCGGCAGGGAGAGAGTGAGGGAGAGGGCCGGCGGTGGCAGGGGCCGGCGCGGCGACGTGAGAGTGAGGGCGGCGGCAGGCAGGGAGAGTGACTGAGTGAGGGAGAGGGAGAGGAATCGCGATGGTGGAATCGCGATGGTGAGGGAGAGGCATCGATAGTTTAGGGATTTAGGGTAGTACAGACGCGGAGTCGTTTTAGGGGTGAGGATGCGTCGGTTAGTCGGTTTAACCGGCGGTTATTTACCTCGGTTAGCAAGTTAACCGGCCTCCTCAACCCTTCTACCGCCAACCGCCCGTGCCATAAGTTTTTCGGTTATTGGTTAACCGGTAACCGCCGGTTATCGATTTAACCGACCGGTTAACCGGCAACCGATAACCGAATGGCCAGACCTAGTTCAAAGACAAGTTCGCAACTCCATCTGGGTCGGCTTCGTTTCGGCAATCTTCAACAGCTTCGCACGAAATTTGGTCACGGCCTATTACGAATGCTCTTCCGAACAGGGCAGCGGTGACTCTGCTTCAGAATTGATGGAATTGATGTGTAGCCTGAAATGTGAAGACTTGATCGCCCTCTGTTCTCAATCAGAGAAGCGATGTCGTCCTCGTCGACAGGAACTCGGAGCTTTTCACGTCCGAGTTCCTCCTCGGCCGGTGGTTGTCGGGACGGAGCATGGATAAGGCGCCGAAGGAAGCGTATAGGCGGAGGGAGGACGGGAAGATCTTGACCATGAAGGACACGTGTAAGCCTCTCCTCGTCCCTTGCTTTGATCTCAAGACCAGCACTTCTTTCGTCTTCTCCCTTGCCGACGCCTCGGAATCCTCGAGCTTTGACTTCGAGCTCTGACAGGTATACAAAGCCACCACCGCGCCCCTCAGCCTGTTCAAGACTTTCAACCTCAAGTATGTTGACGGGAAAACCTCCTGTTGCGCCATTAACGGTGGATTGGTGATGAACAACCCCACGGCGGCTGTCGTTGCTCACGTGCTCCACAACAAGCGTCGGTGAACGGAGTCGAGGATCTTCTCGTGCTGTCCCTCGGCAACGGGTTGTCTAACGGCCTCCTCCACCGACGGAGCAACTACGAGTGCTCCGCTTGGTCGCTTTGTCGAAATTTGGTCACGACCTATTACGAATTGCTGGTGAGGATTGAGGGGTGGGTAGGGGATGGAGATAATTAGTTATTTTTTAAATAATTTTGATAATGAGGTGGAAAATAAAAATAATTATTTTTTATTTGCCATGTCACTCATTTAATGGTCAACTACGAGAGTTGACCGCCACATCAGCAAAAGTTAAAGACTTAAAGTAGACTAACAGCTGGTGACCAAACTTGGACTGTTAATGAACTATCACCAAAACCAAACGACCCCTAAGTGACTACGAATGAAATAATTTAATTTTAGTGACAAACATTAACTTTTTAAGTAATTCTAGTGACCAAACTTACAATTTACCCAAAAGAATTGGGGATTGCTATTTGTCGCCCTATAAATTCTTATTTGTCGCCCTAATTAAGTTCATTTTACTTTAATGCCCTTCTTTCATTTATTTATATTTTAAACACTTAAATCCAAAACCAAATTATCAACAAACAAATTGATTCTACCGATAAAGCCAAAAACAAAAGTAGTGCCCTATATACTGATGATTACGATTGACAATAAGAAATGACCAAATACAGGGCAAAAAACACTACAAAGAATCACTAAATACAGAATAATAAAATAGATGGAAAAACAATCCATCCCTCCTGGTCAAGCTTATCCTTCTTCCTCCTTCCTCCTCACGATCAACCTTCTTCTTCCTTCCTGCTTCTTTCTTCCTTCTTCATCCTCGCGAGCAAGAGAGCAGGAGCAATGGGGCGGCGACAGTACAAGGAGCAGCAGCGAAAGGAGGAGAAACCTCCTCCTTTAGAGAATATATCGGAATCGGAGTGGTGGGCGGCGGCAGTCATGAGAAGTGGGTGTCAAATTTTTCTGTCCAGATTTGGAGTGGGCGTTGTTTAGTGTAGAAATTAGGGCTAGGGATAAATGTGTCAATTTAGTCTATTTTAGGGCGATAAATTTAAATTTCAGGGCGACGAATACAATTCAGCAAATATTTGGTTCCTTCTCTCAAATCTTACCAATTGACATGAGATTTTCAAATTCATAGGTCTACGAATTTGATACCCACTTTTTTATGGACCCAAACATTGGTTTAAACAGATTCACATTAGTGTTGGATTTGGAACGACCTCTCAATTTTTTCACAATAATTCTTTTCTAGAGTAGTCAAATTTTACCATTTTACAATTCACTATGATTATCTACTCAATGGTGTCTGTTAGTGTTGTGGTATATGATCCACGATTGAACCTCTCCCAACAACTCGAGTTATTGGGAGCAACTGGTTCTTGACATGATATCAGAGCCTTCTGTGACCGATAGGTCTTGTTTTCGATTCCCGGTGACCCCCATTTGTTAAGCACATGGTATTCTTGTCTTCAGACCTGTGCAAACTTCAAGCCCTTGTGAGTGGCTTTCGTTTGAGGGGGCGTGTTAGTGTTGTGGTATATGATCCACGATTGAACATCTCCCAACAATTCGAGTTATTGGGAGCAACTGGTTCTTGACAGTGTCGTCGATCTAAATTCTAGGCATTTCAATGTTCTATCACATTTACTGTTTTATTCAATTAAAAGATACTAGAGGTGGTTTGATACTCACATTTTTATGCACCCAAACACGGGCTTTAACTGATTCCCATTAGTGTTGGATTTGGAACGACACCTCAATTTTTGTATACCTCTTTGTACTAAATGATTCTCATATCCCCATAAGTTTTATTCCGTTCATATTTGTCAATTGCCATCATTATTTATTTTTCCTTGTCCATGAAATCAATCGTTCAGAAATGGGAAAAATAATCCAAAAATGAAACTATGGTTGTGTATAACAAACAATACAAACCCAAGAAAAAATCCAAGCAACTCGTCTAATGAAACAATAATCTTTTTATCCAAATTAAAATTTTATATTTTATCCTAAAATCCGGGTAGTTATCATAAATGGTCACAAACCTATTCACTTTGTACAAAATGGTCACAATCCTTTAATTTTGCACGTTTCGGTAAATAAAGTTTGAGCAAATAACGAAACAGTCAATCCGTCAAAAATTCCGTCCCAGATCGCCACGTCAGCCCACTTAACCCGAGTCTTCAACCGGTTCAGAACAAAACCCTTACCCACACTCATGACTAGATACGCCCCCCTATAAGAACAAAACCCTTACCTTTCACCTCCATTATTCATCCTCTGTTTCCCCCTTCCCCCTTCCCTCTTCCTTTGAACGAAAAAAACCCTAAAATCCCAAATCAACACAGGCCGAAATGGGTTCCCTGCCTACTTGTAAGTGTCAAGACAGAGTTGTTTTACTAACATCATGGACGGAAGATAATCCGGGTAGAAGTTTCCTCCGCTGCAAGAGAAATTATTTGGTAAGGATTTTGAATTTGATTCTGATTTCTGTGTTGACCATAAGAAGATTTGGTAACCATTCTCTTCTCTTTCATTTTATGAAGAAATTATCCCACCACTGTGATTTTTTTGAATGGGTCGATCCTCCAGTTGAAGCTAGGGCCAGAGCTGTCATAAATGGCTGTTGAAGAAGATTAAGAACATGGAAATAAGATCAAGGGAAGAGAGCATGCTGAATGAGACAAGTTCTTTTTCATCGACGGCACGCAACAATGAACAATCTAGAAGGGGCAAGCAAAGTGAAGATCTGTATGCACGGACAATTAATCTAGTTTATGTAGTCGTTTGTGTGATTGTAGGAATAGTTATTGGTATATATGTGTAGTGTAGAACATGAAAATCCTCCTGTAGTTTCTGTTTTGTTCGAACTAAGTTTGTTCAGTAATTCTGTTTCTGGTTTGTTCTAACTAAGTTTGCAACGTTATTTGTTATGGTAATATAGCTTTTTTGTCGACAACAACATGGTCATAATACTAATTAATAATAGATAGAAAGGTCACAATAATTTTGCCAGTGTAACAATATGGTCACAATCTTTTGGTCATTGTAACAGAATGGTCACAAAGGTATGGCATAGAGAGACTGCTGTAAGAGTGACTTCAGTCAGCGATAGAGACCTGTAATGGACAGTAATTTGAGCAAAGACCATCAAACCTGCATATTTAAACATCCATACTGTAGATTACATTCACCAAACTGATTAGATCCTACTTGACATGGGTTGGCTCGTCATGAAAGTTTCAACAAGCAATCGACATGTCACAAAAAAGATGTTCACAAAAAAAGTTCAATGTCTGCTGGTTCTTCAACTACTCGTTATGCCTGCCACGACCCCTACCATTGTTACCACGACCCCTACCACGACCCCTTCGAACTGTGACCTTCATCCTAGGCGGGTTCTCAGATGGTGGTACAAATGCTGGAGTAGGCATGAAGGTTGAGCCCTCGACACGCTCGCCATCTTGAAGAGATGCAGCTATTGGAGAGCCTCCCATGTGTGGTGGAGAGGCTGCCATGTGTTGTGGAGATGCTGCCGATGGACCTGCTGCATCATCCCCACCAGATTTCTGGAAAAAAAAAATAACAATGTCAATATGGCAGCATCATTTCCATTGGCCATAAACAGATTTCGGAAGATTAATGTTAAAGAGAACATGGGCAGATTCTCACCTTGTCGTGGAATCAGCTATTGTGTCCTCTCTCGTGGCATACTGTGCACGTCATCTCGCTTCCACCTTTGGACATAACTGTGTATGATCTTTCACGCTTATCTTTCTTTGATTTCTCCAACTCCCATGCTTCCTTACGCCTCTTCTTCTGTATAGGACCCCTCTTCTTCTGTTGAAATATAGGCGATTCAAGCTCAATGCAGTCATCATGAATCCATTGACTGGAATCATTGAGAGGGCGGACAACAAAAGAGTATGCTTTCTTGCATGTGTCGACACGGTAACAATCATCCATATACCGCTCCGGATGATCGTTGTTCATTTTCATGCATGCAATTGCATGTTGACAAGGGATGCCATTGAGCTGCCAACTACCACAAGCACATGTTCTATTCCTCATATCTACAACATATCTGCCCCTATGTGATTGCACCTGATATTCCATATTCCCATTGAAGGTTGGGAAGCAAAAAGCAGCCCAAGCCTTGTACATTTTCATCTTCTGTATGGGTTTTGGGCAAATACTAACTCCTTTCTCTTCTAGACACTGCATTATCCTCTTCTTTACAACAACTCTCTTCATTACTTTGCCAAATATGTCCTCTAAGCAAGAGAGGATTGGCATGTCTCTCGACTCGAGAATGTACTTGTTGAAGCTTTCGTAGTGGTTGTTAACTCCCATGTCACATTTGCTGTTTGTTCTATAGAAGGCCTTGCACCACTGAGTTCTATCTCTTTCCATTAGCCATTGATGCGGTGTTTGATCACCAACCTTGTAGCCTTCCCCAACTGTCTCTATCTCCTCCATGACTGCCAAATATTGTGCCCGATAAGTCGAACCGGCAGCACCATAGAAAATATCTCTGAGCTTCTTGGACCTAGTGAACTTGCCACTAAATTTCACGAACATGTGGCGGACACAATAACGATGCTCGACATTTGGGTACATAGAGTTCATCACGTTCATCAAACTCTAGCATCCAAAAAGCAAGCAAGACAAAAACACACAGTTACTAGCTAGCTATAACTATACCATCATAACAATAATAACTCAACAGACTACAATGGTTGAGAGAAGGGGATTTCATTCCATTTAAATTAGCCCCTCCAAAGAAGGGAGTAGACCAGAAGTAGTAACAAAAGAAATTCACTATAAACCACTTTCACAACCACGAAACAAGCAACAAAAGTTAGATAGAAATTTACCTTTTGCCTATCGGACATGAAAGTCCAATTTGGTGAGTCGTCTATCTCCAAATCCTCTCCCAAATGTGCCATGAACCATTCCCATGTATCATGACATTCTTTCTCTACTATTGCCCATGTAATTGGGTACATGCAGTCATCACCATCGATACCAACTCTTTCTTGTAAGCATAAAGCTTCCCAAACTGGAGACTATCCTCGCCATGAACCAATTTTAAAGCTAACTGCTTGGTTCTATAGGCCTTCATTCGGTTGATCTTCAAACTCAAATCTGTTATCACAGTGTGCACGAGATTTGGTATCGACCACGATGGATCCAACTTAAACCGAGTTAGATACTTCTTGGCAAGGAATGATGGTGCAGCAGCTCGTAAGTCTTCATCAACTCCACAAGTATGCTCCAGATTCCCAGTTCTGATTTGCACAGTGTCACAATCTCTTAGCTTTGCAATATAGAGTTTGAATCCGCAGTTCTGTGAGCACACACAGATGCAACGCTTCTTGTCGTTGGTGGGAAACTTCACATCTCTCCTTTGCACAACAGCATGTGACTTGCAAGCATCCTTGAAATCGTCAAAAGATCCAAATAGATGACCAATCTTCAACTCAGGCATCTGCATATCCCTTTCAACCCTAAACTCAGGAAAAATTGTGTTTATGTTGAACACGTCCTCTTCTTCTTCGCTGCCCCATCCAGTCTTCTCCAATAACTCACCTTCACTTGCATACAAGTCGTCTCTCTCGAGGACATCTTCATCTAGAACTGCTTCATTGGCGTTAGTTGCAGCTGGTTGCTCTTTATGGGATGACCCTGTGGAATTTTTACCTTGACTCCCCCCTGAAAATGTATGTCCATGTCCCCTTTTAACTGAAACTGATGGCGCTCTAATTTCTTCCACCTCCCTCTCGCTGCTAGTGTGAACAAAATGAGTTGTATCTGGGCTGCCACAACTGGAATTTGTATGCTTAACATACAAATGAATAACCCTGTCTTCAGGAACATGCCCGCCCATCTCCAGAACATCCTTATCACTCTCCAAAAGCTTCAATCCATTCTGCACATCCAAACAAGGCATCAACCAAAAGAACTGCATCGCCTGCTCCACTTCTGCTGTTCTGACCATCTCTTTAATTTCCAGCATTGACAATTTGTCAACATCGACAAAGTCAATATAATCAGTCTTCCCATCAGTGTAGCCCGTATCGCCAAACTGCCCCATGTTGTGAATCTCAATGGTAAAAAGTCCAGAATTTCCTATAAATAGCAATGAAATCCATTAAATTGTACCCACTAATTCGAATACAAAAATGGGGACCATCTGCTTTGAATCCACAAAAAGAACAGAATAGTATAATGGGACCAACTACTTTCAATCCAGAAAAAACGAATAGGATAATGGGACCAAGCACTTTCCCTACCACAACCCGACAACTAAATCAATTCTTTTCCCCAATTCTTTTATAGCAACAAAACCCTCAACCCCACATTGTTCTAAACCCTAAAAATTCTTCTGAAAAGGGAGAATTCTTACCATAGTCGGGCTTTAGATGGCGACTCCGGGCCGAACGAAGCTTCCACTCGTCCATTGTTCGTTAGCCGGAGCAGCTATGAAATTTCCAGCCACGCATGCACAAGATCGGCCGGGCTTTAGGGGAATATTGCCGAGGATGACAGGAGAAGGGAAGATCGGACGAGGAATCGATCCCGCACGTCGAGGATGATAGGGGATGGACGATTGTCGCCAGCGCGAAGGGCTTGGCGACGACGAACTAGCTTTCCGGCGCGGAGGAATCGCTCCCGCGCGTCGAGCGATGACGATCGAGCGATGACGAGCGAGCGACGATTTCGAGTGATGGCGAGCGAGCGACGATTTCGAGCGATGGCGAGCGAGCGACGGCCCCGAATCTGTCTCCCAACAATGGCGACGTTCTGTCTCCTGCCCTTCAGAGTTCCAGTCGCGATTTGGGGGGGGGGGTGGGTGAAGAATGAAGACAGACTGAATAATATGATAAGGGTGAGTCATGGGTAAATGGTTGAACCGGTTGGAGTCTCGGGTTAAGTGGACTAAGAAAAATATATTTTTTATTATTTTTACACTGACGTGGCATGCTGACGTGGCGATCTGAGACGGAATTTTGGACGGATTGACCGTTTCGTTATTTGCTCAAACTTTATTTACCGAAACGTGCAAAATTAAAGGATTGTGACCATTTTTTACAAAGTGAATAGGTTTGTGACCATTTATGATAACTACCCCCTAAAATCCTAATGGTTTATTTCCTTCGTAAAAACAAAAACCGAAGTTAGGAGTTTTTATTTGGTGACTAAGAAAGTCATCTTTTGTCTTCAGTAGCTTTGGCTAGTTTTAAATTTTGCAATTGGCTCTGCACGATGCTGTAAATGTTATTTCTTGGTAATACAAGCTATATTGATTAAAAAATTAAAGTAATGAATTCGCTTGAACAAAAGGGATGAAAAGTTGAAAAACAAAAGACAATTTAAAATTTTATCCCCTTAGAAAGGTAAACTGATTGAAAATAATAGAACAATTGGAGATAGTAAGATAAATAAAACTTTCAACTCATAAATAATATTGAACACACAATCCATCATAAAATGTAGTATCCAAACAACAAAATTTTCAAATTCCAAATCATCCATAGCCATTTTTTTTATTTTTACAATCTAAAATTTGATTAGAAATATTATTTTTCTAATCAAATTCGAGTTTTATAGAATCGAAAATACCATCAATTCGAATTTAAATTTTATTAATGCAAGATGTAGAATTTTGATTATTCTTTAGGCCATACCTTCCCTGCTTCCCATCCTTCGTCAAATTTAATAAATAAAAAACATTACCTTCCCATCCAAATGGACTAAAAGCTGGCAGATGAAATGGCATGAAGAAAATAAAACTTATAAAAAGGGTTAATTGCATGGTTGGTCACTGACATTACAAAAAGCGTTCATGTTTGGTCACTAGAAAAATTTAAATCCAACTTTGGTCACTAACTTTACAAAACCGTTCATTTATGGTCACTCTCCGTTAGCTGCCGTCCAACGCCGTTAACGAAGTCCGTTAAGTGATGACGTGGCTGACGGATTCGCCTAATCAGCACCTTTTGACCCCAAAATTGACTGACCCGACCCGCCACGTCAGTTAAACCCTCCATCTCTGCAAAACCTAACCAAACCTCTAACCAAATCAGACCACACCCGACCCGACCCAACCCACCAACAAAAATGACCCACTCCGCTACTAATCAAAACCTAATTTCTAAAACCTACAGGACATTCCCCTTCTCCTCTCCATCCCGCGCCGCCTTCATCTCTCCCGCGAAACTTCCTCTCCGCTCGTTTCATCGGCAACGAAGGAGGAATGGAGCCCGCGCCACAGTGTGGTTGACTCCTTTCTCCAGGGCGCCGATGTTGATGGAGAGGTAGAACCAGTTGAAGAAGGATCCCTTCCTCGCCTTCTCCCCCGGGTCGGAGTCGTCGAACTGTCTGCTTAATCATTTTTGTTTGCTTCATCAACTTTTTCTTAATCCAACCTCGAATCGCAGCCCTGGCCAACCCTTGGTGGACCGGCCCGGTCGGCGGCCTCCCGGGAGGCCTCGACCTCCACCACCACCACCACCCTTCCCTCCACAATTCCGCCCTCAACGACGAAGACGACGACCACAACAGTGGCGGCAGCGGAAGCGGCGGCGGAGGAGAGCCCAAGGAAGGCGCAATCGAAGTCACCAAGCGAGCCCAAGGAGAACAGTCAACCACATTGTGGCGCGGGCTCCATTCCTCCTTCGTCGCCGATGAAACGAGCGGAGAGGAAGTTTCGCGGGAGAGATGAAGGCGGCGCGGGATGGAGAGGAGAAGGGGAATGTCCTGTAGGTTTTAGAAATTGGGTTTTGATTAGTGGCGGGTGGGTCATTTTTGTTGGTGGGTTGGGTCGGGTCTGGTTTGGTTAGAGGTTTGGTTAGATTTTGCTGAGATGGAGGGTTTAACTGACGTGGCGGGTCGGGTCAGTCAATTTTGGGGTCAAAAGGTGCTGATTAGGCGAATCCGTCAGCCACGTCATCACTTAACGGACTCCGTTAATGGCGTTGGACGGCAGCTAACGGAGAGTGACCATAAATGAACGGTTTTTGTAAAGTTAGTGACCAAAGTTGGATTTAAATTTTTCTAGTGACCAAACATGAACGCTTTTTGTAATGTCAATGACCAACCATGCAATTAACCCCTTATAAAAAGAAGAGCTAAAATGCCTAAGAAAGTGGGACACGGAAGCGCACTCCTTTCCTTTTCGATTACCGTTCGTGGGGTGCCGCCCAGCGATTATTTGCTGCCTAAAACACCCCCACCATTACTTGATCTAAACCAAGGTTGTCAACCCGCGGGTTGATCCGAATCCGGTTAAGCTAGTGGGTTAAGGGTTAATGGGTCACCCTTTTTAGTACGGTTTAACATATCTCATCTAACATATGAGTTATAACATATAATATTACACCAAAATAACATGTCGTACTTAGATTCAACATATAGTGAAAATTCACACATACTTATATAAAATTAATATTCAAATATTCAACTTAAGATTCCAAAGATTAAGTTAGGCGAAAAGAAAAATCGAAAAATAGGCGCATTTCGCAACCCGGTACCTTGTAGCGGTCGACCCGGTGGGTGCGTGCGACCCATTTTTCTCACCGGGTCAGGGTCAAAGTGGGTCAACCCGCGGATCGACCCGCGGGTTGACAACCTTAATCGAAACTAAGTATCCACTTTGACATAATCGTAAATCTTCTACTGTCCAGGGGCATAAACGAAATATTGATTTTCCCGCTCAAAACTCCTGGGGAGGAGGGAATACTGGAGACACTGAGATAATTAATATCATAAAACAAACCCGCGGGTTGACAACCTTGATCGAAACTAATGCCCCGTTCACTTGCCATTTCATTTTCTGGTTTTTCGTTGTCACAACAAAAATTAGGAAACAGAGGTAAAGAAACATGTTCACCTGTCATTCTGTTTTTGTTTGAGAAAACCATTTGGCAAAAATGGGGCAGCTGGGCGAAAACGTTAAAATTACGTTTTGTGGAATCCGGGACACGGGAAACGGTCTGTTTCCTGGCGGAAAACGCGTCCGTACATTTAATGAGATACGCGGTTCGAACCCCAGAAGCCACATTCATTTTTTTCTTCTTTTTCCCTCTGCTTTCCATCCCCCAAACGCGTCCGCAATCGCCGCTCCATCGAATTTTCCCATCATCATCAGCAGGTGCAGAGGTCGAAGCTCCTTCCTTCGCAGCCACCCTCTCCATCAAGCGATTTGGTTCTGGATCTGGATTCTGGATCTGGGAAGAAGACGGCGGAGGTTAGCTACACGCCCTTCAAAAAAAATCCCGTGACTTCTAATTCCGCTTTGCAGACCTATTACTACGTCAATCTCCGGCAAATCGTCGTCGAGGGGAAGCACGTGAAGGTTCCGTCGGAGTATCTGGAGCCCGGATCTGACGGAAACGGTGGCACGATTGTGGACTCCGGCACGACTTTTACTTACATGGAGCGGCCGGTGTTCGAGGCGGTGGTGAAGGAGATTGGGAAGAGGATGGCGAATTTCACGGTGGCGACGGAGATTCAGGATCTTACTGGGTTGAGACCCTCCGTCGACAGTCCAATGGTTAGCAAATAGCAATTATATAAATCGGTTATGCAGTCGGCAACTCTACCTCCCTCTGTTGATAGTTCAATAGTTAGCAATTATATAAATGAGTTGTGTGTTGTTTGATTGCATTGTGTATATTTTAAATGGATGTTTGTTAATTTCCATGTCGAGGACAATGTTGAATGATTGGGTGTGCTTGTGTTCAATTTCAATTACTTTGTATGATAATCATGTCTACAGTTGTATGATAATCAAGAATCAGAAAACAGAATGAAGCAACTAAACAGGTTTTCAGTTCAGAACTCAGTTTCAGAACTCACTAAAATTCTCAGCTAAACAAGGTTTTTTCAGGTTTTGTTTTCCAGGAAATGACAGCTTCGTTTTCATTTTAATTTTGTTTTCTGTTGTGGCAGCTAACAGAAATGGAATGACAAGTAAACGGCCCATAAGTATCCACTTTGACATAATCGTAAATCTTCTACTGTCCAGGGGCATAAACGAAATATTGATTTTCCCGCTCAAAACTCCTGGGGAGGAGGGAATACTGGAGACACTGAGATAATTAATATCATAAAACAAACTCCATTTCCAAATATTTTCCAACTTTTCGAGTTCTCTGTCCTCTCACCGTCGCGCTGTGCTGCTTCAGCCTCTTCAATGTCCGCTCCACTGCAATCCGTCGCTGAGCAAGCTCCCTGTGCCGGTCCGTCTGCTGCTTTCAGTCTTCGTTCATAGTTCTTCGTGGTTACTTGGTGCTTTCATTTTGTGTTTATTTCTGCGTGCCTAGGGTTTCTGTTCCTGCACTTGTGTGTTTACGAGTTAAGACTGTAGCTCATTGCGCGCTTTTGTTGATGCGGTAGTCGAAATTGCGAGGGATTTCTGTTTGTGTCGCTGCGCCGTTGGAGCTGCTCTGATTTTGTTTGTGGTGTTTGTTCTAGGGCTGGATATGAATCTGATTCAGGGTGAAATGAAGAACGACGCTTCCGTCGACTCTCCGACGTCGGTTCTCGGAGATGAGGTGCGTTCTTTGACCTCCCTTTTCCACGGTTCTCGTGTCCTGCTTTTTTGCTTAAATTTTTGAGGTCTCATGTTTCTGTTTGGTTCTCCGCGGAGTGGGGGGAAAAAAAAGAGACATGGAAATCTCATACTTTGTAATGTCGGCCCTACGGCGAGGAGCTCTTATGCATTTCAGAAGCTTTGCTTTTGCGAGGCTTCTAAAATAGATTCTACAGCGCAATGCTTAAAATGCTTCATCTGGATGCATTTCTATCCAACTTAGGTCAATGATACTGAGCTACTTTGTTGTACCAAGGGATTGTTTGCTACCATGTTTAGTTCCTGAACTTTTTCGCATTTTTCTGGGATGTGAAGGATAATGGCCAGAACAATTTGGAAGCTAAATCTGAGGAAGACACTCTTCAGGAGGGAGGGATTGGGGATTCCTCTCTCATATCAAAGACAATGAAGGAGGAGGAAGAGAATCTGTTGAACTACAGGGAGAAAGAAGAAGCAAAATCAGAAGAGCAGGAGGCACCTCATTTGAATGATTCTCAGTTTACCAAGTTGGATGAGCTTCTTACTCAGACACAGATGTACTCGGAGTTCTTACTGGAGAAGATGGATGAAATCACACATGTACCTCTCAAACATGTTTATGCTGTAACATTTTCCCCCCTCTTGTCATTGGTATCTCTTAGTCACGTGTCTTACAATTTGAGAGTGAGTTTGCAGAACGGCGGGGAGCAAGAGGATGAAACTGTTGAGAAAAAGAAAGGCCGTGGTTCAAAGAGAAAAGCTGCTGCAGGTTGTAATACGGTAAATTTCTTTTCCGATATATAAACTATACTGCGTATTCTATTCCGGACTGTTGAAGCTATAACCTTTAAGGCCTCCCTTGAGTTAATCAATATTTAATTACGCAATTGTGGTTGATTCGTAGATTTTGACAGGTGAGCTCTTCTTGTGTCCAGTTATTTTTCTGACTGAGTTTTCTGTTATTCCCATGGTTTCAGAGAAAAGCCAAGAGGGCCATTGCAGCCATGATTACCAGATCAAAAGAAGTAGAAAGTGCTGAAGATGCCAATTTGAGTGAAGAAGATAAGGTTGAGAAAGAGCAGAAGGAGCTGGTGCCATTGTTGACTGGTGGCAAGCTGAAGCCTTATCAACTCAAAGGTGTCAAGTGGCTGATCTCTTTATGGCAAAATGGGTTGAATGGCATCCTTGCTGACCAGATGGGGCTCGGGAAAACTATTCAAACAATTGGTTTCCTTGCACACCTTAAGGGGGAGGGTTTAAATGGCCCCTATTTGATAATAGCTCCTCTATCTACTCTGGCAAACTGGGTGAATGAGATTTCAAGGTATAGAGTCACTGCCTTTTCTTGCGAAGTCTAATACAATCAAGAATTTATGGTTTACTTGGATTTTGTGAATCTTTGATTCCCAATCAGGTTTGCTCCATCTTTGAATGCTGTAATCTACCATGGTGACAAGAATCAGAGGGATGAGATAAGGAGGAAACACATGCCTAGATCTATTGGCCCAAAATTTCCCATTATTGTTACTTCATATGAAGTTGCATTATCTGATGCGAAAAGGTTTCTGAGACACTACTCTTGGAAATATGTTGTGGTTGATGAGGTGAAGTCTCTCTTTGTAACTAATGTGTTTGATCTTTAGATGCCCTTGCACTTTGATTGTGTTTTGACCCATTCATCTCTCTATTAGGTGTGTTTCATGCCTAAACTATTCTGTTTGTACACTTCTAACCATTAATTGTTTCTTCAGGGTCATCGACTGAAAAACTCCAAGTGTAAACTGCTGAAACATCTAAAGCTTATTCCAATGGAGAACAAACTTTTGTTAACTGGAACGCCTCTGCAGAACAATCTTGCAGAGCTTTGGTCCTTGTTGAACTTTATATTACCAGATATTTTTCAGTCTCATGAAGAATTTGAGTCATGGTTAGCATCTTCTTAAGTTCTTTTGCGTAACTTAGTTGCCATTTGATAGCTTCCTGTTTCTTCAATTCATGACAGAGTTGATAATGCTCAATCCACCTATCGAGCAACTTCATAATTAAATGACGATTCACTTCATAACTTATTAATGGCTTCTCTCAGGTTTGATCTGTCAGGAAAGTGCAACAATGAAGACATGAGGGAAGAGCTAGAAGAGAAGAGAAGATCGCAAGTATTGCATTCTTGGTTTGCTGCTTTAGAAGACATTAAGCTTTTTGGCTAGGCTTTATAACCACGTTGTTACTTTTTCAGGTTGTAGCTAAACTTCATTCCATCCTCCGCCCATTTCTCCTCAGAAGGCTGAAGGCTGATGTTGAGCAGCTGCTCCCTAGGAAGAAGGAAATTATACTATATGCAACCATGACTGAGCACCAGAAGAACTTCCAGGATCACTTAATTAACAAGACACTTGAAAATCATTTGCGAGATAAAGCTATTATAGCAGGTAATGCATGGAAGCCCTCGTATTTATGGTGACTCATCTGCTGTGAGTATTGGTATTGTAAATTTGAGCAAACTGTGTTACTTATAAAACTACCATCTTGTGCTATGTTTGCTCTTCTATCAAATGGGTGCCCTATTAAACATCATGTGAACGCGTCCTTGGTAGAAAGGCGTTCTATGTTTTCTGTAACTGGCTAATATTTCAGGAAATCTATTTTGTAGCTTTAGTAAAGATGATAAATTTGGGGTTGTCTGCATGATGTGCAATTTTCAGATATTGCACCATATTTTGATGTACTGCATGATCAAAATGTTTGGTTCAGTTATTTTAATGTGGTATTAATAATCTTCTCTGTCTAATCTAAGCTGAATCTTGTACCTTGCAGCGCCTGTCATGAAAGGGAAGTTAAACAATTTGGTTGTTCAACTCCGGAAGAACTGCAATCATCCAGATCTCTTGGAGTCGGCCTTTGACGGCTCATGTATGTCCTTAACTGCAGTACGCTAACAAGCTATTTAGTGATGTGAACTGCAGATTCACGAGAGATGATATGTTTATATAATATTTGTAGATATGTACCCGCCTGTTGAGCAGATCGTTGAGCAATGTGGCAAGTTCAAGTTGCTGGAAAGGTTGCTGAAGCGGTTGTTCGAACTCAAGCATAAAGTATGACTAAGGCTGATCTCATAGAAAGTAAATGCGCTGATGCCTTTTACACTCATCATCTTCTGTTGATTTCCTGGGCAGGTTCTGATTTTCAGCCAGTGGACTAAGATCTTGGACATCATGGACTACTATTTTAGTGAAAAAGGATTTGTGGTGTGTAGAATTGATGGTAGTGTCAAGCTGGAAGAAAGACGAAGACAGGTTTGGTGCCTCCATTGACCCTTTTCAGTGACGAAGATGACCTTCTTGCATTCACCACTTAATGTTTACTCGGGTGTTGACACATGCTATGAGAATGATACAGTAGCTATTTTTCTTTGCTTAGTCTTCCTTGCGATACTGGTGTTTTGTATGGCAGACGAGCATGACATATTTTTTCTCTTTTGACAGATTGACGAATTCAATGACATTAACAGCAGTTGCAGGGTGTTTCTTCTGAGCACCAGAGCTGGTGGATTGGGTATCAACCTCACTTCAGCTGATACTTGCATACTCTATGATAGTGATTGGGTAAATTTTGCTCATTATATGAACATTTCTCAATTTTCTGATTCTACACCCAAATCATTCCAGATCTCTTATTCTCGTGCTCCAAAAATTCCAAATATGGTGCAGAATCCACAAATGGATTTGCAGGCAATGGACAGGTGCCATAGAATTGGCCAGACAAAACCTGTCCATGTTTACAGGCTAGCAACGGCCCAATCAGTCGAGGGTCGAATTCTGAAAAGGGCGTTTAGCAAGCTGAAGTTGGAGCATGTTGTGATTGGGAAGGGTCAGTTTCATCAAGAACGAACCAAGGGTAACACCTTGGCTAACTTGGAGGTGGTGCATCCTTCCTTCTCCCTCTTGTTTTCTTTTTTCCATTTTCTAGAACTTTGTTCCTAAGCCTCTTGAGGAATTTTGCTATTCTGCTTGTATTCGTACAGGAAGAGGATCTACTAGCACTGCTTCGGAATGAGGAAACAGCTGAAGACAAGTTGATACAAACAGACATCAGCGACGAAAACTTGGAGATAGTGATGGACAGATGCGACCTTATTAACATACCCTCTGACAACAGCAACAAAGGAAACGGTGCTGCTGCTGCTGCTGGATATCCTGTTAAGGGGCCTGGCTGGGAGGTGGTTATTCCCACAATGACGGGAGGCATGCTCTCCACCCTCAACAGCTAACAACTCGAGCTATAAGTTGTAGCGTTGGTTGTACGAGAGGTGCACAAGGAGTGTAGCTAATTTTGGGGCTAACAGAAGTTGAGGGATGCTGCTTTTTATCTTTTGTTGAACAAGCCTCCTGGTGCATGTTTGTACTAGGCTAGAGCTGTGCCCTTCCATATTTTGCCATTTTGGGGATGATTCGATGATGAATAGCAAGGATGGTTAGGACTTGGGGGATCGAGTTATATTTTGTTGATAGGAGGTGGTGGTCAAAGCTCGTTTTTAGGAGTTGGAGAACATAACTTCGGAATAGGATTTGTTGTTATTGGATGGCTAAAGTAAGATGGCTGTATATCTGTAATCGATGATAGTTATTGTTGCTCGAAAATGTTGGTTCATCCAAGGGGAAATGCTTTCGATTTCTCTCTGGTAGACTGGTAGTAAGGACTAAGGAGAAATGTCAAGCCAACACGGTTAAATCATAGAGAATCAGGGTTCAAGAAGGCGCGCATAGGCGCACGTCTAGGCTCAATTAGGCGCTAGGCGGTGGAGGTTCGCCTTGACTTGGTCATAGGCGTTGTAAAAAAGCGCTGGTAGCGCTTAGTAGGTATGAATATCGCTTAGTTTGCGCCTAGTGGAGAGAAAGCGTGTCTGGGCGTTCCTGGGCGAGCTTAAGCGGTTAAAACCAATACTCTTCGTTTTGTCCTAGAAAATTAGAAACTTGCCTCTTGCCCTAGAAAATCAGAAACACGGGAAGTAACATCTGCTGTCGCCTGCCGCCCTAGCTCTCACCCCATCTGCTACCGCCTGCCGCCCTAGCTCTCGCCCCATTTGCTGCTCTCTGCCGCCGCAGGAGAAAGTCATCGATCACTCTTATCGCCTTCACACCGCTCCGCTGCTATAGTGGGAAATAAAGTCGAAACTCGTCAATTGCTGCTCCTTCCTTCTCCTCGATACGTAGCACAAACTTCTTGCCTCTATAAGCACCTATTAGCAGATGATTGGTCACTATTTGCTTGTTATTTGTTATGTTAAGTGTTTACTGTTAAGAACTAGGCATTGCTAATTTTATATGCACTTGGGTTATATGAATTATTCCAGAAAATAGGAAATATTTGAGAATTTTCCATTTATGCTCTGAACGCCTAGGCGCGCCTAGGCTACGCCTAATCGGACAAGTCGCAAGTCAGGAGCCGAGCGCCTGCCTTACGCCTAGCGCCTTTTAGAACCTTGTAGAGAATAGATGATGGGAGAGTAAGTAAACTATGTTAACTTTTGACACTTAAAAGTTAAAATTGTTAATCAGCCAAAAATTCCATTGCTGGGAATCGAACCCGGGTCTCCTAGGTGAAAGCCAGATATCCTAACCGCTGGACGACAATGGAATTGATGATTAGATAATCACCTATATTAATGAAGATAAGTTTAAATTGGATGTGTCTGTCATATTGATATTGCTAAAGCTTAAATGTATGTTCGTCTTTTGGATGATAGAGATATTCATCCATTTTCCCTTTCGCTCCCATTCCATCTCTTGACCCATATTCAAACCGTTTTTAATAAATAATTTTTTGACTAGCTCAACAATTCTTAACCCAGCTGGAGATCTGTCTTACAGAATAAGTTTGTGCAATCGTTTCCCCATTTAATGCATCCATCAACAAACACCAATTACTCCTAATCTCATTTCTCGTAGTTCGGTGAAAGGAACAATAATATACATCTCAGCACCTTTCATTTGCTTCTTAATCTGCCACTTTCACCCCCACAGTCACAGATACACATAGTTGCAACTGTTCTTTCAATCCGTCCAATGATCCAACGCCGCTGTTTCTTCCCCCATTTGCAACGCAATATACTTCCTTCCCTCCGTTACCCAATGAGTCTCATACCCCGTCACAGATAGTCATGGACATGGTAACCTTGCGGAGCTCTGGCAGTTCCTTTCTTAAACTGGACAAGAGAATAGAAGGAAGCATATAAGTTCCAAAGTGCAAATCTACACCTGTGGCACTCCATACTTCCCCAGCCTAGCTGCATCATTCACTTGCGCTTCTTCCAATGTCGTGATTATTTCCGGTATCGACATCCCTCCCGAGATCACGATTTCTGCCCAACCAAACAGAAACCCATAATCAGGATCATTATGAATTCGTGTAATTTCAGAGCTTGTATTAGAAAAAACGAAACTCTCACCAATTCCTTCCCGCACTGACAAATTAGGCCTCATGACATCTTTAGAGCTGACCAGGTATATATCCCCAAGGTAAAGGTGGTTCGTTGGCACATAGACGCAGCAGAGCTCCTCTGTACCCAAGTTCCCACGCAGGAGCACCGTCGAAGTAATGAACCCGAACGCATACTCACCGTTACGCGGATGCCTGATGATGGCTACTTCCTTGAACGCATTAGACTTCTGATCTGCAAAACCAAGTTCAAAAAGTTTTCTTCTTTGAACTCTAATCTTGTCCCCCAACTTGTTTGAACAGTAGGTTATTTGATGTTTTATTGTGATACTGTTTCACCTGATGAGATGGCTGCGCTGATTTGTTTAGAAGCAGAGTAGATGTAGCTGACGAAGGGCATTTTGTTGATGAACCACTCCCCCAAGCTGAGAACAGAAGCGCCCAGCCACGACGACATGAACACGCCAACTAGGAATATGAATGTTAGGGAGGTCACAAATCCAAGCCCTGCCCATAAACAAAAATGGAGTTAGCAAAGAAAACCCATCTCAGAATGGAATAACAAGTTAAAGAAGCTACGGTACCCACCAAATACATTGATTCCGAGTAGAGCATAGATGGGAGAGAAGAAACTATCGACGAATCGGATAAACCACCATGTAACACAGAATGTTATGGCTATTGGGAGCAGAATTACACTGCAGCAACAGCAAGGAAGAACACCACAAGCAATTTGATATCGAATGTATGAATCTAACAGAGAAAAATGTGATTTTGTTATCCTAAATTCCTTGCTCAAATTAGAGGCCAAACCTTCCTGTGATGAATTTCTTCCATGCCCAGCTACGGATTAGCTTTGAAAATGCCTGTGCAAAGAAATCAATCACAGAGTTCATATACCCAGCCAGACAGCCCCACAAAAAAAAAAAAAAAAAAAAAAAAATCCACGAAACCCTAAATCTGATCGTTTTGGCCACAATGAGTGACCCGAAAGAAATCATAGTATTCATCATTTCTCGTCCTGAAAAAAACTCTGGTCACCGAACGAACGAGCGATCACGCTGAAAAGATATTGAGGAAGGGGGAAAAAGAAGAAGAAGAGCCCTAATCGTGAGAGAAGAAGAGAATGAGGAATTTGTGGACCTCTTTTCCGGAGCTATGAGAGATGATGGCGGAGGGGGCGGCGGAGGCAGAGGAATTGGAGCCACCATTGGTGCTGATGCTCTCCTGAATCTGTTTGGGCGGAACGGGTATCAGCCGCTCCAGATCCCTCTCCCTCGACGCCATTGTTGCCAATCTCGACGAATTCCTTCTTCCCTTCGTCGCCCCTTCTCTTTTATGGCGCTCTAGAATCGTTCTTCGTGCTGTTTCCAGCAACAGTGTTCGGTGTCTGGCGCTCCGGCTAGCTGGAAAAAAGAATGAGAAATAAGTTAACCACCTCTCTCTCTCTATAACGAACTGTCTTTTTGTCGCTTTCCGTTTCTCTTCCCCTCCATATGGGCCTCCTAACAGCGACCGTATGCTCAAATTGTTTCGGCCCAGCCCAATGTTAACTTCGGCCGTTAAGGCCCATAAACATGATGCACAGAAAAAGAAATAGGACTACAACAGACTGGTAAGTTGGTAACTAAAACGACTAGCCAAAATTTAGCTTTTACCGGCTCACCGCTGGTTCTTTTCGTCGGCGGTAAGTCGTTGTTCGCTTCTTCTTTCTCTCCGGTACGATCCTCTGCCGGAATCCGGAAGCGACTCACAGGAAATTTCTCTGAGGGGAGCAACTCAGTGTTGTTTCTGATCCAGGTCGGTGAAGCAAAAAGAAAAAGAAATTGGTGGAGTTCTGACGGCGTTGATTGGGGGTAATCTGGTCGGAGAAGGTGAGTCTCCGATCAGAAGAAATGATAACTCGTTCCAAGCTCGTGGAGCAGCTCTTTGAAGATTATCGGATCCGAGCCCGGCACCGGTGTCCTGCGCTCTCCATTTTCTCCCCGAAGCCGCATCTCGTTTCCTGGTATAACAATTCTCTCCACTTCTTCCCTCCATCCACTCCTTCGAATCGTTTACATTTGTCGTTCTCTGGATATGGAGGTTTTCCGATTGATTTCCTATGAACAGCGGGTTTAAAAACGCGGGAAGAGTTGGAAGGGATGATGATGAATTTGGTTAATCGGGCAAGCGTTGCTTAAATTTTAGGGTTTAGGTCTTTGTTTTCCTCCAATTCTTTTTTGCTAAAGGCGGGCCCTTTTAGTGTTGATCATAATTCAGTTCCAGTTTTCGAGCTTTCATTCCAGATCGATTCGTGGCTACTGGAAGTGAATGTGGTATGGCATCTGAATTCCAGTTAGGAGTATTACGGTTACTGTACAATTAGATCGATTTAACCACCAACTGAGCTATAATTTCCATCATCACTAAGCAACATCTAGGGAAGTATGAGTATAAACCAGCTATCATTCCAATGTTACTAGCTCTCAAGCATCTGTAAACTGTCTTTTGACACCGTGTTCTGTGGCTAATTTCGTGTAGGGCTGATGTTGCCGTGGCACTCGTTTGGGCACTGGTCTTCAGCATGCTTGTAATCTTGTCATGTTTAGCCATTCATTTCCGGCACTTCTGGGTTTCAGCCATTGAAATCTGTCTTGCGATGTTGCTTCTTTTACGCCTCCAAAGTTCAAGGCAAGCACTAGCCAAAAAGAGGGACAGGGGGCTTCCTTTGTCGATGTAAATAACTTCCCTGAAGAGAACGAAAGAAGTAGTACAGAATGATTTCCTGATCCAGGGGGTTTCTTCTAGCATCTAACTAATGATTCTAAAATTTGGAGCACCTAGTCATCTGGAAAAATCAAGTGCACAGCGTCCGGAATGGTATGCATTTTTCTTTCTTCTGAACCAATGTTGTTACATTACCAATACCATACCCAAGGCATGCACTGCTCTTTTCTTACTGACATGTAAAGGTATCGATCATCGTTTCAGTTGAGGGCAGCAACATAGCGATTTTTTGCTCCCAGCTGGCTTGTAAACCTGTTTACTTTACGAGAATCGTTCTGAAAAGGGATCTTGTAGAATCAGCTGTAAGAAAATTATTTGTAGCGAACTCCTAAATTTAAACTGGGCCGGTATGTCCCAGTTTTACCTATTTGGCAAGATATTTATCTATCATATTCCCTGCGTTCTTCAATCAGCCTCGCTTGTTCTAAGTTTTTGCTAGTGATTGAACCTTAGCTTGAGGTTTGGACTTACGATAGGGTGAGAAATTGCTTATCAACTTGTTTAAGAGGCTAAGATAATTGCTTGAAGTGCAAAGAGTTTAAATCTCTAATCAGCCCACCAATTGCTAAGCATTTCCTTTTCATCTCCCAGGAAAAAGACATAACACACAGACCTACCATCCACCAATTTGGACCATTCTTTTCTCTAATCTGAATCCATTTGCCTTATAGAATTTGGTCTTTGTTATATTGTTAGCCAACCATAATAAGTACCTTCCAACATCTTTGAGGTTGAACTGAGAAAACAGAACATTTCGAATATGCTGCGAGAAACAAGAAAAGCTTCAGGAAACCTGGTTTGTGGGAAAGAAGGAAATATCTTTCTTTTTTAATGATGATGATGGTGCAGTCCTGTTTTGCAGGGACCATATATATCACTAGTCTACAATCGTGCGCTCACTGATTGAGATTATGCATGTTTCTTGTACACTTTTGTTCTATGTCCCCATTCTTTTGTGGGTTGCTCTGTGTTCCAAAGTCAACTAAAGAAGCCCAGATGGACACGAGAAGCATGATTGGCATATTTAGGGAGGCGAAGTGATGATGGGGTATAATATATCTCTCCTTGTCTATGATCTTTTCCCTATCTCTTTTCTTTTCATAAAGCCTCAAATGTGGTTGTTGTTGTTGTTGTTGTTGTTGCTGTTGTATGGTCCCCTTTAGGGTAGGGGACCAAATTAGCTCTGTATCCTCAAACATGGATTGAGGTACCAGTTGTCATCCTCAAAGGAAGAAGAGGAGGAAAAGGCACAAAAGGAATATAACATAGAGTTGATAGTGATTGATAGCTTTGCAGGTGACCCATCTAATTCATCTTTTTTGATGTGTTGCCCCCAATGCATGTGGGATTGGTTATTATGCTTATAGGGCCGCATGGGCTGGCATCGTTGTCGTCGTCAGCTCGTCACTCACTCGATCTCAGCTGTTGGATCGATGTGGGCGATATCATCTACAAGATTGCCATCGGGTCGATCCAACTGATGAATTCGCGTGGGGAGACCAATCTCGATGGTATCCACATATGCTTCTTACCCTTTTGATCTGCAGCCCTTCTGTGTGTTTCTATAGAATGACATTTGGAAACATATCTGTATAGTCGTAGTATAGATAGCAAAAGAATGAGGGGATGGCTTCTTTATTTTGCAGATGATATTATTGTGGTGCAGGGGGCCTAATAAGCTGTGAAATGATGAAAGACCATATCATGCTGCATCAGGTAATGGTAGTGGCTCATTATGGCATATACAAGGGATGATTGATAACAAATGACTTATGAGCTGTTTGTTTCCTGAGAATATTACTGAAATGAATAGGGAAAGGGGAAAAATAGTAGAATGGCTTAAGGGGGCGCATGGGGTTGGTGTAGGGTATATAGTTTAGTGGCACAAAGAAAGAAAGTACCTTTTTTGTTTCATGGAACATGCTGTCTGTCTGCATTACCAGTGGATTTTTCCACGGTGTAAAAAAGGATTAAAGGGAAACAAACCACTTGATTGGTTGAAGGCCTCTTTTTATTTTCTTCTTCCTGCTGTTTCTTTTAGCCTTTTCCTTGATTGTGTTCTCCTCCTCCATAGACAATGCCGTTGGTAAGTGAGGAAGGAAAGGATGTGTGTTCTTAGAAAGCCAAACAACACCACCCTAGGGTCTAGCTAGCTAGAAAAACGAATCCCAGAACTCCTGCATATTTGCCTCCTACCTGTTTCCCTTTCAGTCTGTATTCGGATTTGAGATGGTAAGATGGTGCAAATCACTAGCTATGTTGTAGAATCGATTATGCAGTGAAGTCGAATTCACGATTTAGAGGATTGAGCGAGAAGGTTTCGGAGATCGGAGATGTGCACCCCACACTGCAGAAACCTTTTTCCTTGGAGAGGAGGATGCATTCTCATTGTAGTTCCACTTAGGACCAAATAATGGTGATTCTTGGCCTAACGCAATGATTAGATTGACGTTGATTAGGCATAAACCCATGAACCTGTGTAAGCTAAGACGTGCCAAAACAGTACGTGAAGAAAGTAGCATTGCATAATGACGTTGTTTTGCTTTGAAGGGTGGCCCGCCCATCGCCTTCTCTTCCCCTCTATTACCAGTACCAGGAGGCCGGCAATTAGCACAAGATTTCAATATCTAAGAAACATAATCATGGTTTAGAGCAGGCCCCACATATATAGACCAGAACTCCAATTAGCTTTGCTAGTTTTATCACACATCTCAAATTATTCGGATTTCATGAATACTCAGACAAAATTTTGGAAAATTCAATTCAAAAGCATATTAATATTAATATATATAATATAACATTGGAGTTACTATTTATGGTTCCCAAACTTCTCCAAGTATAAGTGTGGAAGTTTCAAGTTCTTCTTTTACCCTTCTCTTATTCTATAACATATTTCTTCATCTATTGTCCGTCGGGTATACATCTATTGCCCATTAGATTTCTCGTAATAGTTATTGTCTACTAAGTTTTCATATATTGTTCATTGCTTTCCATATTGCAACAATTATCTATTAGGTTTTCGTCTTTTGCCCAAATCATCGCCTTGGCCCACCAATTCGCAACCCAGCTCGAAACATTGTCCACGAAATTATGAGTTGTCCTCTTCCATCGTTTTCCACTACTGCTACCGAAGATCCATACCATATCTATTATGCACAATCCTCGCATTCGCCCAATAATGCACAACTTTTCTCCGAACACTCTCGATGGAATCCTAAGTTGTATCCATTCACCGTGTCCCAAGATCACTACCGAAATTCCATACCAAATCTGCTTTGTGTTGTCGAATTTTGTTTCGGGACCGAGTTTCATGTTCTTTAGTGTTTTCTTATCTATCTTTTTCCCTTTTGGTTAAACATGACAATTGAACTTAAACTCATGGATATCCATATAATTCCACCAGGTCAAAGTGGCTTTGAACCCAATTTTAGTATTTTTTAAATTTCTATTTTTTTTTCTTTCAATGAGAATGACAATTGAACCCAAACTCATGGTATTGACGAGTTTTGTATCGAGAGCCAATTTTATTTGTTTTTATAGTTGGCAGGTTGGGTCGAGTGTGAGTTTGTTAAAAACTCGACTCGACCCGGTCAAAGCAAGCTGAACACGATGTTGACGAGTTTTTTTATCAAGAGCGAATTTTGTCTACTTTAATATTTTTGTTTCTCCTTTTCCTTTTGGTTGACAATGACAATTGAACCCGGACCCGGTGCTGACGAGTTTCATATAGAGAGCGAGTTTTATCTGATTTAGAATTGACAGGTAGAGCCAAGTGTGAATTGATAGAAAATCAGTTTGAACCAGTCAATGCGAATTGAACTCGTTGTGTAGAGTTTTTGGTAGGGAGCGAGTTTATCCGCTTTAGTGCTTTTTTTTAATTATCCTTTTCCTTTTGGTCGATAACCCAAACCTATTGGTATTCAACCTAATTCAACCTGGTCAAGACGACTTGAACCCGGTGCTTACAAGTTTTTGGGCGGTAGTGAGTTTTATTCACTTTTGTAATTGGCTGGTCGGGTAGGTTGTGAATTTGTTATAAAGTCGATTCACCCTGATCAAAGAGAGTTGAACATGATGTTGCCAAAATTTGGGTCGTGAGCGAGTTTTATCAGCTTTAGTGTTTGTTAATTTTTCTTTCTTTTTGGTTGAGAATGAAATTGAACCCAAACCCATGGGTTCAACCTAATTCGACCTGGCCAAAGTGATTTGAGCCTGCTCAAGCCTACTATTAATCCGAAAATCTATAAAAAGGAGAATCAAGATGAACTTAAAAAAATAAAGCAAAAAGAATACAAACTAGAGAAGATAAAAAATAAAATCATTTGCTCGATGACCTTTCTCACTTATTAAAGTTCATCGTTGCGTGGACTACATACATGGAGTTGTAGATGATACACTCTTTACTTTTAGGTCAAAATTCGAACTGCAATCCATTAGTGAAAAACATCTTAGATCCAAGGACTGGACCATCATTGCATTCAATTCGGTCTCATAATCAATTCGGTCCATCATTTCTTCAACACTTGTAAAATTCACGAGAACCAAATACCGTACCGCATTATACTTGATCCGATGCAATCCGGTACGATCCGAACCATTGCACATAACTAGATATATTGTTAACAATTATGTCCACACAATACACATGATCACCTTCCACACAACGCGAAGTTTGAATGAGTACACTTGTCACTAAAAAGTGATAGGATCGTATGTGAAAAGTCCCTTATAGTCACTAAAAGTGATGGGAACACAAACCAAACAAATTAGTTTAGAAATACATATAGTTTCATCTATTGCTAATCATCAGCTAGTGTAGTATTAAGCATGAATTAGCAGGCATATAACATATTCTTGACTGCTAGTAATAGTTAGGATCCGAGTTCGTCATCGGATTTCATATGGACTCTTTCATGAGTGAGTGACAACCGGGACAAAACATCTTATTTGATTTTTGTGTTCTTTTTGTTTTGTTTGATTTTCTTTCTTTTTCCCCCCTCTTTGTTCTAGACTGGTTTTTGTGCCTTAACTCGAGAATGTTTCATTTTCTGTTAATAGCTTGCTCTACTACTAGTTGAGCTGCTAGCATTTTTCTAATAAAATTTTTCATCATTCATCAAAAAATAATTAGGTATTTAGGTGATCTAATTAATCTATATTGGTTGGAGCGTAAAACCGAGTAAAAATGAGAGATTAAATATGGTGAACTTTGACATGGATTTGCAGTATAGGTTGAACTCAAATAATAATTCTAACTTTGGAGGATGATGAAAACAAAAGAGTTACATGGTTGGTTTTGAAAATTACTTCAAAATGATCACATGAAATCAATAATATCATTGGGTAAGCGAATCAATATGGATTCTAAGATGATAGGGAACGACATTGATGACGACAAAGACGCGGAGACCTAAATATTAATATGGACCGCTATGATTTGTACTGATACTCAACTTTCCAAACTAGAGTTAAAATAGATGTAAAATTGTAATAAATTTGAAACAAATTGCAGTCATAAGATATTTCTCCGATTCAACTAACATAATTCAAATCCGCCTAACTCATATCTATGATTCCATCACTATAAATATTAAAAAAAAAACATTATGTAAATCATGCATGATCCATGTGATGATGTAAACATAATCCTAAATTATTATGCGTAGATTGAAGAAATCTCATCAGAGTACAAGCTAGTGGTCACAATCATAACAACAACAAGTAATACTTGTTTGGTTGTTAACAAAAAAAAAAAAAAAATAAATAAGAAAGAAAGAAAGAAGTGTTGTTTTGGCTTCTCACCACCCGCACGAGTGGATATAATATTCCTTTCCATCCAAACAAAAAACAAAAGAAAGTCCCAATCTGGCTTTCACTATACAAATCACGTAGTTTTTGGACCAATAATTATTGCTTCTTTTGTTTTATTTCCTCTCCCTCCAGTTTGGTACTAATTTGTTGGCTTCTCATCAGTCGCTGTCTGCTAAGCTAATGCAGTGTAAGGGTTTTTCAAATTTTCCAACTAATTGCTTCCGAATAGACTGTAAATGAGTCGAATCGAGTCGAGTTTTACCCCAACTTGAGCTCTGCTCAGCTCATTTATAAATGAGCCGAGTCGAGTCGAGTCGAGCTAGCTTGTTTATTAAAATCTTAAATTTTATTTGATACTTCATTTTGTATATCATGATACATATGATTTATTTTGTTAGCTAATCTCATATTATACTTTGTTGGTATAATATATCATTTAGTTAATAAATTTTAACTACTCCAAATCATGTTATTTCATAGTATCGAAGCAATCTATGATGCATAATTTCTTTTTAAAGTAGAAAATAAGATATATTTGTTTACAAACTCAACGTGTTAAACTTTATATATGGTAAAATATATAATTTAACAACCATATGAATTAAAATCATAAGATATAGATTGATTCGTCCATAAGTTGGTAATCGAGTTGGCTCTCTAACCACATGTCAAAACATATCATGAGCTCTAAACGAGCCAACTCATGAGTTTAGCTCAACAAACCACCGAGTCGAGCTAGCTCGCGAGCTTCACGAGCTGAACAAATGTGAGCTCGTGTTCGGCTCGTTTATTAACGAGTCGAATTTTGAACAAGCTTTTCTCGAGTCGAACGTCGAGCCGCTCGCGAGCAGTTCGGCTCATTTGCAGCCCTACTTCCGAATAGCTCCAAATTCGGTATTTGCTTATTCTGGAAAAAATCGCAATCGATGATCGTCGTTGCTGTTATCTTGAAGCGGGGGCCAGTGCCCACTTCGCAGTCGTTTGTTTTGTTGTATTCTACGGATTTTGAAAGGGTTCTAGTTTTTTTCTGAACTAGTCGTTTGTTTTTAATTAATATGTGAGGATCAAAGGATCAGTCCAAGTTTCAGTACTATCATCCCATGGACAGAGTGTACTTCTGTGCCACTGTGGATTTCCAAAACTCTTGAGTTCCATAACCTTGGGATTTCTTCACTTCAGTAGAACCTGCACAGCTCATGAACAAGGTTTTGGCAGTCTATCTTCCTTCGCCCTCAATTTGCAATTCTCAGCCTGGAAATTAATGCAAGCTTTGCCCTTTTGCTATTTTTTATAACCACTGGGTTCTTGCTCTTATTGTGATCGCAAGAAAATTGAGGCGGACGAAGGAAATATAGAATTCATTAAAGCATGGCGGATGCCGACCAACACAGGGGAGATAAACTATAAGAGCCACTTCCAGTGGCGGAGCTAGCATTTCAAACCACCCCTGTCCTCTTTTCATAATATAAATATATAAATATTTAATTAAAAATAATTTAATAAAAAATAATTATATCTGCATAATTCATTAATTAGATTAAAAATAACCGACTATCCAAACATTATTTTTAACAACCACGGAGAGATCTCATATTGTGAAAGAAACCCAAAAACATTCGTCGTCTACACTATTAAATAAGTCTTTTTCACTGTATCTCACTAAATTAGCATTAGCAAATTGGTCGCCAAATCAACTTGGAAACTTGTTCTTAATATAACTCAAAGCTGAAAAATGCTCTTTTTACATTTGCAGTTGTAATTTGTAGAATCAAAACTAGTGGAATTGTCGTTGTCGCTAGACAATTTCAGGGTTGTTGGGAAAAAAAATCGAATAGGCA